TAAAGCTATGGATGACTTAACTAGATCAAATTCCCTCACAGATTCGGAAAAGAAAGAAATTTAAAAGGAAAACAAACCAAGGACTTTTAAATTTGCACAACCCACATTCGCAAAATGTGACCTCGTGTGCGTGTCAGTACATGTGTTATCTAAAAAATGTGTTTTGTGATGTCGTTTCAAGAGGAGTTGTGCTAACGGCCGCCAAAGTATCAAAAGATAAGATCAAAACTAGAATGAACGGATACAAGGCATTGAAAAACACGCGCCACTACACAGCCCTTCACTCGGGTAGAGCTGTGACAATGACGAAATTAAGTCTAAGTCTAAGTCTTTTTAATTCCAATGATACGGTACTTGAAATGAAATTTTTTTGTTAGAGTGTATAGTTATGTTTCGTGACGAGATTACCGGGAATCACTGACCGAAATTTGATGCTAGAAAAGTACCTTGGCCTCATCTTGTTTCCCTATACAAAGATCTGCCGCTTAATTAGTATGCGGGGTTGCCGTGTTGCCAAATGAGTTTAAATAAACACTGAAGTAGGTTACTTATACGCGGTTCAAACTCTGTATCTTAAGAACAAATTTAAGGGTCTTAAACAAAGAGGAATCTTGCTGGTGGTGAGGAGAAATGAAATTGTTTTAACATGGAACCACAATGCTGATAGTTATACTGACTGTTTCTTTACTTTTTTTGCAGGAATTATGAATTGTCAAGCGAGGCTAGCTCAAGACAGTTCACACGCTTTTCACGTACATAACCAGTGAGCGCAGAAGAAATCCAATCTTATGTATTGAACGAAATAAAAATATATATATTTCCATGCTTGACTGATTGTGAGTTTAATTTTCATAATTACTTTCGAAATATTACAAACCAGCCTGACTTCCGAGTCATGCACTTTTTTCGTATTAGGTTATACAGTTTTAACAACTTTAATTCTGCAAAAGAAAAGAGAAGCCCTTCTATTCCAATTCTCGGAGAACGATACCTGTTAAGTCGGTAAAAGTCGAAATCCTTCCAAGAGCATATAATCAATTTAATTGGCATTGATGAATCAACTCCCACATTTGAAATTAAGGGGCTCCTATGCTAAATGAAATAGCTACTTGAAACAATTTACAACATCCAAAATTCACTTCATCTGCTATCACGATGCACGTGCCACGAACAATACGCGCACACGCGGCCTCTGAAAAACGACTTCCAAATACTGACAATTAAGCTGGATTGATAAGATAAGTTAATTAGCTCGCTGAAATTAAGAAACGAACGAAGCATCGCTGCCAGGTATACTAATTTTTTAAATATCAGTATCTAGCAGTAAAGTTATGTTTTTATGATCACAACAGTAGCACTGTGTCTGATCAAAGTTCCTTTGACTGTCTGTGTGATGTGAAGAGTTGACATTGATCACTGGGGAAAGTTTCAAGGTTGTACTTTATTAAACAAGTCCACTATTCGCGGGAAAATCCGCGTGGCTAGGTTGGATGTTTACACGGGCCTTTGTCAAACGCAATCTAATTACTCTATTACCCTACACGTCGAGAAATTAATCTATGTAAATATTTACCCTCCAAAGTGTTTTTATTCTGTGGTCCCATTGAAAACATGTAGTTCGACTCAACTGAAGACAATTTTTTTATACTTGAAAGGTGTCGTTGGTGATCTTTTGTTGCACGACCGAAAACAGCTCTTTAAACTTCACAGACGACTTAATTCCAACGATTTCGTACCTAGTTACGAAGTTCGCGAAAAAGGTTGTTATTTAAATGTTATCTTTTAATTTAGGCGCACTTCGCGGTGATTTGCCGTAAATAATCGCTCGTAATAAGATTAATTTTGCTTGTTATAACACACATACATCAGCTGCCTTAAAAATGCTTTTGTTTGCTTTTTCTAAATTTAAAATATCTTTTCTGTGATTCAAAACTCGTCCAAATTCACGCACGTTATTAAACACTGTCAGTACTTTTGTGATGTGGCCAATCGCAGAACAATGTAGCTTTCAGGACGATATCAGTATTTTGGTAACTAAAAAAAAACGTATTTGCTTGTTCGCGCCCAACAGAGCCTCATTAAAACTGCATTGCTTCCCGCAATTAAAAATATATCGTATTCTTTTTCCTTTGATAAAGTATCGACTGAAATGAGGCGGACACGCGACCAGAAAAAATGCGCTTTGTCCCAATGTGCGAATCTGACTGAAATGTTTAATTAGCTATTGGAAATTCAATGGGGTTCCTGAAATTCACCTGTCAATCAACTATAAAGAGCATCTTGTTGAGAACCCATGCCACGCGCCAACCCACGCGCGACCTCTTCACCCCACCAGGTGTTTGTGGCCGCACTTATAATTGTACTAAACTTGTTTTTTCTTAGTTCTGCTAAATACGCACTTTCATAAGAGATTTTAATTGGATGAAAATGAACTTACCGTGTGCCAAATTCGATTTTCATTTCAAAGGCGCGTGCAGATTGATGCGCGTTTATCTAATCGAGTCGCCGTTTTATTAAACCTTTTCCTAAAGAGTGTTAAGCTTTCGGCCCAATTAGTCTTGTTCACTTGGACTAGACTCGAACAATAAAAAGACGTCTGATTTCCTATGTTCTGTGGAACTTCTTTGTTTGCAGTTTAAAATGATATTCTGAATGATTTCCTAGTGAGTTTTCTTCTTTTCTTAAATCTTTCATTGCTTTGCTTCTATGTTCCACGTGGGCAAGACTTTCTAGGACAAACAAAAATTGCTCGACAATACTGCAATTTAACTCTAAATTCCTGGCTTTGTTTGATGGCGATTTGTTTGAATGAAATTTAAATTAGACAAAGACTTCGCAACAGAGTGGAAATCATACTAAGAAAAACCTCGGTCCCTAGACCTCGATCAAAAACGTGCGACTCGATTGTTTAGTTTTTGTGGAGTGATTCCGGATAAATTGAAGTGAAAAAACACTTTCAAAGATTACACCCCCACTGCATCAGAATAAAAGCGAAATTCAATGGTATTTAGCGTGATCGCAGCCTACAGGGAAATTGTTTGCTGGTAAACTAAGCTTTTTTAATTTTAAGCGCGTGCAAAGTTGTATAAAGCACAGTGGGTGATTTTTGATCGTAGTTATTTCGGCGCCATGTTTAGCATTAGACGAGAAATGATCTTCACGCGTGCCAAGACATTTAAAGGGTTTTCTGCTAATTTGCTGTTCCCTTTGTGCACAGAATTTAAACGGTTCCGGGTACGAAAACGAAGACGTTCAGAAACGCTTGGCTATGTTTGAAGTGCGATGCAACACCATTGAAATCCTCGAGTAAGCGTGGTATTTATTATCATTTCTTTGTCAAGTTGGACAATTTCATTTACATTACAAAGCCGTCAAAGTCCCGGCACACGCGGCCCAGCTTTTGTGTTTTGATGCACGCGGATTTATGTGACAATCTCTGTCAAACTCATAATGACCAGGATAACCTATTTACTTCAACAAGTTTATAAGAGTACGTTCGCACAAATGGAACAAAAAAATCTTTACTTCATCTCGCTAATGCAATTAAACTTTAAAAATGATTAAAAACTTATTAAATAACTTTCGAATGGCTACCTGCGTTGCAGAGCCTTTGCTATTGGCGCGCTGTACTGCGTTCGAACACTTTATAAACTTTAGAGATTTTGCATCGATAATGAACAAATTTGTGCAAAACTTGCTAAGGAAACTCAAATAACTGACACCTGGAATATCCATATATTACAATACTGTATTATGAAGTAACTAGTGATTATCCCGTACCAATTGAAAGGCGACATACACTCCTATTTCTGTTGTACAACATATAATACTCAATTAGTATTTTATTTTTCGGCCTTTCAACCAACGATAAAATATTTATGTCGGCCTGTGCCCGATATCGCAATTATACAGCTATTTTCAGACAAGCCGGCGACGCAAAAACACTTAGCTCGCATTGGGTACAACATTCTTTTTCACGGAGTTCTGAGGTGCTATGTTCGCCTACGACAACAAACTGTGAAGTTTAATATCCTGAGATCAAAGTATAGATATACCCTAGCACTGCTTACACATTTCCACAATCTCTGTATCTTTTTTTCCTCTGTTGCTAAGCAATGTTGTATAAACATGGTTCCTTCGGTATGTTAATATCGTTTGCACAGCGTAAAGTAAACATCTGCTCTCCAAAGACGAGGACAAATTTCTTGATTTATTCAGCTTCAAATTAGCCAGCTCTGGATCCCTTTTTTGTTGTTGTTTTATTTCCTTTCTTTTTGTCAGTTATTTTTCTTTAGAAATCCATCCCTGAATACTAGCTAAACAGTTGTGTCCCAAAACAATCGATCAAATGGAAATTGTAACTACGTAAACACAAATCTTCATAAGAATATACATCCCCAAGAAAAGGTGTTGTACATTAAAAAAGATTAGACATTCTTTCTGTAAAACTCGATAAAATATTCATGCAGCTGCCGCTGAAGAGAAAGTTTTTATGCTCCAGTGAAGTTCCCCCGAGGGTGAAAGCTTTTTATAGTTTATTTTGTAAATATAAAATACGCTATTGCGATCTTCAATGGCACGAATGTTTTAAATGTACCGGAAGTGAGTACAAATATTTTAACAGGCATACTGTAACAACTTAGTTTTCGAAGCAGAGTAATGCCTCAGTTTATAAAGTACAACTCTAGAACGTGAAAATTAGAGTTCGCAATTAGGTGATAATGAACTAGTGGGGCGGGGGCAGTTTTCTTCAATTGTTCATACTTGTTATTAAGGGTGCCCTCATGCTTCATCCTGATTGGCTGAGCCGAGACCTCCCTTGAGAGAACAGCTAAGCTCTGTCCAATAGCAATGCGGCAGAGAGATCGCGGTTGGACGGCTCTCCTTGTGTTTTTGTTTGTATTTGCCTCTTTTCAGCTGACATAATGTGCATAAAAGAAAAAAGAGCACACGAACCCTTAAAATGCGGCACGCGCCACACAAATTAGCCACAGTTGATACAGTGACAGTAGTCAAAGGCCTCGTGCACTTTTAAGATTCGCGTGCGACTTTAAAACGCAGAAAGTCTTCCAGAACGTTTCATCGGAGTGGTTTAGAAATCAAGAGAATTCTCCTAAATAGTCCGTTCCGAAGCTTTGGCAATCCTGACAGTGCGATTAACAAGATTCTAATATAACTGTATTGAAGGTCATCTCGAAAATGCCTCGATCATTTCTTGTTAAACTGAAAAAGAGTAGTCCAAGCGGTTTTTGCTGGGATGAAGGTGAGTCTAAATTTTGCAAAGGTGATTTCAAGCGCACTAAGAGGGAATTTGAATGCAGCGATTTTTTTTCTCAGTTCTGAAGAGATTTCCTTCCAAACCGAACCTTGAAACGTTTAGGTTTCTCTGATTCAAAATTGCCACACCTCATTAAATATTCATCACCAGGCAAATAGAGACAGCAAAATCTAAAACTGCTCTTTCGCTCCGATTACTCAGCAGGTTGTGATGTGCCGACGGCTCCGCCTAACGTTTGGGAACCAATCCGCGTTGAAATCGAGCCAGCACAGATTTTTCAGCCGATCAAGTTGGACCTCGCTACTCTCGACCCAGAAATTTTAACTGAAAAAGGGCAGCTGAAACCCAAGGCAAGATTTTTCAGTCCATTCACTTTAAGTTCCTTTCATCTTAATGCTGAACATCGTGGTATCGGAGTTGGCAAGCCGTTGTACACAAAGGATGAACCGTGCTCTTTCGACTCAAGAAACACAAGTCCTCTAAGCCTAGACGGTGCCCTTGTACCATCGCCGACTCGAAGCGACGATGGCTACCCAAGCGCGGGAATCTTTATTCCCGGAAGTGGTTTTCTAGGAATAGAGAACACCAAACCTCCTTCTCTTCCTGCGGTCAGCTCTACCTCTAATGCTGTTGGCCGAAAACGTCGTAATGGCACTCCGAAGACCTTTACCTGCGAAGTTTGCGGCAAAGTTTTCAACGCACATTACAATTTGACCCGACACATGCCAGTGCATACCGGCGCCCGTCCATTTAAGTGTAAAATCTGCGGGAAGGGATTCAGACAAGCGAGTACTTTATGCCGCCATAAGATCATCCACACAAAGGAGAAGCCACACAAGTGCAACATCTGTGGCAAGGCATTTAACAGATCTTCCACGTTAAACACTCACATCCGCATCCACGCTGGTTACAAGCCGTTTGTGTGCGATATTTGCGGCAAGGGTTTTCATCAAAAGGGCAATTATAAAAATCACAGACTCACTCACACTGGGGAGAAGCCCTTCAAGTGCCACATCTGCGGCAAGGCTTTCCATCAAGTGTACAATCTCACTTTCCACATGCACACGCATAATGACAAGAAGCCATTTACATGCAAGGAATGCGGCAAGGGATTCTGCCGGAATTTTGACCTTAAAAAACATATCCGCAAATTACACGAGAACAAAGAGCAACGTGACAGAGTTGAACAATAAACCACGCGTCCTCTGTTGTGTTGTTCAAATCGCGAAGAAAAGAAGCGGGTACTTCATAACGCGTGTAATTCATTGACTTGCGTTATGTACAAAGTCTCAAAGAGTTTTATTAAAAGACTGGAACACAGTGACTTTTAACAATAATAGACTGTAAACCAAGATAGTTAAAGGCCATGTGAATGATAACCGGTGTTATGCATAACGGCGCACACGTGGAAGAACAATAGAAAGTTGTAAGCTTTAAGTGAGAATATGTACATTAGTGAACAATACCTGTGAATATATAAATATGTTAAAATATTGGTTTATATACGAATTCAAGGCAACATCGCTATAAAAACGTTAACCTAATCGTGTGTAAATAATATGATACAATCAAGTTTGACTAAGCAATAAAATTGTACAGATTTATCTTACCCAAAAGCGGATGCTATGTTTTTTTCAATGGGGTTGTTTTTGAAGAAAAGAGGCCAACTTCTGAGCTTAAATATATGTAATATATTCATTTAAAAACGATCACTTCGCAGTTTGAAACACATTTTAATTGAAAGTATTCAATACAGTAAGGTTGTTTTACAAATTGCCTTTGTCGGAATTGTCCAAGACAAATAGATATCATTTGAAAACCTGCTAGCCTTCGCCGTTGTTTGTTTAAAACGAAGAAGTTAAATCGTTGCAGAGTGCAACTAGCGTGAGTTTTTCACCTGTTCACTTAAGTTTAACATTTTCCTATTCGAGTTAAAGAGGTATCAAAGAAGATTATTTTTGAGATTGACAAGGAAAGCTTTTGTGAGGTTCGACAAGATCTATGGCCATCCATTATACAAACTCAATCCAAAACGACTAAGACATTTCCTGGTGTCTGTAGCTCTTCTCAAATTAAAATACATGGTAAGAACCGTTTAAGGAAAAACACATATACTCTATCTCGTTGACTTACGGATAAAACTTCCAGCCTCAGTCTACGCTTTGCGTATTTTATGTTTGTGTAGGTTACTTATGTATCGCAGAAGTTCAGTCTTAATATTACAATAGTTATTATTTCTCTTTTTTAATACAAAATAACCTAATAGTTCATCTCAATTTTACCACCTGTCCTTCGTGGAAGAGAGTGAATCTTCCTTCTTGGGAAAAAACGACAAGCGTGCGGATTTCACAGCAATTTGTGAAACTTCCTGAAGAGAAAAGAACTTTTATTTTCCACATAAAAATTAACCCATCAGTTTGTAATGAACTGTGCTTTAAACACTAAAGTTGGACAAAAAATTCGGTATGCAGGAGGACACTGCTCGACTCTCATATTCCCGCTACATTAGTTAGAATTAAGGTTAGCTCGTATTTATCAAAGCTTAACCTTCGTTGCACACGCTCGCTCGTCTACATCACATATCTCTCGCTTTCAGTGATGTGTCGAGAATCAAATGGTACTGCACTGAGAGTTTCCCTTCGAGGTCACGTCGCTATGTGATTGGTCAAGAAAACCATGCGCCATAATCTCGCCCAATCAGATACAAAGCTGGAACCAAACGCGACTTGGTCAACCGCGTTTTCCCGCGCAAACTACCGTTTCGAGCTCTTATGGGTTCCTTAGGACGGTTACTGTTTTACGACACTCACTCGAGAAGCGCTGTAAACAGAAAAGAAACTACTCGCAATTTGACTAGAGCGAACCAAGTTGTAAAATAAGCTTTATTGTCAAGTCCAGCTGACTGGTGATACAAACAAGAGTACAGCTATTGATTTTTTTTTTCGTGCAAACACCACTTCTCAGGCATTACTCAACTTGTTTCACATGCAATGATTTACGTAGTCCACTCGATTATCACAGTATACTTATCCAGTCAATTCTCTCCATTAAATACATGCACTTTTGTTTTAATCCTGAGTTGCATTCACACATTTTTTGGCCAGGCACAGAAAAATGATTTCCATTTAAGCAGCTTGCTGCTTCAAGAGTCGTTTCTTCTTCAAGCTCTCGGGCTCCTCAGGTGGTGGGGGACGCGGAAGACGGAAGAACACTTTCACTGAATCGTAGATGAACCACTGCAGCGCCGTCAGAGTACCGATCATGATGATACGTGGGCCGAGACCCTTCCACAGACCTGTGGCAACAAAAAAAAATTACAACAAAAATTACATCAACATTCTTTTGCATAAAGAAATTAAGTCGCGACTTCATTGGTTCTGCTACACACCACTGATTGGTCGAGAAAACTCTCGTCCCCCTCCTCTTGACCAATCACAAGCCAAACCAAAACTTGTTCAATCACGCTTTCCCGCGCTTAAGCTATTTACTCTCAGTCTCTGAGTTCTTATTGGCTGCTTGAGATATTTTTCTATGTTCTGATTGGCTTTTTCGATTATTTTGGTTTTGGCTTCACATTAGAAAAAGGAAATCGTACCTTTCATTCCCAGCTCACGCGCAGCTTGGATGGGTGTGCTTCCGACGTCATTGTTCAACTTGGACACCACAGTATCAGCAGGGTGAGACACGACCGCGCAGAATACACCAGCTAACGAAATAACAAGCCAGCAATATCATTAAATACAAAGCAAAAATAGCAAGGAACACACGATTACAAGTGCCTAGCAGTAAAACTCAGTGAAAAGACGGAGGAACAAAGTTTAATGTCACGGCTTAGCGGGCATTTCTTGTCAGCAGCAAGTCTTACAAGAGCGTGTTCATGTGGAACTATGCAAAAGCTGGGTTTTTAGAGTTCAAGAAGAGTTTTGGAAGTGTGTGCTTTTCAGTCCAGAGTGGTTTGCAGCGGTTTCAATCCATCTGATCCCTGGGGTTAAATTCTTTCACCATTATCTCAGATGGACTCTAAATTCAGGGCATTGAAAAATGCCAGCCAAACATGTCCTCCCTCTACACAAGGAGAAATATTTTGGCCATTGCAATTCACCTTTGCTACATGCTGCTGATTAATTAGTGGAAAACTTACCGATGTACCCAGCTGCAAAGGTAACAACCAGTTGTTCAGGTTTGGAGCACTCACTCCTAAAGAGACAAAAAAAAGATTCTTGTTCAGTGGGAAGAATCTGATGCTGCATTTTCTGAAACTGGCACCTTGGCATATATTTACAATTTCTACTAAAAAGAGGGGCACTTATCGGAAAGAGGGTGTTGAATCAAGAAGGGTGCTTATTTTTCACCTGTACTGATCCCACTATAGTTGAAGCTTAAAAGTAATAAATAAAATAACAAAGAAACAAGTTTCCCTTTCATCACAACTATTTAAGAAAGTAAGGGGGGGGTGCTTGTTTGACATTATGGACTAGGGGTCGAGCACTTATTTGTGGGAGGGCCCTTATTAGTGCATGGGTGCTTCTTCAAAGAAACATGGAATTCTTTAGCAGCGTTTATCAAATCTGTTTAGAAAAGTAGTGGCCTTTATGTTACCACACCATAGTATGGTTCAAGAAGTTTGGGCACCAGGCCCTAGCTGGGTCATTGTGCTGTTCTTGAGCAATTCACTTACACAATGCCTTTCTTCAATCAAGAACATAAATGGATCCCAGTAGACTGTCAGGGAAGCTCAGTGAATACCATCCAAAGCATAAAATCTGGAAGGGGGGAAAAGAGAGACACCCTTGTCTACAACAGTGATTGGTTAGCTCATGTTGTAGAGCACCTGACTGCTGTATGGGAGGTCAAGGGTTCAAGCCCCAAACAAGATCAACACTCAGGGTCTTAAAATAACTGAGGAAAATGTGCTGCCTTTGTCACAACACCTGCAAATTGTTAGACATTCTAGTCTTCTAGGATAAGGATGACAAACTGTAGGCTCCATCTCCTGCATCCTCTTTGTAATGGTTAGCAGGTGATGTTAAAGAACCCACATACTTATCACAAAGAGCAGGGAATGTAGCTCTTGGTGTTGGGGTCTGGCCTTGTTGTTGTTAATAAAGGCCCCCATTTAAACCAGCTTTGTAAATGAATTGGGCCAGCCTGTCTGAATGTCACAAATAAATAACCAATAATGCTTCAAAACTAGTCTCAGCAGTGCTATAAGCCTGACCTGGACAATTTAATCATGGAATGTCTGCGTAATGTTTATCCATGAGTGCTGGTTACAAATCAAATTTTCAGCAAGGCTTACCTTGGCTTGGGTACAACATTTTTGTACAAAAATTCCACAGTGCGCTCAAAACAAGCGAACTTCATCATGGTGTATGGAATCTGCCTCATCCACAAAGGGGGGAGGCCTTTGTAAAAGCTGATGACAAAAAAAATTCAACATTGTAAGAACGCTGTTTGTAATAACCTTCAACATTATTACTAAATCTGGCATTGTGGTACATTTTGTAGGCTACAATGGAGGATTTGGGCTATATCTATTTAACCCACTTGCAGTCTTGCATGATTGGTAGGACTACAGTGATGGCATTTTCTCAGTTTTTATTTTGTTACTGCCCTTCAAAGTAATAATAATAGTAATACAGTTAAAGTTCTAATGCATAAATATGTTTCACATCCTTTTCAGAGCCATTTTGACCCTTGCTTACACTAAAATGACTCACAGTCTGGGCCCAAAACATAGATATGCTACCAAGCATATACTCTGAAAGCAGTCTTTGCTTAGGTCTGATACTAAATTGAAAATTGCTCTACCATTACCATAAAACTTGCACGTGACAAAGTTCCCCGATCTAAAACATCCCTCAGCAACATGCCATTACATGAATCTACCTACCCCCTGATTCCCTCCTCAGCCATCAGTTTAGGTGCTCCCTCTCGCAGGGTGTTGGCCCAGCCTGGCTGTGTCTGGATACGAACCTTCACAGCTTCCATTGGAGCCAAAGCAATGTCTGCAAAGAACTCTGCACTAGCTGATGCAGCAAGGTACAGAGAGGTTCGGAAGAGGTATGAATTTTCCTGAGGCAGAAGGAATAAATTAAAAATGACTTCTGCACTATTTCTGTAAAACTCCTTTTTTTTTTCATTTTTTAAATATAAGGCAGCATCCTGACTTGATTTGCTCCCCCTAACAAGAAGTAAATATTTTGATGCCTTTCTTTTTGCAATAAACATTACTGATCTTGCAACATAAGATTTAGATTAGAACTGTAGTTAGGAAGTAAGTCGTAACATGCAGCATACATCACACACTATCAAGTCTGTTTGGGCAATTCTGGGATCCTGCACAAAAAATCTTTCAGAGTGCATGGAGTTACTTCTTGAGCTTTGACTTAGATACAATGATTTTCTTAGATACAACACCCCAAGAGAAGACAGCCTAGAATCTCAATATTTTCTAACCAAAAATCAGTGTACCATATTTCCTCAAACAAGCCCCAGGTGCTTATTCAATTATTCTGCTAAAGGAGGAGCATACATTGGGAGAAGGGTGTTTATTAACCAACTATTTACCTGTACTGATTCACCCACGGATGAAGCTCAAAAACTTATATACCACATATATCAAGTGGAAATAGAAACAGGTTTTCCTTGAACCCAATTTTTTAGAGAAAGAGAGGGCAGGGCGTGAAATCAATTTTTTTTTCCAATAGCCACTTGGCTCCTAAATTCTTCAAAGTGGTAGCCAAGTGGAACAAAGTTGGTCGCCATTTTCAAAGACAAACAAAACCTTTTTATAAGCTGTCCGCGTTCTAGATAGACCCTCCAAAATTAAATTTAGGAAAAGATCTTTAACATACTACAAAGTGGACACTAGGATGGACAATATACAACATTAAAGCTCACCTAAATCCAAGATGGTGTCTAGTTATCGATCGAGATGCATGTGTTGCGTTTTGGAAACAAACTTAACGAGGAAGTTCGCCGCAGATTTATCTTTGCAAATCTTTTTAATTCACTTTATCTCTTGGTAAGGTTATGATGAAACATTCTAGTCGCCAATTTGGCGACTAATTTCCAGGATTTGGTCGCCAAAGTGAAAAATTTAGTCGCATTGGTGCCTGTATTAGGCGCAATTTCACGCCCTGGAGGGAGGAAGGAGAAGGGGAAAGGGGAACTGTTTGATTTAATGGCCCAGGGGACTGGGCCAATATTTGGGGGAGGATAATTCTTGGAGGGAATATCGTAACTTGCATGGAAATTTCATGTCTGTACATACCTCTCCAATCATGTTACTATAAAGAATCTTAAAAACTTTGAAAAAAGCCCAACTTAGAGGAAATACTAAACATGGGGGAAAGCTCTTTCTTAGAGGAAATACAGCAACTCCCATGGAAATTGAAATTCTATACATACCTCTCCAATCATGTTACTGTAGAGAATCTTAAACACTTCATAAAAGCCGAACTTGCACAGCCCCTGCATAGAATATCCAATGGCTGTTGGAGCCCATCCCTTGGCCAGTCCTCGAGTACCATCTTCCTTTATTGTTAGTTTGAAGCCATTTACAATGTTTTTATACTTAGCTGGGTCAACCTAATAAAAACATTAAAAATAAAAATTTGAATAAGTAAAGATTATTATATATATTTTAGAAGACAAAAGACACATGATTAGGCCTTGAGCACCATGCTACGTCTCTATCTTCCACAACATGTCAAGTTTCATCGGGTTCTGTCTGGAGGAAGATGCCAACATTTTGCAGTTTCCATTGAGCTTTATCTCGACTAAATTCTTCATCATTCAAATGAAGTAGAATATAGGATATGTTTTATATGCTGCGTGCTTCAATTTGTGTCAAACAATCAGATCCTTTTTTTCCAAACAATAATTGTTGAAGCTGTAAAGCTTTTGGGGTCATTTCTTAAAGATCCAATGCGTTAATACATTTACAAAAGCTTACAATTTGTCTAAAACCCAATATGTAAGGCCATCTTGAGAATGGTAAAATTAACTAAATTTCATGCAAATTACAGTATTTCAAGAGTTTAACTTTAAAATTGTTTCAGGTACAGAGTGAACTTGTTCATGTGACATGGTCCTGGCTAAGTCACCCATCTTCTAAACCCTTTAACTCCCAGAAGTGATTAACATTTAAATTCTCCCTGATATATCCATATGCTATCTAACAAATAGGTGATGAGAATATTCAAACTTATCAGGTAGAAGTTGTCATCTTGATCTAACACCAAATTCTTATTACTAATTTAAAGAAAAATGTGTAGCAGCTGGAGGGGAGAATTAATAATCTGATCTTGGGAATTAAAGGGTTAACCAATGCCTGAAAAGTTACCTGAATTCTGCATTTGACCAAATCAAGAGGCACAACAGCTGTATGTGTGATACCGCAACTAAGAATGCCACCAAATCCACAATATGCATAGTATGTTGCACTTCCAAACTCGCAACTGTATGACTCACCTAGATGGAACAAGCAGAGAACATACAACTTATTTATGCATCTGATTTCTCCTTTCAATGTCAGCCCTGAATCTAGCATTAAGGTTGCGAGAATGAAGGAAATGATCATCCACTAAAAAAGCTCTTAATTATCAAAAAAAATTCATCCTTGGTAGCAGCTTAAGAACTGTATAGAGAACAGTATACAGGGCGTGAAATTGCGCCTAATACAGGTGCCAATGTGACTAAATTTTTCATTTTGGTGACCAAATCCTCAAAAGTAGTCACCAAATTGGCGACTAGAATGCTTCATGATAACCACACCTAGAGAAATAGTGAATTAAAAAGATTTGCAAAGATAAATCCGCGGCAAACTTCCTCCTTAAGTTTGTTTCCAAAACGCGGCACATGCATCTCGATCGATGACTAGATGCCATCTTGGATTTAGTTGAGCTTTAATGTTGTATATCATCCATCCTAGTGTCCACTTTGTAGAACTTTGTAGAACTTAATTTTGGAGGGTCTATCTAGAACGCTGACAGTGTAAAAAAAAAAGGGTTTCGTTTATCTTTAAACTATTTTTGAATTGGCTACCACTTTGAAAAATTTAGGAGCCAAGTAGCTATCAGAAAAAAAAAATCAATTTCACGTCCTGGTATACAGGAAGAATATACATTAAGATGTTCAGGTGTAAAGGATTAATTTATACAAGATAATAACTAATCAGCCCAGATAAACAGATCTGAAAAAATAATACACTTCACTTGGCAATATTTTCTCAATCAGAAGGAACATGTTTTTGTCTGAAGAGTCTCAGGAGTTTTTGTAGAGGACCTAGTCAAACATTTTTATAGAGATGCTCAAAACTTCTGAAGGCATCCCTGAGAGTTCCAGTACAACCCTCCCTAAAATATTCTACTTTTTAAAGTCTACAGTTTGGAGAAGGTACATTTTTTCTCATAATATTTGCTTACTCTACTTAAAATATCAGAAATGTGTCAGTTAAAGTTTTCATAATGCAAGTTTTTTGGTTCAGTTAAAGAAACTGGACAACTGGCATCAGACCTGGAAGTAAGGAAGATATTTTCGAACAACAGGTGTAAGAACTGGTGAGTATTAAATAATACACAAGGTTCCACAACAATTGATTGATCTCTTAGTTTTTTTGTCTAGTTTTGTTCCCCCTTAATATCAACCAGAGAAACATCTTGCATGTTTTTACACCTAATTCAAACAATACCATAGAAAAGGGCCAAAAGGTTGCATGTGAATAAATCACAATTTGGTGGTAATAGCACTGATGATATATGAAAAAAAATCACAAATTGGAATTTCGCAAGGAGAAATTGTAAGTTAACAAATTAACTTTAACGCACACAAAGTTGCACAAAGTAAGGCGTAATTTGCAGTTATCCAGGCCACATACAAACGCCATGCTGAAGGTGAAGTCTATGTGTAATATCACATAACTGGCAAATGAACTCAAGTAGATGAACTACGTCAAACCTGTTCGGACGTAACCTTTCCTATTGCCTGCGTAATGTTGTAATGTACAAATATAATTCAATTTAAACATACATACACTCGCAAGCAGAAGTTCCGTCATTTTTTGGTAGAACATTTTGAAGTTGATTTTTAACTGGACTGTTGCCCAAGACTGGCCAGAATATTATCACAATATTCAGAACAATGGGTTAAATATTAAAACACTACATCAATGAACTTCATATATATTCACTGAGAGCTGTGATCGCTCAAGCTTAATATCTAACAGAGTGATTTAAAAACTCCTAAAACACACAGGCATTTACACGCTCAGTTACTACTCAGTTTCTGCAAAGTATATCAAACAGGTAAAAAATGGTATAAAATCTAAAGTGAAAGAAGTGCAAGAGAAATCGTGAACCACACACAAGATCTTAAATCAGAAAAGCCGGCTTCGAACGTACCGGTATTAGGTGCCGCCATGATTCTGCTACGCCTAGTCACCGGAGTTGTTTCTGATGAGCATTGTGCTACGCTGAACGGGTTCGACAATGGACTATTCTTTGCTGTTTCAGAAAATCTGGAGAACATTTTGTCCTTTTCTGGCAATAACTGCACAAGTCAGTTAGTATTCCGCTTCGTGTATCACGAGGTTCTTCACCCTCGTTCGAATTCCACGTTAAAGAGGAAGCCGAAGGGAACTATGGGAGATACGTAACATACGCTAATGTGTTGAGTGCACGCATAAATCAAGTTGGGGGTAGCCGCAAAGGTTTAAGTCTGCAGGCTTAGGTAGTGATGTGCGGAGGTCACCATACATCTGCTTGAACCAGTAGAAGTTGGATGTGGAGAGCTTTTCAAAATTTTTTTCCCATTCTTGCCGATGTGACCTTGCACGGTTCGACTTATCCAGAAAATCAAATTTACCAAATATTTGCACTTTCAACGAAGGGCTTAGAACAGGTTGAATTTTTGTAACCGAAAAAGCCGAGACTGCTGACCAAACGAAGCATTCAGCAAGAAAGTTCTTATTTTCAATCGTTCGTCTCATGATGTGGATCGCGACGTTTCCCCTGCATGCTGCGAGTCTTTTTTCAGGCGATGCGGTTCACTAAATACGCGTCATCTATATGCTATCAGTAAAGCTCAGCTGTGATTGGATCGTATTCCACGGCTGTGACTGGTGCATTTTCGGATCAGGTTCAGCTGCAGTCCGTTGCCACACGGCTCTCCTGATGATTGGGTTTTTGATCGTCGGCATCCAGGCTTCTGATATATCAAATTCACTGTTCCTGTTAATATTTTTAGGGCGAAATCTTACGTGAATTGCCTCTTTCACCCTGCGTGTGTTGAAATGGGGGTCACGATCAATATACTTTACTCCGCTCCAGAGCGGGCAATGTCCGGTTCTCATTATTATTATCGTAAGCTCTTCGGCGGGAGCGTTTTTTTGCCTGCGGTGAAGTCTGAGGCCTAAAGCAACAAGAGCAAGGTCTGCTCTGAGCGCCAGACCCCCAGCAGCCTTTCCCCGTCTCGTCTCAAATCTTTCCGCGGGTAAAACTGCGCTAATAATGATAATGAAGGTCTATTCGCATGATATTCAACGTGAAATAAAATCGCCACCGGGTTGAATCGTAACAAGAAGCCTTCTCCAATGAAGAGAAGCATTTAACGGCCAGGGCGTGAGTAGCAAGTGGGTCATCATTGAAGTCTTACAGCGAGTTTACCCATGCTGTTTTGCAGTTAACTGCTGAACAGGCGGTGATAGGCGAGGACAAATTGGCACGAAGAGCGAGTCACGTGCTCTCTTGCTGCACTTCCCTCCGCTCGCCTGAAAAAAGCCTGAAATGACATTCATTCTGCGGAAGAACCTTACGAAGTATGAATTTCATTAGATTGAACGAGAATGTTAATTTACTACTTTGCGTGGTGTAGGAAAAGAAAACGCCGAAGGGTTTGCAAGGTCTCGGGTAAAAAACAAAAATAAAACGAACACAAATCTCAAACGATCTTAAACCAATATCGTTTTTTTTTCGGAGTCGGAGATATCGATACGACCTATTTCGGTTCACAAGCACTTTTATTCATATAAAATGTTGGCTGAAGTCAAATTTCGAGGGGATGGCAGGTGTGAAAACTTTTTGCAATCATTTACCGTGTTTGTTTAAGGAGAGGCATTAATCGACCTCAAGTCCGACAATTTAAAAATATTGCATGTCACATAAAAGTGGGAATGAAAAAGATACGAAAGAAAAAGAAGACTGTGAATTGGACTGAAGCACATGAATAGAGGCTCTGTGTGCCGATCATGCGTTTACTGCATATTCAATTCTATACACCAAAACATAGTGTCATTTCCAGAACAGCATAAATTTCCATCAGATCGAGAAATGCATATGCATGTACTTCCAACACATTAAGATGACTGACAGCTTGAAAATGTCATGAAACCTTGGTAATTGGTTTGTTTTTTAGACGTAGAAATAAAAACGACGAATTGCTTATGCACAATAAAATTAACGCGAGAAGTATTGGACCACGGCTTTGGACGTTAAGTTCAAAGAGCTTTGTACCTTCCTGCAAAATTTCTAAGAACATAAATTTACCGACAGGGTGAGAGCGTCATTCTAAACCCTCTGGCAATTAGCGGAAAGTGTCAAAAATTGCGTAAACGGAAACGGTAGAGTAGTCGAGGACTGAATAACAGGTGTTTGTGGTACAGAAGTAATGAGAGAAAACAGCCACTTACAAACATGCGAACTGTAGTTGGCTGCAAAGTTAATGTACATTTTGGGCTTAAAGACGTCCCCTAAAGACGACCAAAATTTGAGCGCCGTAGACTTTTCGCAACGAAGATTGAGGATTCCATCTCAAGCATAGCCCAAGTCAAATTCAGACATGTGTGAGTAAATTTTAAGTTAAATTTGTTCAAAGATCGTCCTTTTTGAGTCAACATGTAGCGGGTAGTAGAATATGGTTTAGAAGCCATCTGGAGAGAAAACAGTTACAAATCTCGATTACGTCGCAAAAAAATTGGAATCTTGCTTCTTACTTAAGAGACAAATTCACAATTCGGAGCAAGTTGTTTCTCCTACAAGAATTTAAACAAAAACAAGCCATTTTGTTTAAAGAGCCTGCGATACGCCATTTTGGAAAACATGATGTCATCTGGTTGCCATTGAGTGATCTTCAATAATAGCGGCAAAAGCAACTACGTTTAGCTGTACTGAAATGTTATTAAAATGAAGAAGAAAAATATAAATTTAGGAATACTGCGCAATTATTAGATGAGGTTAAGCAGGATATCATGAAATATCAATGTCAGGGTCTGAGTTATCAACTGTAGCCGAAGACTGAGGCTGATAACACAGATAAGAGGTATGATAATTTACGATATCATGCCACAACCGAATTTAATAGTTGTTTTATTATACAATTTTTAACAATCTGCAAAACTGAAGAGCTTTCTATCTGAGTTTGCAAAAGTTTGAGAAATCTTAAGTGTAAGGGGCTTGAAGACTAGGTAGACTTTGAACCCAGTATCGGCAATACCTGCTGCAGATATTGGGTTATCATGTCAACTTCACGCGCTATGTATATTGACTAAATGCTGGACCAATCAGAATTTTCATGGTAAGTGTAATGTAAAATAAAGACATTTACTGGTTACCCGAAAAAACTCCCCGAGGGCCAAACTGGCAGGTGACCACATTGAATTAAGAGGGTCTAAATAGAATTACTCGATAGCCGTTAAACGGTCAAACATTAAGCCGATAGGCGTAAAAATTGACAAATTTTAACCGTTCGTCGTAAAAAGAATGTAACAGTTTAAAAAAATGTCTGGTGACCACAATGGAGATATATCAACCGTTAGCCGTAAAAAAGCCGTCACCTCTTTCAATTTAATATTTACGTTTAATGGTAATGTTATGGTTAATTAACCATTTCGACGAACTGCCCTACAGCGATGTCAAGTGTAGACCAGTTCATATGATTGCGCCCTGTAAAAAGAAGGTGAAAGCTGATTTACTTTTTGCAATTGCATTTCATTTTTCCTTGACATTTGAACTGCTCACAGGTTGTACGAGGGCAAGTGTGATCCAGAAGAGAGGCCCTAAACACCCTAACGTGAATATGCATATTCTCCATACTGTTCTCTATACATTTTGCAAGGTGCTGACAAGGAGAATTTGCCTAACAATCAAGAGCTTCTTTAGTTGGTGATCAGTTCCTTTATTCTCCTGACCATAATGTGTGATTCAGCAGCGACGCTGTAAGGAGAGATTGGACGGTAGTTTCTCTCAGGGATTAAAGGGTGTTTTCATATAAAGGGTGGAATAGATTCATTAATACTGTATTTATTTCATTCGCAACCATTTTTGATAACTCTTTAATTTGAGCTGTGTTTAATTTGCTGCTTCTAGGTCATGATAAAAGTCATTTCTTTGTAGCTGCCTTCGTCTGCACCATTTACATCACGTGTATTGATCATGGTGAGTCATATTAGAGCTTAACTCTCGAACCCAGATCCTACTGAGTAACCGCTACTGAAATGTGGTATTTTACCACCGCTCAGCTGTGGAAGGTCTGGGTACAACACTGATAAGAACTACAAGCCGCTTTTCAACCATTTGTTGTCCGAACCAAATAGAGCGTAGCAATTTCAATGGCCAATCAGACCAAAAGTTAACACACCACTCGGGGGCCGGTAGTGAGAACTGAATCAATTGAAGTAATGCCGAGGGCACTATAAAACGCGAGTAACCCGGATGAACAAAGTGCCTGAAACGCGGGAAAACGCGTGGGATCAATGCACGATTGGTTTAAATTTTTTGTCAGGAGGATGGTGCAAGTTCTCTGGTCCAATCATAGAGCTAGAAGCGGAGGAAACAGATAAAATTCCCGGATTACTTTCGGCGCTCGTTGAAAACTGCTCTTTGGTGGAAGTTACATAGTAAATGATAGAAGGCTGACGCGAAGGCAGAACAAGTTTAGAAGCTGATTTAAAAATATTACAACTCTGCCTTTGTTCAGCTTTTTCTCGTCTATTTCAGGTGTGGAAGGCGATTGCGAACGTTCGGATGAATACATCGAACCCCAAAATTGCACGGGAATTGAGATCGCAACGCGTTCAGTATGGACGGGAACGCAGTGCTTGGACGAGTGTATCCGCCTTCCACACTGCGACAAATTCATTTTTAATGGGACAGGAAAGGAAAACTGTAGACTTTTGAGCACTGATGGCATATCCTCTGCTCCTGGTGTTCGAAACTTACGGAATATATCCGGCGCATGCTTACCAACAAGTATGAACGTGAGTAGATACTAATTAGCATCAGGAGCTGCTGTTAGCATCAATTATACTTACAATTGTATAGTTTTAGCTTGTCGAATCAAAGGCTAGGGGAAACGAGGAAGAGCATTCTGATAAGGCGGGGTGTTAGAGTACACTTCCATCAAGCGCCATGATTCCGAGTTTAGTGTTTTTCCACTCAATTTTTTAAAGAGGAGAGCCAAGCACTGCTAAAAACGCCAAAAAAAAAAACGAAAAAAAAAAAGATTGCAAAGATAGACAAAAAACAAGACTTCTTCCAAACTCTTTAAAGCGCTTTGAGGAGGAGAGAACCTGAGAGCATGAGGTTGAAAATGTGTGTAGGCAAACCTTCAAGTAAGCTAAACGAAAAGAGTTGGCGGTGGAGAGGGAGAGGGGGGAGAGGTAAGCCGGGATAGACGTAGTCTCGTACTCAGACCTTTCACGGTCAAGCGGATTCAGTTACAATCACACGGTAGGATCTGGGTACGAGAAAAGGATGGATCAACATCCATCCATGGAGTAGCAGCACTCCTTGTCGTTTAATGACAAAAAAACTGGGATAGGCTGCGTTAGGATGGGCTTTAATTGTATTTCTTGGATTTCAGAGCGTGAAAGATTTTCTTTTGGGAACCAAGTACTGCCCCTATCCACTATTTTGGAAGTCAAACGATCCAAGCTTGGAAGTTCCTTGTCGATAAATTAACGTTTTAAATAACAAACAAAAAACAAAACAAAACAAATTTAATCTTAAACAGTGCAACCGAGTATGGAGTGAAACTCAAACTTCTCATCAAGCTTCGTGCTTACGAGAGGTGCTCACTGACTACAAGGAAATTTTACCGTAAATGTCAAAGTAGGATAAATAATGGTAATTGAACTGAGCGGAGTGCAATTTGGGCTGAAATTCGAGTTCAATTTGAAAACGCGAGTTCAATTTGAAATCACAAGTATTATTTCAGACCAAAACTGCACAACACGAGGTTCACTTACCACTTTACTACATCCATTTTGAAATCGCCCAAATACAGGACTTGGTCAGTTCAAATATTTTATTACTACAATACTGAGCCAGTTTGAAATTAAATTCATTCATTTTTTTGGGAGGAAAAAATAAGAGTTTTGGAAACAAAAGTTTCAAATTTTGCCACATGATACTTCATGTCTTTCATCTTCCTGCAATTTGATCGGTTACTTTAAACAAGCCTTGAAGTCTGATTGGTTGTTTTGTTTTTAGTGTAGCCTCCTCATTGGCTGGAAAAAAGATGCGATTTAAAGCAAAAAATGGTGCAATTCGTGAATAAATCGCACCAATTAGAGCCAATCAGATTACAGGGACCACCAGTGATTTCAAAACGGGTGTAATAAAGTATGTAAATATCTCCGTTAGGGTAGACTATCACTCGCTGGAACAGATGAAAAATGTCATGATATATAAAGATTAAAGGTTCATTAGAACAAATTGGAAAAGTGTCGATGTTTAAATTTTCCTCTGTGTACCTTTTTAGGATATAACTCAAATGGTTGCCGCTCAACAGTATTTATTGTTTTTGCTGCTCATAGCTGTCCTGAAAGGGATGATGCTAATCTCGTATTCGTACCCAGATTCTACCTTGTAACCAAAATGTAACCGCTTGGTAGTGGAAAGTCTGGGTACGAGACTAGAATAACGCAGATTATGGCAGCAAAAATGAAACGTTATATGGCTTCTTTGACCCTTTACTGACCCCCACGATTTGATTGTTAATTCTCCCCTCTAACTGCTGCACGTTTCCTTATAAATTGGTTACAAGAATTTGGTGTTAGATCAAACTAACAACTTCTGCCTGATAAGTTTGAGTATTCTCGTCATTAAGGGGTTAATGGTGGAGATAAAATTATTGTTTTCAGAAATATGCCTCTCCTTCGAAATGCCTTGCGAAGTTAATGGTGGAGCCGAAAGATCACTATCCGGATTTAGATCGACTATTTCATCTCCTTGCCCTTTGCGCCGGGCGCGCAAAAACATGTGCAAAAATGAAGCGTTCTTACAAGAAGTCATCGCTGAGTGATGAGCGGCAGCTAACATTAAATTTACTGATGTGCTATTCCTTAAATGTCTATTAGTGCAATTCAGTTTTCTGAGACCACCGTAAGAGGAAAAAAAATTTAATACCCTTGAGACAACATATGCTCTTTTGATGAGCTCCTATGTTCTCTGAGCAAATACGAAGAATTTCTTTTCCAAACAGGAATGACATTTCCAATGATTATTTGCCAAATTGTTCTTAACTTTTAACATGTGCATCACACTGTAGATCTATTTTCGGAGTTTTCTGCGCTATAAAAGCAATTACTTAACTCGATATTTACACAAAGATGAACGCTTTTATGACTCGTTGTATTAGCAGCTGCTGAAGACTACTCTCAGCCAATCGCCTAAAAACTGATAGTGACAAGCTTATCATCTTTTGAAAGAGTAAACGTCAGCTCTCTAAACAAAACTGAAAGAAAAATCTCCTTTCAACAAATACTGCATATCAAGCCCATATTTTGCCAAAACTAACGAGTTTGGAAAAATTCTCAACAGACTGGAATTTTATGCTGCGATGCACTCAGGTGAGTTTGTTCTGATTTGTCCGTGTTACTAAAGGGCCAGAGAGCTTGAATACTGAATTTTTAAAATAAAATTTATCTTCTTGGAATTATGCCATAACATACATAACCCCCAAAATAACGCAAGATAATGGAAGCCTTAACGATTGATTGTAAAAACCTGACTAAGATTAATAAATACAGTCATGTGCCACCGGAATCTCGGAGAAACAGGCTTGAAAGCTTAGATGAAAAGGTCTTCATGAGTTTCTTCCTTGACTGATCTTAAAATCTGATAGACTTGTATAATAAATAGCTTAACTTCTTTGTCTGTTAGAACTGAATTCGTTTTGTTTGTAATCTTGAGAAAAAACGCTTGCGAACACTTTAACTGGAGACTCGAAAAGTAATACAGCGGCCACAAAAATTAATTACAAATTTATGACTATTTTCAGAGTCGAACCTAAAACATATTTATGCCCGCAAGCATAAAATTCCCTACTGTTTTATTATAGATTGTAGTCTTCTGCTTGACTGCCACTACTTGAAAACGCAAATCATCCTCGTCTGCCTTCTTCTGACTCTGAAACAAATCACAGCCATTGGTAAGCTACTCATCTTTGTCCAGATTTATCGCGGCCTGAACACAATGCCCAAGTAACTTATGAAATAACGAATTTATGAGGGAGTTTAGACTTTGTCGGAAATATCAGCATTAGGCATTGATATCTTTTTCTGACGGGAAATTTTAGTTATCTCGCTGATTTGATCCGTAATCGTTTTCTGCCCAAGATAACCACGTCCTAGATTTCGCACCAATTTTCGCCTGTTCGTAAGAAGAAGCAACATGGCTTCACGGATTTTACCGCGATATAGCTGGTTGAGTTTCCTTACTCAAGGTTTTTCACAAATATCTTGTTGCAGACTGTTCGTACTCTGCAGTCCTGAAAGGCGATTCCTGTTTCGAGCCCGGTGACCATGTGACAGAAGAGGGATGCAGACGACTTAGCGAAGAGTGTTGTGTTCATATAAAAAACAAAGTAAAATTTAAATGCCTCAGAACCAAAGAAAAACAGCCCCATAAAGGTAACTATGGAACAAGCTAGTTGAAAAGGCCATTACCCTGCCATCAACTGAAGGAAATGAGTATTGATTAAAGATTCCCCCGCGAATCATCTACCCGTGGTAGATGATTTAAATTCTATGTCAGTATTGAACTCTGGACAATCGGTTCTAAAGGACTGACAACAAGTAGTAGATGATTTTAATTTGCAATGATATAGTAGTCTAGTCACTGTGGTCTACCCTCTTCCACTCTTTGTTGTGGGAATGAACCCGCCCGGGGTCAGCGGTTCAGCCCGTACATGGGGCACGAAAGGAAGAATTTAGGAACTGGGCAAAATTAAATATAGGAAGTGCCCTTATCCCATATGACTTTGGAAACCTTGCATTTAAACAGGCAAGAAGCAATCGAACTAAATTAAAAAATGCTGAATTTGGAATTTCGCGTGCGATTTAAAAGGGCAAATATACGAAATAGAGCATATGCCTGACCAATCACCAAATCATTTTGAAAAAAATACCTTCGCTCCTTTAATATTTCTTCCTTTCTTCAGGAGGCTGCAGCAAAGTTTCATTAGTAGAAAGAAGACCACTTATGAACCAGTTTTTGGAAGGTGACGTTCTTCTGGAGTTCAGGGTTGTCTCTGAACTCCATTGCTGGGACCACTGCATACGGTATAACTATTGCAAAGCATACAATTATCATCAGACCAGTGATCCGTCATTAGAAAACTGTCAGTTGTTAAAAAGTGATATTGGTCTGTTAAAAGCCAGAGAGGGTCACACATATTACGTTATATCCGAGCAAAACAAGGATTCACAGGTGAGGGAGTGGTCATTATTTGTTACGGGGGGGAGGGGTCGGAAGGTTTTTTTTTGGTTTTCAGGGGGAACAGAGTGGGGATCAGTCGTCGCTAACAGAGCATATAGGGAGACCAGGCCAATTTTCATTGCTACGGAGCCTTAGGGGGGATAGGGTAAATTTTAGTTTGATACGAACCAAATCCTCCTCTCTCCCCCCCCAGGCAATGAATAACAACGTACCGTTCCCTAAGTTTACTTTTCAACTTTTTTAACTGTTTCAGGATCGTAAAATAATCATGATTATGATTTCTCATCATATAAATCCTATAAGTTATATCTTATTTCTCAGAATTTGCTGGGAAGTACGTGTCGCTAAAGAATGCACCGAAATCCTCTCGAGATTCATACTGACAATGGACTTGACTGAAGGAGACAACATAAAGAGGACTTTAAGAAGTTAACGATGTGAAAACGCGACGCCTCTTTAAAGGGAAAGTTACGTGACATACATAGAAACGGCTGCGAAGGAGACTTCGATAAAACGTGGAGCCTCAGGAACAAGCAAAAGATAACATGATTCGAGGAAGCTCGCCCAGACACGCATAAAGTCTTTCTCTCAGAATAATTATCAAAAGACCAACTTAAATCCAAACATCCATATTTTCCTCTACAGGTGATAAAGAGATTTTCTAGGATCAGTATCAGTGTCTGGGTAACGGCCCACCTACCCCTCCCTTAACCCAACATTCACCCTAGCTTGTTATCAAGGGTAGGTGGGCAGTTGCCCAGATACTGATATTAATCCATTTTCTATACCACAATTAATAAAGAAATTGATTTTCATTTTCGTGCTTTAAAAAAGCTTTTTCTTTATATTGCATGACAACATGGTTAGTCGATCAAACAGACTGTCACGCTTTCTCAGGACGTGATTGAAGTAAATTTTCCGATTGCAAAAAAAAATGGTATGATCTTCGAAGATAGCCTTGTTAAAGTAACTAATGAACCTGTTTGAGAGTCGTTTTCAGTATTCAGATTTAATATTAACTGGTTGCTCAGTTGTTTATTTGATATAACCAGCTGTTCGTGATTAGCATATTACGTACAATTAAATATTCAAAACAACAATCAATTACACCACTGAAAAACCGAAACGTTTTATTCGTCAGACGTGTCTATATTAACTAAAGCAGTTTTCATTTTTCATCATTTTTAAATGATACAAAATGCCCGAAAGATCGCTGAAGAATTGGTTTAAGCTCGCCTTTCACTTGTTTGTGAGTGACCAGTGGGAGAAAGTCGAAGAAATCGTGCAGGATAATGATTCCACGTACAGATGGCTGAAGGAGCAGATCCTACGCGAGGTATGCAAAATTGAGGAAAACTCTTTCCGGAGTTTTCTCGGCTCCGCAGCGCTGAATATCCGCGACAGGTTGATCACCATAAAACACGTGAATCCAGGCGAAGAAATTTTCAGCAAGGTCAAATTTTGGCTGAACCAGCAGACGGGAAAATTTGTCTTAGAAGACAGTGACAACGCGACGGAAGACAGAGTGATAGGATGCAAGATCGCTTTGCTCGAGGCTTCGTTCATCTACCTCGATGAGAGTGAGATGGTCGCGAATTTCTTTCGCCATTTGCTGAATAAGCTGCGAGGTATCGCCGGGGTTAATTCAGCCATTGAAGAGAAAAACAACCCTACAATTTTGGCCCAGGTCAAAGTCATTGACGATGCAGCGAAGGAGTACGTAAGAAGTATTGGGCAAGAACTTGGGGATTGGCCCGTATTTGATATCTCCGCCGAGGCCCTGCCGAGCGAGAAACCCGATTACGAGCCCCCAGCGATTTGGTGCTTCGGTGATTATGGCATGGCTGATGGTCAGATGTGCTACCCAGAGAAAGTAGCCATTGATAAAGAGGGGCAGTTCCTTGTGTTGGAAGAGCACACGATCGGAATGGGAGGCGTAGTGACCATCCAACGTATCCAGCTCTTTAGCGCTAAAGGAAAATTTTTGAAATGCCTATTGAAGCGAGGCGAAGGAAAGGTCAATGGTATGACAGATTTCTGTCTCACCAAAGACGGAAACATTCTTGTCGCAGACGAAGACGAAAACGGCCACGGAAGGATTCAGATATTCGATTACGAAGGCAACAGGCTTGTGCAAATCATTCCGGAGGTCCATGACCCAGAAGTTCATCCCCACTTCGCGAGCGTTGCTATTGATTCCAATGGTAACATTATTGCTGGTGATTCCTCGAGCTATAGGATCTACATCCTGAGCGCTACTGAAGGAAAGACCCTCTGCAAGTTTGGAAAGTTTGGTCGTGAAGAAGGCGAATTTCAGGCCATCAATCATGTCAGCTGTGACGATTCCGGTAAGATCTATGTGTCCGATTCAGCGCTGCACAGAATCCAAGTTTTCAGTGGTGCCGGTGACTACCTGAGTTTATTTGGTCCAAAGGGTACTCACTTGCGCTTCTTGCTGTTTGATGCTGCGAGGGGCGAGGTGTATGGCTCGGATTACAGAAATCACAAGGTGAAAGTGTTCTCCATGGCTGGGGAGCCGCAGAGAGAGCATGGGAAATATGGCACCGCCCTGCACGAGTGTTGGTTCCCGTTAGGACTGGCCCTGATGCCTGATGGGAGGATCGCGATAGCCGAGAGAGAGAACCACAGGATCACAGTGTTAAAGATTTAAGGTGAGCCAAAAGCTAAACGAATTCTCGATACAGGTCCCATCCTCGATTAATATCATATTTGTACTTCAAGAGAAACGGATTGATGGTATAAAACATACCTAGTCATAAATCTTTTTGCAGCTTAAATATAGCCGAGTATTTTGTAGGAATTTTTAGCGGGTAACTAGTTTGATTCCCAAGGAAAGTGATGTTTTAAACGTCCTGCGCTTGCGCCGACTAAAGACGTTTGCTGTTTCGTCGTACTCAACAGTATTTAAGTGAATATATATCATGCGTGTCATCTGCTACATGAAAAGCTGCGAGTTTGATCTCAATTTCATATAGAGGAATGGATCAAAAGCTTTGCATTCAGAAAGCAACGTCGTCATTGATCGGTTTGACAATCTCAAACAGTCCAAATCGAAGCGTTTTTTCTTCATCTCTGGAAACAAAATGTGCACAGAATTGCAACTTTAAATTGAAACAGTTTTTATCGAGAAAATTCCTAATACAGTGACAATTTTTTTTACAAATTTTGTTGCTTTATCATATAATCTTATTTTCTTTGCAGATGACGGTTGAAAAGTTGATGGTGGGATGATTAAGGAAGAAGAGGGAGGATTATGGAAAATCTCTGAAAAATTTCATTCAGTGAAAAAAATGATTCGAATCATCCTCATTTTTACTAGGTCTTTCTCAAAGACAGGCTAAATAGTTAGCAAAATATATTGAGGAATTGAGTAGTCTAATTTCTCGCTTGTACTGGTTTAAAAAATACACTCATCTGATTAAACTGGTGTTAAATTGGTGGAACTGTTGTCTTTGCTTTCTTATTTTTTTTGGTCATTTTCCCCAGTTCTTATAACTATGAAACAGATCAATGAAAAAATTGAAATTGAAAATTGAAACCAAGCGCTAATTACTCGACAGAGCCTACGGTTTGTCTAGGAAGGGTGGGGAAGGGGGGGTAGGTCGATGGATGTTATTAGAGAGTAGTCTACGAGCAGTTCTTCTTTTTCGGCGAAGACGTGCGTACTGTTTCGTTTAATAAATAGGCGTTGCCTTGTGTTGACAGATTTATTCGATGACAAGAATCGTGATTGACATTAATTCAATAGATTGATTTAAAAGCGTTAGATTATTATGTTTTAAGTCAGTTTTTCAGCAGAATCGAAGTGAGAAAGAAGTTATTTTGTTATCGTTTTTCTGTCTCTAAATCCGCTTACCTGGAGAATCTGCTAACCCGTAAAGTGAGACTGTTGAAACGACCCGCCACAGAAGTAAGTTTATATTGAAGTTTTTTAATTTAGTTACAAGATAAAGACTTGATTTGCGTTTGTTCTAATTGCGAGTTATAAATGTATTTCTTTTAGATCGAATAATTATTAAAGCTTGGCTTAATATTATACGGTTTGTGGTGGTCATTTGATCTAACCAGTTCTGAGTAAGGAAACACGTACTAATAAAAAGAAAGTTAGAGAAAATTACACAATTGATGTTAGCGTGTCGCGCTGACTTATCGTGCCCCTCACTCCCATAGTACCGCGCGACGCACAAAAAACCATTATTTTTGGTGACTGATTTTTTTTCATTGGCACGACGGACTTGGCCGAAAGAAGGGACTACTCGTAGTCTTATTTGAGATTATCGGGATAATTTCATACACCCGTTGTGAGAGGAACACGACGGAAAAGATTTAAATTCAGTTTTACTCGTCGAAGTGCATCATGGGGGAATATTACATACGCGGGAGCCTATTACTTGACATACGCCCCATAAAGGACTAAGTTGACTCAGGTACTAGTTTTAAATTCATTTTTTTATCTTTCTGTAAATCAGAGTGGAACTTGATTTATAACATTTCTGAAAGTTTTTCAACGGACAAAAATTCTCAGAAAAGCAACCATACGACGAAAATCAAATAGACGCCGTGATCCGGCACCAGGATAATTGTTCACAGAATTTGTACCTTGATATCAACAGCTCAAAGACAAAAACCAATTATGAAATAGATTGCATCAAACTAACCTGTAGCGTTTTTTTTTCTTTCTTTTTTTTTATTCTATGGCTCCTCATTTCAAAGCGATTTTATATGTGTATAAAAAAAATGCACGACCAGGAACCAATCAGAAAGCACATACATTATCATTACTGAACAAAAGAGGGCGGGTGGCTTGTCTAATAACAGGAAGTCTATTGATTGTTTACTTATGACGAGAGGGCGTTGTCCCAATTTTCGAATAACAATTAAGAAGTCAAGAGCCTGAGAAAACATTTGAACTAAAAGCCAAATCACGTTTTACATGCAAAGTCCCATAAACCTACAAAAAAAATGTATTCTTTCGAGCGAACTTAGTTGACAACCCGGGAAATCGACCCACGCTGGTTTTAAGCGATACAAATGGAGCGTGTTACGTGACGGTAAATTCGCTTTCTCTGTAAAGAGCTTACTTATCATTCAAGCAGATCTAAGTGTTTCCGGAAAAATGATGAGGTTCATTTGTTACGCAATGCTCTTTGTAAAAATAGAATTCTGCTCACGTCGAGTGCGGTACTTCAAGCGTGAATCACATTTTCCGTCATACGTTGAAGAGTTTGAATACAATTCATAAAGGCAAAGCCCATTGCGGAAAAAAGGCTTCAGGTAAACTGTTCTTTCTTAGCATCGGTGCGCCTCTCCGAATTCCTGGTTTTAATTTTACTGTCGCTCGCTTATTCCTGGCTAAAATGATATGATGTCTTGAAATCAATATTTGCCTCACTGCAACGAACCGGAAGTGAAACACCACAAAAACACTCCACAGCACGAAAAGTCAATCAAACGATCCCAACTTAAAATCTAGGCGTTGTTCCAGATTTTGCCATGGATATTCGATCACGAGGTCCGCTTTATTTGTTAAGCCACTAAAAGGGAAGAGGAGTACGAAATCTATCAAGGCTTGAATTCTCTCACTAAGGCGAGTAATCTCCTCAAATATCTCATCATTTTAAACTTCTGTTTACTGTGTTTGAGTAGCGTGACAAAAAGCGCAGCAAGTCGTCTCGTAAACCTCTCTTTTGATTGGTCTTTTGAAAGGGCTTTGGGCTATATTCTCTCCGCCTATACTGGTCTTTACTAAGACTTTAGCCATTGAGAAGGCGCTCGTGCGCCCGGTGTGAGCCGCGAAGCTCACATGATACGAGACTGTGAGCGAAGCGTGCACTTGATAGGAGCGTGTGGTGTGTGATTAGCAAGCGGTCTGCTCGCATCTAAAAATTTCACCGTTCGTGCTGCAGCTCTGGTGAAAACGTTCTCGTAGGCTCGACGCATTTGCAGCTCGACAACTCTTGTGAGTTTACGCGCTAGCTGGAAGGAGTAGGCGACGAATTAATCCTCGTAAGTGAAATGCATGCTATTAAAGGAATTGTAGAAATGGAAAATGGACCGAGATGCTTAGATCATTCCTTAACTCAGCACGGAAACCGAACTGGTAAGCTTACAAGGGAACTGAACTGGTGCCTTTTACTCAGTGGGTGGCCGCGCTATTATCTACGAAAATACGATGCCACAATTTTGTGAACGAAGAAAAGTTTTGCGTGGGTTTTTTGTTTCATGAAAAGGAATTCAAAAATGATATTTGCATTTGTGGATTAGTTAACCTCGACGAAACGATCTTCGTTAGATAAGTACAGGAAAAGTAACTGTAGTGGAAGAAGTCGGAAAAAATCAGGCTTGGACAAAACACGACGTATTCCTCCCCAATGATAAGCGCCATTACCAATTGAGCCACAGAGCCACACAATGGGGGCGAGGAAAGTTTAACGTGGGTTCTCCATTACCCGTGGGGGAATTTGATCTCAAATGACTTGTGACCGATAAATGACAAGCGATTATCAGCCTTTCAACTCGAAGCTTTCTTTGCCCGAAAGAGAGAGTATGATCATGAGGCCCTTTCTGAGCAACGCAAGCCTGCTAGAGGTCTGCAAACCTCTCCTCCACTTGTATCAAATCTTCGTTTGCGCCGCATTAAAAACGCGCGTCCTGCAGTCTTGTAATGAGGACCTACTCTCAAGGCTAAGCTATGAATTTATACTCAAATTGCGTAAATCAACTGGAAAGTGCAGAATGACAGGGTTAGTAATATTATGTATTTCTAGAGGTTGCAATTACGAACTGTCGTTCGCGATCCGCTTCTTGGAAAATGGAACAAAGAATTTTAGTTTTCCACCTCACACTTCTTTATTTCGTCTCTTTCAAGAAAGGAGCATAGAAACACAAATTGAAAACTTGTAGACCGTTTCGCTGTCGAACTTTTCTCCGCAGTTTGACTGACATCTAATCTAATTAGTATAGTTGAAATTTTTCATGTCTAAGACTTCCTCTCTGCGAAAAAAAAAAAATATTCAAGTGATTACTTTTTGTGGTTTGAAACTAGAATTTAATTATCATAGGAAACATAGTTTGGATATGACCTCATCCTTTATTCAAGTTCAACTTTCATTTTAAGTGTGAAATTTGCCGCCATTGTAGAGAAAGAAAATGGAAAGGAAAGCAACACAGAAGCTGCCATCACATACGAGAATAAAAAGAAAAAACCTGACCAGCATAAATACGGAAAGTGACAAACTTTTGAATCTCGTAACAGAACTGCGTTGGAGTGTGTTGATCAACGAGATTAGCTCAGAATTCGTGAGGCAACCATGCGCAATTTGAGGGGAAAGATCGAAACCGCGTCGTTTGATGGCGTTAATAACTTTTTTTTTAACATATGTATACAAAACTATGACAAATCTGGTATCTGGGAAGGCCAAATGTTCTTGAGATATAAGAGGAAGAACATATCCTTCACAATACAACTATTGCGCCAGAAATGAAAAAAAAAAGGTTTTAAATTCCGGTATCTTAATTGTTCCACGCCGGGATCTGGATTTTCAACGTATGCAAACATCACGTACTGTTACATCCCACGTTGCATTTTAAGTCATGATTTCATTTTTTGCGGTAAAGTTTGTTACATGTATAGATTTCATAGTCGTGCTTCGGAAATAAACAATTACATGACATTGTTTAGTCATCGAGTGAAGAAATCCTACCAGAGCTTTTTCCTTTTCGGTACCTGTTTTTCTTTTATATTAGCTCCTATTGCAAAGTTTAAGAATGTAAATTTAAACCTTTGTTCGCTTTTGAAGGAATAGGCCTAACGCTGGCAGTCTTAATTTGAACTCTGTCCGTAAATTTCACCGCGCTTGCGTAGAGCAGAAGCATGGCCAATAAATTCTTGGGAGGTGGAGGAACTTTTAAATTTTATTTCACTTCCTGACGTTAATTGCAGATTAACTGAAAAAAATCTCGTAGAGCTTTTCATGTTTGAGGGAAATTTGACGTAAAGGTATTCTTAACATCTAATTTAGTTACTTGAGGATATCAATGGGATATCGCTGAGGGAAAGGCAAGTAAGATTTTCAAAGAATTGCGTGGTTCCTAGCACAAAAGACCGGGAAATTGCAATTTTCTCAAGGGAGGTAGAGATCGTTTCTGTGCTACTTTGTAAAAATATTTGTTAAGTAAATAGAGACGACACGTCTATAAAGGCAACACGAAAAAGACAATTTGAAACTATATACTTAAGTATAAAAAAAATCTTGCTGCAACACGCAGTTCGAAAAAGAAAAATTGTATGTTTATAGATGACTTTTGCACTTTCTGGTGAGGAAATGCGAAAGAACGGAACTAGCGAATGCAAAGTTTATTACGAGTTCTTGTTTAAGAGATCAGTAATTGTTGGGTCTGTGTAAAGTTTCTTCCTTACATTTCCATGTTTATTGCAATATCGCTCGCTACGTTTAAGATTTTGTTAATTACAGAGAATCTTGCATATCGGACTATCTCAAAACTCTGTTGAAGACTGTAGCCAAATACTCAACAAGTTTCCTTCCTCATAGAAATGTTAATTTTGAAACTAAATATTCCGTTTGTCAGTTTTTGCTTGGGTTTGTCCATTCTTGTGGAGAAGAGAAAAACCGCAAGGACAACCTTAAAGAAAACAAAGCGAACACCTTTACGTGCGTTTCTATGGCGTGAAAAATTACAGTGTAGACTTAATATAAACAACAATAGCCTTGAATTTACTTTTCAAAGTATTTGAATTGATTTACATGCCTTAATAGGTTATGCTAATGTTAATACAATCAAGTTTGCTGTGTGAGATCAGAAGATCTATTGTCTTCGGGTATTTGAGAGAGATCTTTTGTTCCATGCACGTGAGCATTCATGTTAGCACCTCTGTTTCAAATATGTTTCTCACCATCTGATTGGTCCGGATGCAAATTTCCTACAACGTGATTGGTCATCAGTTAATAGGACACATGAGACGTAAAGGGTATTTAAATATTCGCGGTTGATGAAAGTCAGATTTAGTGACAGTGAAATTTCTTCGAGGAGCGAGTTGTCGGCGTTGTTTCGACCGTTTCTTGTCTTCAGGAATAACTTTCCGAACGTGTCTCCTTATTGAAGATCAAGAGAAGCAACTGGTAAGTTTTTATAACCGCTTATCGACTAGTTTTGGAAGTTAACGGGGCGAGCTGTTTAACCTAAGGGATCAGAGCCGAGAATTATTTGCCTGTATTGTAACACCAAAAATGGCTCATTCCTTCTGGGAAAAAAAATCTTCAACAAACAGCGATCTAACAGGAAAAGGGTTCTGTTTTTATTTCAAGAAGAAATTTTCCTTCATGCCTAGTATCTGATCGCTCGAAAAAACCTCATGGAATATTATAAATATAGCAGTGTACAGTTTCCGCTAAGTAATTCGTGGAGCCATGGATTACCTTAGTGAGGTTAATGTTGCTCGAATTTAGCTCATCTGATATTTGTGTTGATGGTTTCGCAACTTTGATGAAACACGCTTTAAGCTTTATGACCGAGAACGAGTTTTACTTTATAATCAAAGAAAAATCCGAGTAATTCTCCGTTATGGTTTTGAGTTCTTTGTGGGCGATCTAATGCATATTTACATGTTCTACAACAAAGCTGGAAATTTATTGGCAAGTTTGCTCGATTTTTAGATATTTTGTTGGTAAAAATATAGTGATAAATCTCCCTCTTACTCTAAAGTGGAAGAATATAAGTCACGAAGGGCAAAAAATACAAGAGAGAACCGGCTTTTGCTTGCAGAAATTTCCCGAGCGTTCATTGTTATTGTAAGAAAATCTTCGAGGCGTTGAGGTGAGATGGAAAGCGTTGATGTCGAAACAACTGCAAATCCAAATCGCTGTATTTTTTTTACGTATATATAGAGAGCGTAATCACTAGCATTTGCTTTGCAAGTTTTTTTTAATTAATTGCGCTTAGTTTCTATATCAGTGACGACGAGCAAAAGTTCGATTCGTTTTGTTCATGCATAATTCTTAAATGCCACATGTCATAGCAATTTGGTATCAATTTTTAATCTAACATGTAAAATGCAAGGCATTGATAATTCCGTCAAAATCGGCAAAGGAAAACTCGACAAGCCCGTTGTCTAACTTTCATTTACAAAGCTGAAAACTGATAACATTTTGGACAACTAGGACAGCGCGTTTTACGAGAGAAATTGAAAGTTCCGAAGCCGCGGAAATATTCTTTAGCTTCATGAGCCGGCAGATTTTTCAGTAGTTAGTAAATTGTGAATCTCCGATTGCCTTAGAGAATATATTACCCGAGCTGAAGATCAGAAATTTCTCCATCTTCCTTGTAAAAAGGGTCGATAGTTTCCTGCATGGATATTTTACAAGCTCAGAGTGAATGTTGGTCGCCCTCTTGAAATTTTCGTGAGTATCGGGTATCTTTCGAGATCAAAACAAATTTCCTTTCTGCAGGGTTCTTACAAAAAAAAAATAACCCATGAATTTTAAAATATCACCTCTAAATTGGCCAAGCCCTTCCTGGAGTTTACCGCATTATCATATCAATAAGAATATACGCTCGGATTTTAAACAAACAATTTCTGTTCAACACTGGGCAAATGTAAAGATCGAACTACTGTCTTCAGCGAGGACTCAATCTAGTCGTGTGTTGCAGAAGTGCTCAGATAAATAAACTCCCCGGCGAAAGAAACGGTCTGATTTATCTACAGCTTTGCTTAAGAGCTCACTTTGTCTGTGCCTGGATAACTATTTTCAAAATGTTTTCCTTTCTCTGCTTTCAATAAATTGCGGTGGGTCAAACAGTCTGCTTACTCTATCCTGTGGCATGTTTGGAATGGGATTCCCCTGGTAAAACTCATTAGTCGTGCATACTCGAACCTGTCTCAAATAACGTGATTTTGCCTTGAAACCACACTTGAACAAAATGAGAACTGTTGACTCCACAGATCAAATGTCAAAAGGCAATCACATGCTTACAAAAAAAAATGCGAAAATTCAAATTACAGCACTGTGGTTTTGTAACTAGTAGTGGTGAGTTCAACAAGGCGAAGTCACCTTAACCTCTTGTTTCATCAAGGTATGTTATTTATTAGTTCAAAAGCTTTCTTGAAATTTTATTTGAATACCTGGATTGTTATCATAGGATTAAAGGACTCTTATTCTTACAGGTTTATTTTGGTAATAATTTATCAGATTAAGCATTCAAAACTCATGAAGGCTTTTGTTGGAAAATACTTAACTCTTTAACTCCCAAGATCTCATTAGTAATGCTCCTAACTGTCTGCCATACAGTTCTTGTGATGGTAGTTCGGAGAATTTGGTATTGGATCAACTTATAGTCCCTTGACTATTTTCTTCATTCTCATCCCTTGTCTGCTTGATATTGTACGGAGAAATTTTTTCTTGATCACTCATGGGAATTAAAGGGTTAACTTGAATCTACCTTTCAATCCACAGTGCTTCCAGCAAAGATCCTAGGAAAAAAAATGCCTCCAGGGACAAAGAAACGAAAGACAGAGGATTGTTGTTTTACAAGTTGTGTTGGTGGTAGTCCAAGATATATCACTAGACTTTTTCTTCGTGAGCGAAGAGCAAGTGGAATTGAAAGCATAGGACAGTATTTTGGATGCTTACCTCCTGAGATGCTGAATCTCTTATTCTCTTACCTAGATGCTCCAGCACTGTCCTCAATAGGGGCAACTTGTCGTGTTATGAATTCACATGCCAAACGTTTATGGAAACCATTGTGTATGAGGCTGGCACTTGTTCACAAACCCACTGTTTTGTGTGTGGCAAATCCTTTGAGCGAGGAATCAATATTTTCATATGATAAAGCTGTTGAACTTTGCACAGGTGAAAAGCGCTGGGAAGTAATGGCAGCAAGGAGCTGGTTATACTCAAAATGGCGCTGTGTGGTGTGTTATCGGAACTGTTCTCATCGGGTAGATGTTCATTTTGATGTGACGCTCTGTGACAGCTGTCACCCTTTGTTTTACAGACGTAAATGCCATGCCAAGGTATGTCAAGCATCAGGTGTTTGAAAGTCCCAATCTTTGACAAGGCAATAGTAACACTTATAACACCCCTCCCTTACTGAGGTCCTCTGTGCCTTGGGAGGGGTTTGTAATTGTTACTTTTTCTCTCTGTTGTAGATTGCTGCTCTGACACTTTAAAACTTTTAAGAAGTGTATTTATTGCTGAAAGAAACAGTGGAGGGAAGAGCCTGGTGCTCTGCATTCCTGTCTATTTCTTGCTCAGTTTTTGACATAAAGGAACTTATTCATTTGCAGCTGATACTCTCCCTCAAATAGCCTTATGCAAGGTTAAGGTGACAGTTTGCTGGTACCCTTTAAAACTCTTGGGTGGAGCTGAGAGGATTATCCAATCACCTGGTTGGTGGTGGGTGGGGGGGGAGAGGGAGTGCATGTTAATATAGGCTCCATTTCTGTTTTTGTGTATTTCTGACTGACGTGCATGGTCCTCTTGTGAAGAGAGAGGCATAAGCTTGTTTTTTGATTGTTGACCATAGTTGAATGTAAGAGAAGTTGGCACAGACCAGAGAAAAGTTCTACATCTTGTCATGGGAATGGAATAATCTTAATGCTTTTGACATTTCCAATCCTTGCAATATGCAAGCTAAGACCTCAGTCTTATTTGAAACTGCCTGTAGTAACAACTAAGCTCACTACCTTTTTATCTGTAGCTTAGTAAGTATCAGAGAATACAAGGAATTAGGATGCAACTCTGCATGCTTTAGATTTTTTACCCTTGCCTCATGCTTGTGACATTTGAGGCAAATATCATCTTTATTTCCTTACCACGCTCAAAATTTACCATATTTCTCAATATATTATCAGTGAAAATTTTTCCCTCTCATCTTTAAGCTGATACTTAAATTTTTACAAGCAAAAACTCCTTTTTTTTCTCCAATAGGAGCAATTTAGTCTCACTGAGAGAGATCTTAGGACCATTGACAATGACTCTTATGAGTTCCTAGTATCAGATCTTGTTACTCTTGCGAGAAGGAAATATGGAAGTAGAGAAGCACTGCAAGACAGACTTAATCACAAACAACGGCAGAAGAACATGAGGGAAGCAGAGAAACAATGTGCTTTGGTTCAGCGAGAGAGGGAGGTTTTACGAGCCCTTGAAAGTATGAACAGCTCCTATAGTGATATAGAAACTGTCGATGCAAGGTGCATGCCATATGTTAGTACTCCTGCAAGTTACCAGTATGCTCCACAACAATCAGCGGAGGATGCAGCAAAGTGGTTGATTGGATGGAAGAATAGACAGGAGACAAGGCAGAAGCTGCTAATGGCAGAAATCGAGGCACGGTCAACTCGGTGTAAGGGGTGCAGAGCTCGTTACGATTACAGGTAAGGTGTTTGAATTACTTATCAGTTGAAATGGTAAAGGTAAACTCTACTCTCAAGCCAAGTGGCTTACAACCAGGCAGATCTTCTAGTGGTCTCCAAAGTATGAGGTAATCATGAATATTAAGCATGCATCAATCAAATTGGGGTTGGCAAGAGGTCTGCCAAGGATCTTACCAGAAAGAACTTTCCAGTGTAGAAATGCTTGTGCCAAAGGACTAATAATACAGCCCTGTGTACAAACTAAGGACTACGTGCATCTCATATATTGGTAATCTCTACCAAAATCTTTGGTTATTTATAAGGAACCTTTCTGCTATATTGATGAAATTTTAGCCAGACGTTACATGTTTAGTGATAAAACTTACAGATCAATATCAGTATCTGGACAACTGCCTGCCTACCCTTCCCCTAACCCAATTGGAAACACGTTAGGGTTAATGTTGGGTTAGGGGAGGGGTAGGTGGGCAGTTGCCCAGATACTGATATTGATCCAAACTTGCTATATACTTATTTTAATAGATAGTAATTGGTGTTGAAACTACAGATCTCTCTCCAGGTTACCATCAGCCATCAAGTGCACTCATGTCCTGGAAGAAAATGCCACAAAGTTGATGGAAACTATTAAGGAACATTTCAACCATGACATACTTCACTACACACGACATGGACAACTGAATATGGAGACTGGAGTCTATGATATGGAGCACCGATCAGCGCAGGAACTGTTCTTGCGAAATGAAAGGAGAACAAAGCTGATGGAGGAATTAGAGATCAGGAAAACAGAGTGGCCTTCCATTTTGAATGGTATGAGTTAACCTATATTTTGGGACACAGCAAGGATTAATTTACAGTGGTGAATACCAAAGGAGTATGGGTCTGTAACCAGCCCAACCCCCCTCCCCATCCCCATCTGACCTACAGACCCATATCAAAGTTTTGATCTGCTGTCAAAAAAAAAACTGGATCTACCTTTGAGTTACTGTGACAAGTCTGTCTAACAAACTTATCCTTAAGCATTGTTTCCAAATAAACAGAAATTAAATCAATGTGACCTAGTTTGTGGAAGGAAATTTTGTCAGATGGAACAAAGAATTTCAGGAATATTCTCCATATTGCCTGACACCCTTTCTGCTCTTATTTCTAATTCAAACAGGACAAAAAAATGCCATGAGCTGCACCTATGCCCAGGACTTCATTTACAAAGGTGTGGCCATACTTGACAACGACGGGAACAAGTGTCGTCTGCGTAATGCCAAGGATGTGGCCAGGGTGATTTTAGCAAAGGCATGTGGTTGGAATTCAAGAAATAAAGAAGTAATGAGTGAATTGGAAAAGAAAGGATTTTTTCCACCATTTGATAGCCTCAAACTGGAGAGCCATCTTTTGATGGATGATTTTGTTGAGAGCAGTGTTGTGGTAAGAAAAACCTTTTCACTGCTAGTGCATAACAGTTTATATACTATCATAGAGGTATTCTTCTCATATGAAAATAGACTTGCATAGTTATCTAGGCTTTTCCTGATTTTGAAGCCTTCGTGTAGGAATAAGAAGTTTTGCTAATATTCTTTTGTGGGATGCTCCATGTATTGTAGAGGATTCCCTACCAGTGTTTTATTAGGCTAGCTAGTACCCAATATCAGACTGAAAAAAAAAAGAAAAGATTTTTGGGCAAGATCGTATGGAATCCAGCTCCCTGTTACACTAGCGATGATGTACTCTGATCCTCTCTACAAGGGTAGTTCTTAGAAGATAATTGTGGTATTATCAACTGAGTTGATAATGTAAATTGGCCACTGTAAAAAGTTTCAAAGCTGATGTTTTGAGTGTTAGCCCTTTGTCAGAGCCGTGGTCAATTTACATTATCAGCTCAGTTGATAATACCAAAATTATATTGCTATAATCCCTCACCAACACAGCACCACAATTTCTAAAAACACAGTCTAATTCCATTTTGAGCCAAGAATGACTGTTGTCAGCAATAGTGATTGACATCCTTGGCAGAAGTCATCATCAGTTTAGCCGCTCAATTATTAGACCATGTGATCAAATACCCCCCTCCTCCCCTTCCCCCACATTCAAAACATTAACTGTATTGTATACTGTCAAACCTTTAACTCCAATGAGTGACCAAAAGAGAATTTCTCCTGACGTTATCAATACAATATCAAGCAGACTAGCAGTGAGAATAAAGAACAAGATCAATTAGGGGATTATTAGTTGATCCAATACCAAATTCTCTGAACTAACATCAAGAATTATATGGCTGGTAGTAAGGAGAATTGCTAGTGAGATCTTGGGAGTTAAAGGTTAATATATTTCTTCCTTTGAAAACTTAATAATTCTCAATGTTGTGTTTATTTCAGGTTCATGGCGACAATATCATTGCTTGTTCTTCAACTGAGGTAGCAGATAGAATAGCTGTGATTGAGGGCTTGGAAGAGGAACAGAAATCATCTGCTGCACAGAGATGTGCAAGGATTTACGCTGAATGCAACAGGAAACCAGGTGAAACTTAACCCTTTAACTCTCAAGATCTCATGTAGTAATTCTCCCCACTGTCTGCTATTTAGTTCTTGAGATGTTGGTTTGGAGAATTTAACAGTCTTAATAGGTCATGTAGAGAGTTAGTAGGTCTTCTTAAGCTCTGTTTAAATTTGAATAAAATGAAACGCACATCAAATTGATATCATACCAGCCACAAGAAAAATAAAAATATAGTTTAGTTTGCTGATGGATAAAACACCCTTCATTACCACTTCATATGTGCAGCTCATGAGTTAGAAAATAACTTATAAAATTAATTTTAATTGTAATTATTAAGGAGAGATTTTTAATCAAGGGTAATGGAAATTTAAACCAGACATCTTTATTAGGCATGAATTCAAATACTCTAAGGAGGTCGGACCTTGTTCACTTGATCTCCAAGCTGCAAATAGTGCATTTCAAGTAGCCAATTGTCATTATTATTTTTATGCATACTTTTAAGTGATGATAGACTAATTTAAAAATTTCAAGATCCTTAATAGAAATATAATAATATACTTGAAAAAATTATGTGTATCTGATTGGCAGAAAACAAGTGCATTTTTTGATTAACTCAAGTGAAAAGTTGAATACAAGTGCAAATTGCAAATAGCACATACGCAGTAAGATGTCTGACTTGCCTGAACTAAACTTGACTTGGAATTCCATTACCTAGATGGCCATAAATTTATCATCTCTATTAACCAATTTTCATCATTACTTTTATTCAGACATCACTGCTCTGAGACAATTGCGGAAAAACAGTCTTGTCAAAAGCTTGAATGTAAAGTCTTTTTCTGAATGTGGGCCCAGCTCTGATCGCCGGTGGTCACCTGCCCATGAGTTCATCAACTGGTAGGTTAACCTTCTTGTCTTAGTCCTTTATAACTGTTTTTCTACCTTACTTGCCTGTTAATCAATACAAAAATATTCACAAAGCTTGAGTTGCAGAGATCTGAAGTCTTGCCCATTAAGTGTGAGACTCTTACCAACAAATTTAATCTTGCACTCTCCAACTAAAACTACTGTTTCTCACCCATGTAAGGTTTCTGATTTAAATTGTTGATTTTGAGAGGGAAAACTTTTGCTTTAGTTAAGTACCTACCTTTAAAACAATTTACTCCTTGCTCGCCATCAAAAGAAATTGTTGGTCAGAAAAAAGGAACACATGTCTAAGCTACCTTAATTTTTTCACAATTTCCCAGAAGAGTATGCTTCCACTCTCCCTCAGGAGAGTGATGCATCACAATCAAAGCCATAGAGGTTTAAAACCTCACAGGCTGTCAGCAAATCCACATGATTGCTCTGTAGGTGAAAAATTGTCTCAGTATAATTTCTTACTAATAAGATTATCAATGACAAAGAATTAAGAGTACTTCTAAATTTATTCTTGATATATTTATTCATAAATTTTTGTCTGTTGCAGTGGAACAACTACGTCACTTTTTGGGTACAAGGTGACCACGCCTGAGGCAGTTTCATCTTTGATAAGGCTCAAACAAGAAATCCACTCTCAAACGAAGATGCTTTAGAATCTATAGTAATGTAATGTCAATAGTGATTTTTGTATAAAATGGTCAGTATGCTATTTTGTTAGTGAAAGGTGAAAGTGAGTTAATTTTCCAGCCTTAGGGTGATATCCAAATTATGGATGTGTTATAACCAAGCATCATTGTTCCTACAAGTAGTTTCAGAATAGTAAAATTTTACAACTACTTCCTTTGGTGTAAACAACAACGCATCAAATATTAAAACTTGAGCTTAGATTGTAATAATATAAGGTAAAAAATTTAGCTCCGTTATGTCAATCTGCAGTAAATTCAAGTATTAACATATCTTAAATCTAAAAATGTCGGCAGTGTTCTGGCAGAGAAAAAATCTTCTATTGATTGTGTCCTGATTCTAATTTTCAAATTGTGCGAACTACAGTTATAATCTCACTATTAGAAATGTACATGGTTCACGTTCAGGTTAATGAGAGGGTGCAATCCTCTTTTATTAATAATAATTATTATCTATTAGTTTACTTGGGGCATGATGGTCATGTAATATTTTATGAAGGCTATTTGCATTTGTGCAATTGAAGTGCTGATAAAATTTATTATGCGAGACTTTTTTTGGCCTCTTTTTTTCTCAGATCTTCCAAACCAAAATTTACATGATTACACTGAAACTGCTTGTATTGAATATGCGACTTTCTAGAGGTAATCTTCTGTCCTGCTTCAAAAAAACAAAATTAATCTTGCCAAGAAGTACATGTAACAATGATCAACTGGAAAAAACTTATTACAAAATTTATCCAATTTTGGAAAGAACTGAACTTCCATATTCTGCTGTTGTTTTGCATTTAAAAATTATGCAATTGAATATATAATTGTTTTGGATTTTTTAACGACTTTTGCCTTTTAGCAAAGAGATAAATCGTCATTATTGTGCCATACACAAAATTAGTAAGCTTACTTCTTTCAAATGCTTCACACCATCAACCATTTCTCATGATTTTAGCTCAGTGAGTTTGATGTGAAATCTTAGAACATCTCCCCTAGGTGTTGGGAGAAAATCCTATTAGGTCACTCCTGAGAGTACCAGGGTTAAAAAAAAATACATGAAGTTCCATTTTCTTTCTTTTCTTTTCTGAAATACCATTTGAGGCAGACCCTAGCTTAAATGTTCACTAACTTTCTATATGCTTTTTGCATCTTGTTGTCTCTTCAATGGTTTGATGTCATTGTTAAAAATTACGTCAATCTCTTTCCCATGAAAACTCTCTTTAACTCAAATCCAACACTACATGAAGACTTGCATTTTCATAACTGTACAGAGAAACTCAAGAATTTTTGCACAAGAACCTTTTTATACCAAATGCTATACAAGGAGTGAATGCTTAATTGATAAATATACTTGTGGTGGTAGTGAAAACCCCACTAAGCAATAGTTTTCTCAACAGAAACATTAGGACTGCCGTTAAATTGTAGTTTCTAAAAGTTCAAGAGAGTGATTTAAAAACTAAGCAGCAATTGAGCTAGCTGAGAAATCCAAGCTGATATTAGTGCTCAAGAGGTTACAGTTGTAATAGAATAACATTATTAGAGTAAAAATTTAGAAATTAGTGGAGTTCAAGATTGACTGTGCAAACATTGTCAAGGATCTACTCTTTCCAGTCTTGTTACAATTCAAAAAGAAGGTTATTCAGATATTCAAGAAATAAACTCCATTCATAAACCCTTGTCACATGTCATTATTTAATTTAAATTTATTATAATAGTTATTATTATTTTGACCAGACACTACATGTGCTGTGATTGGGGATTATCAACTCTTTAACTCCCCGATCAAATTTGGAATTCTCCTTACTGTCAACCATACAATTCTTATAATTTTAGTTCAGAGAATTCAGTATTAGATCAGCAATTATCCCCAATATTTTTCTTTATTCTCATCACTTATCTGGTTGATATTGTATTGATACTGTAAGGAGAAATTCAGTCTTGGTCAGTTTATCAACTGAGTTGATAATGTTCTTTGGCCAAAGCTCTTGTTTCAAGTGTAAATCATTTTTCAGAGTCAAAGAGGTGATTTGGCTGATCATGCATTACATCCCCCCATCCCCTCACTAAAACAACATCAACAGCCAAATACAAACAAACTAACAACAATCTATTACAAAACACAGACGTGCGCTTATTTTTAACCAGTTGAAAAATACACCTCCTTCATTTCATTTTAACATTCAAATTTATTTTGCATTCTTCTGGAAACTCAAACGGAGATTTCTTTGCCTATTTTATAAACAATTTTCAGACAGTGCAAACTGAGTCTTCCCTAAGAAGTTAACCTAGATCTTCATCATCTATTATATCACAATGTTCTCATTCTACTCTCCTGCTTCATGTGTAGCCAATCATCACTTTTTTTCATTCTGATCTAGCAGTCCTCATTTAAAAAACCTAACAAAATTCTTCCTAAGTAATAAAAACTTATGTAAAGCAACTTCATAGGGGAATCTCGGATTTGATCAATTAGAGTGTTCAAGGCTTTTTTCAGAATAAAAAATTTAGATCAATATCAGTATCTGGGCAACTGCCCACCCACCCCTCCCTTAACCCAACATTAACCCTAGCTTGTTATCAATTGACTATTGTTGAGTTAGGGGAGGGGTTGGTGGGCAGTTGCCCAGATACTGATATTGATCCAAAAATTTTTTATAATCATTAAGAATTTTGTTTCAGGTAAAAATATATGACACTTAAAATTCAAGATTATTTCATTTCCTACAATATAACACATGTGTAAGCTTGTAAAAAACATTTGCTAAAAATTCAAATATTACTGCTATTAATATTAGCTTAAAACACTCAAGATTACTCTTCTGAAATAACCTTGACTAAAAAGTGTTCATATGCTGCCATGAATCCATCTGGATCTTCCCAGTGTGGGTAATGTCCAATATTCTTCGACATTGTTGAAAATGTCCCTTTAACAACAAGTTCCCTGGAAAAAAATTTTTTTTTAAAATGAAATTGCTCTAAGTAGAAAGATTGGTTCTTTACTTCACTAAAGAGCTGAACATTCACCATCCTTCTCATTTGATGTTCTAAAATTATTCGAAAAGCAGACTAGACTTTAAAAAAAAACAAATCACAGGTTAATGGAAGCAACACCCTAGACAAACAACCCTTGAAACAGTAAGAGTGATTAGCATCTTTTTTCTCCTTACAATATTACCTTGAACCCTTTGCTTCCCAAGACTGACTTACATCTAATTTCTCCTTACAATATCACCCCTGAATCAAACATTCAGGTCACAAGAGTAAAGGAAATGATCAACTAAAAAAGGCTCTTGATTGTTAAACAAATTCTCCTTGTCAGCACCTGAGGAAATCTGTAGAGAACACTTATGGAGAATATGCATACTGATGTTAGGGTGTAGAGAGTTAAATCAAACACTGATTTTCATGAGAATACACAAATTGATCTCCAACATAGGCAGCTCTTGACTGTCAAACTCTCCTTGTCAGTATTATAGTAAATGTATAGAGAACAGTATGGACATACTGATGTTTGGGTGTGAAGGGTTTATGCAACTAAAACCAAAATGTAGCTTTAGTAGTTTAAGCATTTACTCTCACAAGACAATAATTAATAGAATATTTAATTTACTGACATAATACAAATATTAAAATTATTTACCTGTATTTGACAAGTGTTTGAGGAGGATTGATTGGATCTGCAGGTCCATAAATAAAATGCACTAAAAAATAGACAAGAGAAATACAGGTAATACAAATTTTTTCTTGTAAAACAAATACATTTTAAAGTACTAAAAATTAAACACTATTCCAAAGTGAAGAAAGCTATGTTCTAGAAGACCAAATAATTGTGTCTTTATGGCAGAAATGCCCATCCAATCAATACATAAATTGATGATCAACACTTTCACTACCTAAGTTTGCCATTTTTTAAAATAAGTTTTAAATTCATAATTTTCTAAATTAGCTTAGGGCCCCATTGATTCACTCATTCAATTCACACTACATATGAAAGTACCCCAAAGAACTGTGGTTTTATCCTGATATCAATTAACATCCTATGGCTGCACAGTCATTTTCATTCCACATATCAATTGAGAATTCCGAGTCATGTAATTATGCTATCTGTGATTGGTTGGATCTGAACAAGTTGAAGTCTTCATGACTGTATTTCAGTCCTGCCCTCTCATTGGTTTTCATTATTTTGTGGCCCTGTTCTCCACAGATGCATTGTAATTTGAAAACAAGGTACAGTTTGCTGTTACCTGGCACTGTTGTGGTTTGCATGATACCAACCCATCTTGCTCTGTTTTCCTTCCTCTGATTAATGTACTGAAGAATGCTGAAAATAACATGGGAGAGCAATAAATAAAGATCAAGAAGGCTGCATTTAATTGTAAACTTTACTCCTCTAAATCCACCAAGTAGTTTCTTTTGCCCCATGCACTAACTGTTTTCCCTAAAAATATTTGATGAACATTTCAGACATCAGTAATAAATACTCTGTTCTGATCTAAATAATAATCTTTTAAAGCCAGAAAATATTTTAAAACAAATCTTTACTATAATCCTGGTCTAAACTTGTTAGGACACCTTCAAAATTAATCCTTTAATAATACTGTGGCTGTCAAATGTGTTCTTTATCTGTTAAAAAACTCACTCATATTTGAGTCTTCTTTCCCCCTCCCCATGTGCACATACCACCCTCCAAGCAATACTGAAACCAACTGCAGCTTTTCTTAGTGTTTCCAGGATTTTAATAAATATTGGAAAGGGGTAGAGGTACTGTTGCCTACACCATTTTAAAACACGTTCATATCTAATCGTTTTGCATTAGGTGTTCCTAGAATTCTATTTGGGATTGTAAGTCAGTTGGAATGAAAGTATTTTATTGTGCTTTGGTCAGGCAATTAGCTAGATTTCATCTAGAGTTCTCATTTGCTTCTTGCAGTAGGGTAATAGAAGGAATAACTGATCAGAAGACAGTCTCCACAAAATACAGCTTGGGTTTGAAGACTTTCTGGTTGAAATATTCTCTTCGAGTATTTGGATCCATTTACAATTTATCTTGATGGGACAGATGTCTCTAAAGAGACTGAAAGTTCCAGGTGAGCTTACCTGGGTACTACAAGGTAACCATCTTTGTGTCTCATGATGGTCCAGAAATCTTCTAGCTCTTCTCTAGGAGGCCGTGTGCCGGGACCAAACACTGAGGCAAGACTGGAAAAAATTATTTGATGGTTTTATCGATTGAGTTGATAATGTAAATTGGCCACCGTGGAAAGATTCTCAAGCTGACATTCCAAGCACTAGCCCTTTGCCTGCTCGAAATGTCAGCTATAGAATCTCTATGGTGGTGAGTGAAAACCTCCTTACATCTAATGGGTACTGGTTTGAGTTCATTAAGTTTAGGTTAAGAAAACTTAAATTATATTGAATTGGAAGTAGAAGCTAACTTATAGCTGTGTGTACCTTCTTGCAAAGATTGGGTAGCTTGTTAGTCTTGAAATGAGAGGTCCAAACCATGGATTTGACCCTAACTACAACGATACATTCAAAACATGAACAAGTATCTTATACCACTAAAAGTACTTCAATTGTAATGATACTTAGTTTAACCCTTTAACTCCCAAGATCAAATTATTAATTCTCCCCTCAAGCTGCTATACATTTCCTTGTAAAGTAGTTATGAGAATTTGGTGCTAGATTAGGATAACAACTTCTACCTGATAAGTTTGAATATTCTCATTACCTAGTTACTGAGTAATGTAAGGATATTATAGGGAGAAGTTTCATGCTGATCACTTCTGGGATTTAAAGGGTTAATAACAAAAAATTCAAGCAAAACAGTACCTTCTGAATTACTTTAGGGAAGTTTGTGTCAGGAAATATACCTTAAAATTGATTAAAAAAACCAATAAGAGATTTAATAAATAGTTAAGCATTGATAATAAAATGAACTTTTTCTATTAGAAAAGTAAAAAGTTATCATCATTGTGCTGATACTTATACAAATATGAGTAACATTTTCACAATAAAAAATTTACATTTGGAACCTAGTAACAACATAATAACGTGTAATAACTTCTTTGTATCGAATCAACAAAACTCCTCACAATCCATTGATTTTTACCCATGAAATTATAATTTCTCATCACCTCATCTAAAGGTAATCTTGAATCTAAAATTTTAAATATTGGGTTTCCCAGGAGTTCCTAGCTTGTTTAATTGTATTTGTTTTTAAAATCTTCATACTTCATATGTTTTTCAAAGCGCATTTCTAGATATCAGTATGAGACATCAAGTGACAATAAGAAGCTGTTTACCTCCATTAGTTAAACAAAGGGATTCTATTTTGACATACTCTGTTGGATCCAACCCTTTCTTTTTCCTTTCCCCATATCTGTATAACAAAAGAGAACAAGATTTTCAAAGAATCCAGGATATAATCATTGAAACAAAATTTCAAGAACAAGTTTTCTTATATATAGAACTTGAAAAAGAAAATTTTTAGTGTGTTCATGCTTGCACAAGTAGAGCAAGCTCAACCCTTTGGCTCCAATGAGTGACCAAGACAGAATTTCTCCTTACAATATCAATACAATATCATGCAGACAAGTAATGAGAATATAGAAAAGTATCAATTAGGAGATTATTAGATGATTCAATATCAAATTCTCCATACACACATCATAAGAATTGAATGGCAGATGTAAGGAGAATTACTGATGAGATCTTGGGAGCAATAGGGTTGATGAAGTGGTCCTACTAAGTACCATCACTAAGAATCTTGGGAAAATTATTCTTAGTAGCTTTTTTGAGTTCAGAGTTTATATTCTCCATACTGTTCTCCAAATATTCCTGAGGTGCTGACAAGGAGCTGACAAGGAGAATTAGTTTAACAATCAAGAGTCTTCTTAGTTGATGATGATTTCCTTTACTCTGGTCACCTGAATGTTTGATTCAAGGATAACAATGTGTGGAAAAATTGGAAGCCAATCACTCTTTGGATTGGAAGGGTCAATACACTTTGTACGATTTTCAAACCATTAGCTTGCAGACTGTCTAATATTAAGTAAACTCCAGAATAGTGCAGTCTCATGCAAGTTGTATGCAAGTTAGGAATTAAATACATGAAAAGGTGATAGAGTGCAATCTTAAGTAAAAAATCATATTACAACTATCCATACCTTGCTAACATCTCAAGAGCCACTGTATCTCCCAAGTCATGGGCTAAAATGTGAACTTTGGCAATTCCAAGATATTCTAGAAATGCCTCTTGTAATGTGGCTTGCTCCATTACTGTGTATTCTCTGTCGCGCTTGGTAATTAAGTGAATATGAGTACACAGTCAGCTTATTAACTAAGTGTGGCAATAATCACTACTGACAACTAGTTACTACTTGATATTATACTGCTGCAACTATTTGGGTGTGTTTCATATGAAGACTTCACTTGACCCTTTAACTCCCATGATCTTTTCAGTAATTCTCTGTACTATCCATTATAAAATTTATGTGACGTTACTTCTGAGAATTTGGTATTGGATCAACTAACAATCCCCTAATTGATACTTTTCTTGGTTCTCATCACTTGTCTTCTTGATTTTGTATAGATATTGTAAGGAGAAATTCTGTCTTGGTCACTCAAGGGAGTTAAAGGTTGAACACGGAGGAAGAGAGTGCAGAAGGAGTTAAGGAGCAAAGGCAGGAGAGCTGATGTGCAAACACTCACGTGGAAGATTTACTCACTAGCTGTGTTAAACATGTTTTAAAATGACAGCCTTCCTTGTTATACTTACAGGTTTATCACTGAATCCTAACCCAAGCATATCTGCTGCAATGACTCTTCCAAAATTTCTTTTCAGTTTTTCCCAAACCTGAAACATTTCATAATTAGAGCAAAATTTTTCTGAATTAGAGAATCACAAAGATGTCATCAGTTCTTGTTGAAAAACCTTTATTTCAGAACTACTAGATGCAAAAATAACAGCCCTAATGCTAAAATTTTCAGTTGAGTGGGGTGCAATGGAATTACGGCAACCATGTTTTGATATCAAAATATGACTCAGTTTTCAGTGGCAATATGTTGCTATAACTAATTATCCCTGATGTAACATTGAGTGATTGTTAGGCAAATGAGATTAGCTGCCTAAAGCTGGTTACATACCTGGTGATTTCATTTGCTGATTGCTGCAAATTTAATCACAGGCAAAAATAAATGCTCCCTTACCTGTCAGATATCAGCAATTTTATGTTGCAATTGCTGCGATTAGTGAAAATTGCAATTGCTGCATTGTTGAACACCTGGCAAATTTTACTGATTGCTGTGATCAGCATTTAAAATCACCAAGTATGTTGCCAGCTTTATGTAGGATCTTTTTTTGAAAAGATAAAACTAATTATCAAATAAGAAAAGGCAAAAAGAGATACTTGACTGAGAAAAGGTAATATTTTTTACCCTCTTCTGTCTTAAATATAGATCAAGCTTACCTTTGACCAGTCATAATTACTGGTAGGAAATCCATGAATGCAGAGAACCACAATATCATCATCTTTCTTATAACCTCTAAAATCTGCAAATAATTTTGTTATTCACAAGTTTTTATCAACAAGGGTAAAATCATATGGACTGATATCACTGCTGTCTCCTGACCTGACCTCCAAAGCATCAAGTGACTTTGAGCATTGCTCCCACCTCCCCCCCTGGGATATCATTCCATCGTAGTGTTAACCACCCCCCCTACTCTCAAAGTTTCTCACCGGGTTTCCAAGGACGTTGTCAGTACCCATGTACTCTTCGGTGATTAAAGAGGGGGATTTAGAATCTTGAACAAGAAGACAACACAAGAGCCTTGGTCATAACTTAAACCTAAACCCAACAATCAAAATGTTCCATAGCGCCAAACAATTAGGTCGTGAATAAAGCCCAATAGCGTCTTTCATCCTAACAAACCCTCTTCACGTCTGTGACGATGAAATCGAACTCGTTTGGGATGTCCAGGAAAAATATAAAAGTTATCAATCTTGCTTTTCTTCGGCATGAATTCCATGTATTTTACCCTCAAGTTGGTCTTGATTTTTCCAGACATGATGGGGATTGCCACGCTAGTAGTGACTTGTATACAAAGCTTCTTTCATTCAATTTGAAAGAGGTCTTTGAAAAATATCCCCTTCTAACGCACGACTTACGACGAAACTTATTTCAGCTCAAGGAATTGCAGTCGATTTTTCATTCCAAGCACTCAAACAAAAATCGAGAATCTAACTGAAAAATTCTAATCATTTTTCTAATTCCAGCATAAAAATCAGGGTAAATTTTCAACTGACATGCAAAAGACTGTGCGCATAAAAACATGATATGATCCGAGATCAAAGCACGCTCGCGCGCCACATCTAACCTTGATAAAATATCGCGTTCCCCTCATAATTAAAGTACTGTCCCATTTTCCGCCATTCCTTTAACCTCTGTGAGAAATTTGGAGCAGGTAAATTGATGAAAGAAGCAATTGCAACCACAGCTATGGCGCAAGCTATTTGAAAATTGGAAATCGCCATGTCATGTAGTCTTGGATATGAAATCTTTCGCGCGCGGCCTGGAACAAAATAAATAACTCTCCCCTCCCCCGCCTTTTTTCAAACGACTTAGTAACCGCGGACTTGACGACGCTAGAAATTCGAGCGAACAAAAAATGTCAGCAACGAGTCGATCCGTGAAAAAACCTCCAAATGTAGGATGATTTCTCATCATATTAACACAGATTCGAATTCAGCTGTTGTTTTTTTCTACCTGAAGCCAGATTTAATGTATTGTATTCGTTTTTTTGCGTAGATTCTGGAGAAGAAAATCCACAAGAATCCAAAGTATGATCATATTGGCGCAACCGTTGACACGGGTAGGTTTTTTGAATGAAGATTATTGTTACAAATTCAGATGATCTGATTTTAAATCTGTTAGATGTGTTGCCCTCCGATGACAATATATTTGTAATTTCTTCGTCTCAGGAGCCAGCATTTCAAGATATGAACAAAAGATCGAAGAAATGCGGAAAAGTAGGTGACCTTCTAGTTTGCATGTCGTACTTGTAGCCAATGAATTTAATTAAATAATTTAAACTTAATTTATTCTCAAGTTTGATCTGTTCACTGGCTTCGATCGAAAATGAATTACATCTAACTTGTTTTGCGAGCTATGGGTAAAATAGCTGTTTTATCAGCTGTCAATCTCCAGCCTTCATCTATTGTAAAATATTTAGCATTCATTGGCTATATTTTATTTATATATGTCTGTAAACATAATTGTCTAAATCTTCTTGAGAATGGGGCAATTAAAGCTCTGCATTGAGATTTCTATGGAGGGTACAATATTTAACAAGTCGAAAGGCTAGGAAAAACATTCACAGTACAAAAAAAGTTATGGAAGACATTGTGAAATCCATTACTAATTCTGAAATTTAGTTTTACTGATCCTTGACTGTGACAAACTTCTAACATTTCTCCTCATTGAACTATTCAGATTACAAATACAGGAAGGATGAAATTTTCAAGAGAATGAAGGTTTCAACCTTAGCACAGCTGGTATGTTATACGTTTTGTCTATTGTGATTGTAAGCTTGAAGAAGAACAAACAGCTTACCTATTTAATCCTTTAACCCTTTAACTCCCACAAGTGATTGACATGTAACTTCTCCCTATAAAATCCATTCATCATCTAGCAAAGAGGTAACAAGAATACTTATACTAATCAGGTAGAGGTTGTTTTCTTGATTTAACACCAAATTCATGTAACTTATTTAAAAGGAAATGTGTAGCAGCTAGAAGGGAGAATTAACATTCAGATCTTGGGAGTGAAAGGCTTAACTCCCAGAAGTGATTAACACGTAACTTCTCCCTATAATATTCTTATGCTATCCTACAAACAGGTATTGAGAATACTTAAATTTATCAAAGTGTAACTTCCCTATTCTATTGCATTATGTCCTGTGCCTTTTATTCAGATAATTTTGTGTTTTATTATTTATTTCTGTAAGATTTGCATATATCAATGTTTTGGGTTTTCATCTAGATCCTTCAAGTTGCAGAAGCAGTAAGCTTGGAACAGGAAAGAAACAGTATATCAACAGCTGGAGGTTTGTTACTTGTTTTATTTTATTATGTAATTATTCCACTGTGCCTTCATGAGCCAGCAAACAGATTGACAGATGGACTGGCAGAAATACAAAGAGATAGACAATCAGACTGATTATAATCACATTTTGGATGAAACAGATTTCATCTAAAGCCTGCAGATGCAATTCAAGTAGAGCTATGATCTTAGAAGGTGTGCTGCATTGCAATTGCAGAAAAGGGGGCTGAAAATTCAGGCTTTGAAAGGTTTGAACCTGAACTTCTTAGATGGGCTGCAAAGCTGCACAAGGCAACTTTTTTAGGGTTCTCTTTTCCCATAAAGGAATTTGATCAATTTTTTAATAAGATACATATTTGACCTGCAGAGCCCATGTGCAAAGATCATTGCTCTACTAGACTGATAGTAAGTGAATCAAGACAGATAGGCAGATAGACATTAACATACATAGACAGATACTCAGGCATGAGGTTGGACAGGCATGTACTGAGAAACACAGACACACCAACAAACACACAGTTTTTTAATGGGAAGACAAGTGGGTTAAGACACTGACATGCTTTATTTTGTTCTTTGACAATTTTTTTTTCAAAATCCAGTGAAAAAATTTTTTAAAAAAAATTAATGATTTGATGTTGTGCATTTTTTATGAAAGGTGAAAGTGTGATGTCCGATGAAACTATCACAGCTGAAGATAAAGAGACACCAAGAGAGGGTGAAGGTATCCCTCCCTTAAATCTAGAAGATGACGAGGCCAGACCAGACTCCACAGCAAGAATTAGTGCACGCTCAACTCTACAAAGGTTAGATGCAAGCCTTGTGTATAATGTTCAACTGATTGTCAATGTGTGTACTTTGAATGTCTTGTCAGACTGCACACCTTAAGAATTCCAGTCTTTATGCTTGTGTGGAAAAATGAATTCACAAGCTAACTTAATAAATTTTCAGCCAAACCTCAAGTTTGAAAAAAATTCTCCTGTTGTTTTTGTAATAATTTTTTTTTGTTTTGTTTTGTTTTGTTTTTTCCTTGTCAAAAAAAATTCACCATCTTTATAATAATAATATCTTGGGTTTATTCACCAAGTCTCATACATGGTGTTGGAGAAGTTGACATACGAGACAAGGATGAAAAAGAAGACAACAGCTTTGATGAAGAACAGTTATCAGTTCCTGAAGTTGAATCTCTGCCTTATCTTTTGCTGGATATTAGAGATGAAGATGCCTATAAGCAATGTCATATCATTGGAGGTGTGTACTCATAAGGGTCATGTTAGTATTTTAGATGTCTCTTTGGATCAATGTTGATATCTGAGCAATGGTGCACCTAACCCTCCCCTAGTGCAACAACAGTTAACTAATAACAAGTTAGGGTTGATTTTGGTTTAGGGGAGGGATAGGTGCACAGTTTCTCAGATATTAACATTGATTTGTCTCTTTGAAAAAAGAAAGCTTTCAATTATACATCCTATGGCTGTGTTTTTGGGAGGAGAGTGCTCTGTATGTCATAGCTCGCAAGCAGGCTCTTACATAAGTGCTTTGGCACAAGCTGGTTTGTGTTAAAATGACAGGTCCTGTTGCTTTTCACAAATCATAATGAGGCCTTGATCATCTCTATAACGCACCAGTTTTTGTCAAAATGACAGGTCCTATCACCTCTTACCAATCAGGCTCTGGTTGTTCGGAGAATGGATAAATCTGGATATATCTCTATCCTTTGGATAATGCAATACTTTTTTTTAATACTTATCCTCTGGATAGTGAGTTATCCTCTGGATAATGTTATCTTCCCTCTGAACTACTGGGTCCAGAATGCTAAGTTCATGGACCATGGCAAACCTCTCCTTGGCTCATCTCCAATCTTCCTGCAGACGCTTCCTGCAGACACTTCCTGCAGACACTTCCTGCAGATGCTTCCTGCAGACGCTTCCTGCAGACGCTTCCTGCAGACGCTTCCTGCAGACGCTTCCTGCAGACGCTTCCTGCAACACTAATTAATGAGGACCTGTATTTTGTTTTAAAATTTTTAACCAGCATCTTTGATTTGCAAATCATCAGATGGCGGGGGGGGGGGGGTGTTGGGGGGAACAGTAGTTCCTGTTTTTTCAACCACAGCACCATTCAGTAGTACAGACTGATGCTGAATGTATTTTTAATATTGAACAAACGTTTGTCAGAATTAACCGTTTTATTTATTTTCAGCTCTTAGTTATCCTTCTTCGATGCTATCAAGATCGTACAACTATTTCACCAAAGAAATTCTTACATTTGTATCCTTTTTTACTAGAGAGGGGGTTATTCTGGATTTTTTTTTCAAATATTGTGAATTTGTAAAATTGCAACATATACCAAACTTAAGGGTTGCTAAGTGAAATCACTGCATGTATCTTATGGCAAAAACGCGCGATATTATTCATAAAATCATAAACCTTTTGAAGACCTAGAATGCCAAAATAGAAATAACTGATTTCCATAGAAGCTGAATTTTTCACCAAACACCAGCAAACGCAATTTTTTTTTGGCAAAAGTAGTCCGCCATTAGTGTAGAACACGAGCGGTCCTTCTTTTTTAAGGCGAAAGGCCGTCGTGCGAGTTTAAAAAGATCAACAGAAAAAATTGACATTTGCACGCCGCGCAGAATTATCGTGCGCCTCACTTCCAGAGTTCTACGTGCTGCGCGAACATCATTTTTCTCTTCGCTGATTTTTTTTACTCGTGCGACGCACTTCGCCATAAAGGAACGACTGCTTGCAGTCTGCCACATGCGTTAGAGGAATTTTTGTATAAATTACATGGAGTAGATAAAATTACTGGGTTTACAATTTGTTTTTAAGGTCAATTCTGAAAATGATATGTTGTCTTTGATGCTTTATCATTTTTTTTGGTGTTCGCATGCGATTCTTAACTTTAAAAAAATTGGACAGAAAAATAAGCTGGGAAAGATAATAATACTGTACGATGAAGATGAAAGATTAGCTCCCGCAGCAGCAACGACTTTTGTACAGAGAGAGGTTGACAATGTTTTCATGTTGTCAGGAGGTGAGAAACGGCAGAAAAGCTTCGGCTTTCAATGTTACTGGTTTCAGATAACGAACCGACACTTTCCGAAAATTGCCGAAGATTTTCCGACGACATACGGAGGTTGCTGACAAGTCAATAAGAATTTGCGCAAGTTGAAACATAATTTTCAGAAATTTATCACGATTAAGAAATTTTGCCATAACATACCATAGCATGATTTAAGTATTAATGAGCTCCAAGACCACTAAAGTGAACGGCAGTGATTCATTTTGCAGGTCTCAAAGTGTTGTATAAGAAGTTTCCTGAAGGCTTAGTCGCTGGTCAAGTACCACAGTCCTGCTGGCCCACCCCTCCACCTTCACGAAAGTCATCCGGGAAAGCGACTAGCGCGACTAGACCCAGTCCATGCGCTTCTGCTGGCCAGAAATGGTTTTATCCAGAGGGTATCTTTTGCAATGAAAATGAGACTTAACCAAGAATTCTCTTTATAGTAATATTCGATAAAAATACTACGATTATTTCGCTGATTATTTTTACTGACTATAGAGGCAAATCTTCCGAAGAAAAAATTCTAAAATTAAGTTGTAGACTGAGAAAACGTTAAGTTGCTTGAAAGCGCGTGAAAAAGACTCTTTACCTTTTGATTTCGAGTAGCGATTTACATTTAAATTCTCCTTACAGTAATAATACATTTTGCTGCAAAAAGGTGAAGAGAAATGACACAGTTGTCAGCTGAATGTTGCCTTCTTGATTTTACACCTAATTTACTGGTTATGACAAATTTTCTTAACAAATAGATTCAATGTTGCCATACTCCTGTTGAGTAAATAGATTACAGATAACATCAAAATGTGGTAATAACAAAAAAGTGGTACACGAGGCGCAGCTGAGTGTGTCACTTACGTATTTACCCTGTTTTGACGTCTTCTTTAATTTTTTATTGTACAGACCCACGTCAAATTGGAATCTATTTGTTTTATATGATTAAAAAAGGCAAATACTGGTAATGATGACGTCATCTATGATCTGTCCTCTAATAAATCAGAACCAATCAAACTGTGTGTATGATTAAGCTTATCATAAAAAATAAGGTAGATCTGTAATTCTCGTCGATCTTGTTGATGAGTATAAAATTCCTGTTTAGTATATACGTTAGATTTCTCCTTGACATGAAGGCAGATCTGGTGAAACTCCAAGATAAACTGGATGATGAACTTTTGAGTCAAGACAAGAGCAGTAAGTTGTAGTGAAATATGATCATGTATAGAACTTCATGGATGATTAACGTTAGAAGGAGCTTGTAAATGTAATTAGTAAAATGAAGAAGAAGAAATACAGGTTGATATTTAATTTATTGATTAATATATTAGTTAATAATTGATTCATTGACTTATCATGTGACCCGTCCGTCCGCGCGCTCTATTACTGGAAAACATTAGACAAAAATTCCCTTGTGAGGGCCGTTAGCGATGGTGTGAGCTGAACCGGAAAAAGCCGCACGGCCGCGAGCCTAGCTGGGGGTAAGAAAAGAACATAGTATGAAAAAAATAGAACGATGGTCATGAAAACAATACATATTGACACCCTGAAGTCGGGCTCGACGGGAAAATATTTAGCTTTCGGTCATGAAGCACGGACAGAGTGCAGCGAGAAATACTGAGCGCTCTTTCGTTAAGATGACGCCTGTTCTACAGGTTAATTAATTAATTGCTGCTTCATGAATGAAAGTGAATGAATGAATAGTTGAATAAAAGAAGGAATGAAGAAAGAGAGAAAAACAAGATTGAGACAACACGATTGCTATTTGACAGATGTACTCTCGCTTTATTACTTCACAGGCCGTCAAAATTCTCGTTTGTCCAGTCGATCAGCAGCGTCATCGGCAAGCAGAGCGTCAACTGCCGCCAGCTCTGCCACCAGTCGCAGCTCGAAACCTGTCTGGAAATAATCCAATAGATTTCAAGACATTTCTCTTTTCAGGACCGCTCATCCAAGGAAGCGCGTGAAGGCCTGGAAGAAGCCTCAATTTGCGAAGGGCCATGTTAACCAGCCTCCATAGAAGGCCACGTGGAAAAAAGTTTGCAGAGGTATTGCGTGGGTTTGACGATGAAATGGATATTTTGGACAAAGATCAATGGACGAAGAGAGCCGTTAAAGAATTCTCTAGACTGCAGCATACGTTGGCAAGAAGCTTTACTTGCTTTAGTTTGTGTCACTCATTTCACAATCGGGCACTGGTGCTCAATATACTCAATATTTCCTTAACTTTTTGTTCTCTCCAACCATTTTAATAATAGATATTCTGTTATGAATGGGAAAGTTTTTCCATGTTTCATGGCTATAATAACTAGATATCGGACGAATTCGGGAAAACAGGGGAACGTCGGTTGCAGGCGTCTGAGACGTACCACGGTGTGATCGCAAAACCAACAATCAAACAAACGAACAAAATCGCTAGCAAAACGAAACTATCTTGGGTTGGCGTGGTCTACTTCGTCTTCTCTCGGTTCGTTCTACCCGTGAGCTAGGAAACCTGGGTCGAATTCATGCAGTCGAGGCTATTAGTGGAGTACTTGTGATAAACATTTTGAAACATCAAATATCCTCTTGTAGACTATTAATTTTCAGATAGTCCTAAAAGAAAAAAGCATTTCCGCAGGAAAGAAAAAATTGGAAAGCAAATGAAATAAGAAAGTTGAACCCCTAAAGTAACTTTGGAAGGTTGTTTTTCAAGAGAGGTCTCGAAGCCTCGATTTCACCTGCTCGACCCAGTTTTCCTGTTTTGCATTCTAAGCGTTGGTTATTGTTGTGAACTCCACCCTGTCGCTCCTTTTAACGGGAGTCAAAGTGAACTGCATTATATTTTTTGTCCTGGACGATAATCTTTTTTTTATGTTTGACGTAATGAGAACGATTGGATTAAAAAAGATATCCCTCGTGCCCCTTCATAATTTTAAGTGTTTATTGGCTCAGTTAAGAGTACGAGTCATAAGATTTTGAGTGGAATGGTAGTCGCTGATTACCGCTGAATGAGTCTCTTCACACGACATGTACTTGTAATAGCACTCTGTTAATAAAATGAGAGACTTGAGTTAAAAACATATCGTGTACTGTCAGGTACTATCTTCTTTCTTAGTCTTTGTTAACAGTTTTTCTGTTTAGACGCGTTTTTGTGGCTGCTGCCTCTTTTTTAATAGGAAACGAAGCCGCCATGAAACGGGCACGAGTGAGTGAGAGGGTGACGGTCAGTAACAATATAATTCCGATTTTGATTTAATTTCGACCTGATGTTTGTCAGTGCTTCTGTTGTTGTCTTATTTTTTTCGGGGGGAGGGGGTGGGGGAGTATCCCATTAGATCGATACTCGATACACATTTGAGTTCTCTCCTTTCAAGATCGATACCTGAAGTTTAACAGGGTGGGAATAATAGAATGGTGGAACGGAAGAATGGCGGAATATCCTAAAACGAGGAATGCCTTGTGTGAAACAAGAGTCTCACAAAAATGGAATCGCAAAGAAATTGTAAAAATAAAAGAAGTGTTGTTTAACGATCATTAGAGGATAGAGGAACCCTAAGGCTTTTAAGCCAGCCCCTATAAAGTATTATCACCATTACTATTTTTATCATTATTACTATTATTATTAAATTGATTAACAGTAACCATAGGATTACTGTTTGAATTTTAATTATTCACTATACGCTTCAATCGTCTTTCTCTTGTGGAAGAGACTACTCATAAATATGTAGGATGCTGCAGGTCTTCTGTTTAGTATGAAAACAACGCTAACTTCTTTTCTCTAGAAAATTCTATAGTATGCATGTCAGCATGACTGAAGATTTCTAGGAGCTTCTATTCACAACAACAATTATTCCTAACAATCACTAACGTCTGATTTTAAGAATTTGGACATTAGAGTGCGATTTTTGATTTTGGACACTTTAGGCCGATTTTAATTTTAGACAATAATGTTCGATATGTTATTTTGAACATTAGAATATGATTTTAAGATTTTTGACACTTGTGTCCGATTCTTGATTTTAGATTTTAGACGCTAATTGCCGATTTAGGATTTTGGACACTAGTGGCCGACTCTACAGAATTTGGTTGTTCTCTCTATTTCTTTTCATGATTTTCGCTCGGAAAAAACAACATTGTGCAATGTTTTGAAAAACCAATGGCGTCTATTACTTTTAGAGTATGACAGATTCATGGGCAAAGTTTGAAAGAAATACTGTTCTCTAAGCATTTTTTAGGGTACTGTTCGCAAGAAGTCTTATGATAAATTACTAGTCACATGAACCTATAACGTACCTAATTTTCTATATCTAACCGAGCCTTGTCCAGCGGTTTGTCGAAACTCAGTATGCGTTGTGGCGTAACGTAAACAAGCGCTCCACGTTGGTAGTTGGGGATCGCGAAAGCGGAAAATGGTTCCGGGTTGAATATCTCTTTGTTTTATTTGCCGTAATTGGTTTCTTTTTGAACGATAAGGCACTTATGAGTTTTGATGAGGAGGTTTCGAGCAGCGAGCTGTCTGAACTAGTGCATTATTTTTCAAAATATCCTTACAGAGCGCGGGATGCCAACTCGAAGGTGATAATTTCCAAACACTTTTATGAGAATTCAGGATTAAATATCGTTACAAACTTGTATCCTCAAGTAGATTTTATCTATGATTTATCACGACTACGGAGACTATTACTCAGTCATTTTTTTTCGTTTTTATTTTATCAGATAGAGGGCATCCAGAAGAAATGCTTACAGCTCTTTTCTAAAGATTACAAATTTACGGTTAGTCAATTGAATTCGTCATTTGTCAATTAGTTTCGAGAAATCGCATGGGTTTTTGTTTCCTGTGCGTAACTAGGGTGATGTTCACCAAAGTTTCATGTGTTTGCATATTGCTAAAACGTGTTTCTTTTTTTTTTTACATTTAGACAATCACCAACAGCAATGGAGACTTGTGCAACCATTACCCGCTCAAACTGGTTATTTTAGAGTCAAAGCTTCATTGCGGAGAATCGGACAAGAACGAAAGGTAACTTTCTATCTGTACTTGAGAGAATCTGATATTTGTTATATAGTTAAATTACTAGGTTGTTCAGTAAATTTTGTGTCCACTGACTTCACCGTCGCCCTGAAAATTTTAAATCTTTGGAGAATTTCCTTCCGAGCTCGAGTGTCAAAGGGAAATATCGGGTAAGACTTCCGCACAGCCTCATGGTAAAAAAAAGCTGTGGTCCCTAAGGCAATCTATTGTTTTTTTACCATTGTTTTTTTTTGGTATGCATGATGAAGTATGAGGCTAATAATGGAAATCTCATCAAAAATTTAAATATATTGCCCCATCAATTTAGTGTCAGTTACTGTTCAGTGATTGGTGTGATTATTATTAAGCAAATAGCTATTTGTAACCACAATAAATGTTGCAATTTTTTTTGTAACACTCAGTGACTCATTTAGAGATAGGAAACCTTCTTTGGGCATTTTTTCGTGTGACAACACAGCAACTGACATGTCAAAGCACATTTCCAGTTTTAAGACAAAAATTGGATCGCATTTGTTAAGAATGCCACTCATAGGTCACCTCAGTAATGCTCAGACAGTTTTAATTTTACATGATCTTTACTTGCTGGATTCATTTTGAATTTAAATAGTATGTTTTGAATATATCCCACAAAATTTTTAAGTTGACCCTTTAACTCTCAGAAGTGATCAACATGAAACTTCTCCCTATAATATCCTTACATCATCCAGCAAACAGGTAATGAGAATATTCAAACTTATCAGGTAGAAGTTGTTATCTTGATCTTTCAATGAATTCTCATAACTAATTTACAAGAATATGTCTAGCAGCAACAGGAGAGAATATATAATCGAACTTGAGAGTTAAAGGGTTAACTTTGTCAGTAAGAAAGAGTATCCTACTATGCAAAACTAAAATAAGAGACAGACCTCCAGTTTGGACCTGAAGTGAAGCATGTAAAGGGGAAAGTGTGCCTAAAAGCTTATTTAAGGAAATTCATATTTTTTAAAGAGAAGTGGAATTTAACATAATTGCAAACTGGATTCATGATAATGTGACAACCTTTTGATAAATGGTAGTGGTAAACTCATGCTATTTAATACAATCAAATTAATGTTAAGATAAGAGAAGATTAAGTATGGTTGGGACAAATGGTTTTGGTTTGCAATTATTTTTCACTCCTCAGTCAAAAAGCAAATGATGCGAGGGAACTTCGAGATCTGTTTGTGAAGGCTAGATTTGCCAGATGTAGATCAAGATTTGTTGTTCCAGTTATTCTCTTTGAGGGAAAGGTAAAGTTTGTCAAACAAAACAAATCTTTTGAACAGTTTTCCTTATTATGTATGGTTATCGTGACAAATCAGAATTTCCTTTCTGCATGAGTGTTTTTTGTTTTAGTTTTAGTTTTGTCATTTTACTTAGGGATTAGATTTCCTTGTTATAAACAATAATCTTATTTTATAACAGACAAGACCTTTTGTTTGTCCTAGAGAAGTTAAATCTGATTCAGAAACTAGAACTCTATTCTGTAACTTAATAAAAATACATGCATAATGAGCAAACAAGAATCCGAGAGATAGACTTCCAGTGAAGGCTTGTCTGAAAAAGTTTGATTATTAATTCTTGCAAACTGAAACTAAAGGTTTTAAATTTTGCTTTCTAGAATATTTGCAGATCAGCTACATTATCAGGAGGACCTGAAATTTATGGTCGATCTGGATATGATTTCCTTTTTGCTGGTAAGAATGTATTTGGAAATAAATATTGTGACTGAGACCTTGTAATGTCTTTCCCATAAATGGAAACTCTAACTTGTAGAGATCTCCGATTCTTTGGGATGAAATCAAGAATGTTTCTATTTTCCTGACTTGTCTTGGATTTCTGAGATTATCAGCAATCATTCATGAGATATAATGGAAACTTCAATTTTCATCAGTGATAAGTTTAGGTTGATACCAGTTCTCTAGTTGCTTTGCTCTAATACCAATATTACGATAAAAAGTGACATGTGAAAGAATCTGAGACAGTCATCTTGTGTATTGAAAAATCTAGGATGGTTAGGAAGCAGTGAAACTGCTGAAAGGCCCCTTCTGAGTTGTGTTCTCATTTATTAATAAATGGTATATAAAATAATTGTAGAGAAAGATGTTTTTCATCTTGTCACAAGCATGGGATGAAGAAAAAATTCCTCATGAGGAACTCCTAAAAAAATTCCCCATGAATAACTCCTAAAAAATTCCTCATGAGAAACTCCTTCAAAATTCTCCATGAAGAACTTCTTGTGGGGACTCAGAATTTTTTCTTTCCCTCACGCTTGTAACAAGATGAAGAACATCTTTCTCTCTTCCTCTACTGAGCTTAGACCTCATTATCTTTCTTATTTGAAATAATTGTAGGAGGTGAAAGTATCCCTGATAATCCACTAGAAGAAGTTAATGGAGTGAATGGAACTGGGTCTCTTTATTCAAGGTGAACAATATTGATATTTATTAAGGATTATATTAATTATAGGCAAAGCATTTCTTTTCTGCCTTTCTTTAAATCTGTTTACTTAATTAAATGATGCTGTGGACATTGCTGGACCTAGCAGTATGCAAAGCTTTTCATGTAAGAACCTGATAATGGCTGAGCTCTTTGTTGAGATCTTTGTAACTCAGTGGCCCAAAATTGAATGTCTTGTGTTCCATTCCTTTAGTTCTCATGAGGAGTCAAAACACACCTTTCTTTATGCCATTTTCAGTTGTCAAAACCTGTGGCAAAAAATAGCTCAAAATAAATGATTTTTCAAAGCAGCCACTTTTCTTACAAGAATTCTTAGTGTGCGGTATAGATACTTAATATGCAAAAATTCATTTGATTTTTTTAAATTTTAATGGAAAGTAATTACATGTTGGAACCAGTTGATAATGTTGAGAGGGTCTAACTCAAAGAAAATTTGCCCTCTTTTAATTTGTTCACTAGTGCCAGTGGTGAATATGACTTATTTGACCGTATCAGAGGTCAGGATATTCGCTTGCTCAAAACTCTTAAAGTAAAATACATCTGTGACTTGATGGTGGAAAAGAAGAAAGTCAAGTTTGGAATGAGGTGAGAATTTCTTGTTACAATTTCAGTTCATTGTGAAGATCACTAGTAAGTTATGTATTAATCATTAAACAAATATTTGATAAATATGTGTTGAATATTTTTAGGGTGTCATCTTCAGAGAAGGTGGACAAAATCCAGCGATACTCAGACTTCTGTTTGTGTTCTGTTCCTTATCCAGGTAAATGCTATAAAGACATCGTTTGATTCTATTGTAACTCTTTTCCAAATACAAGTGAAATTTGTAACATTTGAAGAAAGGTTTAATTCAAACTAAAACTTAGAAAAACAACACAAATTTTTTTTCATTATTTTGGTAGTGAGTTAGGTTAGCTCTAATGAGAATTCATGAGATGTTATTTGTACTGCAATATGTTAATTTTTTCTCTTTCCATAGGCTGTGAATTTTTTCGAGACTTCAAGGAGAATGAATACAATGCAGATGGTTTACATTTCAATTGGCAACAGGTAATATATCAAGGACTTTTGTGCGTTTTCTTACTTGTTATTTGAAAATAAGTAATATTTGAGAGTTGTTTGTTAGCTTCCTGTAAGTTTTATTGTTGATGTTGTTTCTTTAAGAATCTTTAGCTTAATAGTCTTCTCACCTTTTGTAGGATTATGTTGACACAAAATTAAGTGTTCCTGATTTGCTACTGCATCGTCAGGGAATTGAATGGCACAACTATCAGGTTAGATATTAAAAATGTTGATTAAAAAATAGAGTGATTACTTAAAATCAAGAATGGATTAGACATTTTTTTTTTATAATATTAGCAGGCTGACTCATCATAAAACAAGGCCATTGATTTCTTAACTGTTGTATTGTGTTGGCTGGTAAAGAATCAATTACTTGGTTATCAAGGGGAGGTAGTAAACCCTTTAGCTCCCATGAGTGACTAAGACAGAATTTCTCCTTACAATATTAATACAATATCAACCCGATAAGTGATGAGAATAAAGAAAAATGTCAATTTGGGGATAATTAGTGGACCCAATACTAAATTATCTCAACTAGCATTATGAGAATTGTATGGTTGGCAGTGACGAGAATTACAAATGTGATCTGAGAGTTAAAGGGTTAAAGGAAGGTAAACTGTCATAGCAAGTGTAGGAAAAAGCTCCAACAGAAGGCTAGTACTCAGAACCTTAGCTTCTCAAAATATGCTATAAATGGCAGTTTACCAACCTTATCAACATAAACAATGAAATAACTCAACACAATGTTTCCACTGTTCGCGACATTCATATACAGACCTTTTATGCTACAGTATACTGTTTGTCATCTAGAAGAATTAACATTCTTCTTGTGATTATCAGCTGATACATTATTTGATATTTTGCTGTGATAACATGTTGGCCAAGCCTTAATTTGGTTCTTATTCTTTTTCACAGTTATGGGATCTTGTAACACTGACTCAAAACTATCTAAATCTTCTGATAAACTGTGTTAAAGATGGTAAGCTCACCACACCAGCTTTTCTAAAGGACACATTTAATTTTACAAGTGCAATCTGATTAACTGTGCATCGTGTCTTATGTTTTACTTAGGTGAAGGAGGATTGTTGATACACTGTATTTCAGGATGGGACAGAACTCCGTTATTTATTTCACTCCTTAGGATGTCTTTATGGGCGGTGAGATTATCATCTTGGTTGAATGGCTTAGTAACCCACACTATATGTTTGGAGAATATTTGAATAGAGAAAGGTGTTTTTCGTCTTGTCACGAGCGTGGGACAAAGAAAAAAATTATGAGTCCCTATGAGTTCTTTTTCAAAGTTCATATGACTAGCGTCTGAGGATCGATTCCTCATGGGAACTCAGAATTTTTTCCTTGTCCCACGCTCGTGACAAGATGCAAAAACATCTTTCTCTATTTCTTTACCGAACTCAACACTTACCATCTCTCTTATTATATTCACAAACATGGAGCTATCGACATTGCTGATCCTAGCAGTATACAGGACGCTTGTCATATGAACTTTGTAGTAGACTTCATAGGGACCGTAGAGTCTCTTACTGTAGAGTCTCCGTGGCTCAGTAGTAGAGCAACGGAGTGTGGAATCTGAAGGTCTGAGATTCGGTCCTCATGGAAACTCAGAATTTTTCCATCGTCCCACGCTCGTGACAAGACGCAAAAATATCTTTCTCTATTTCTTTACCGAGCTCAAAACTTGCCATCTCTCTTATTCCAATATTTGAGAAGTTGGTATTAAAACGAGAAGAGTTTGTATATCACGAGGCAAGAGCAAGTGATTGACCCACATGTCGAGGGTTCAATTATCTTTTGAAATGGGTTATTAGGCCAGTAAGCGGACATAATTGTGTTCTGTTGCTATTCAATGATAACATTTGAGCTTACGATTTCTACAGTGACAACTTTTTTTATTTGATGACAGAACTTCAAATTTACAATCTCCTTTATTCAACAGTTTTCATACTCTAACTGCTCTCATTGTTTATGCATATAGGATGGAAGAATTCATCAGTCGCTGAGTCCTGCAGAGATACTTTTTCTTACAATAGCTTATGACTGGTTCTTATTTGGGTAAGAGTTACTTAACCCTTTAACTTCTGGATCAAATTTGTAATTCTCCTTACGGTCAACAATACAATTTATACAATGTTAGTTCAGAGAATTTAGTAGAAGATCAACTAATTATCCCCAAATTGATAGTTTTCTTTATTCTCATCACCTATCTGGTTGATATTGTATTGGTATTGTGAGGAGAAATTCTGTCTTGGTCACTCGTGGGAGTTTAAGGAAGAAATAACGGAAGAGAAGTTGCGGGGTTGTCTTAACTAACACCCCCATCTCATACTAAAGCAAGTTTATCAGATCTTCTGAAGATAATACGCGTCTTGAAATCATGGGTTAGATAACGTAAGAAGATTTTTCTTCGTGTGATTCTTCTTTGGTAGAAATTTATAGTTACTACTCTTTTGTCTCTTACTGAAGGCATGGTCTCCCTGAAAGACTTCAGCGTGGAGAAGAGGTTAGAATCTCAGTTTTTAACCCTTTACACCCTAACATCAGTATGCATATTCTCCATACTGTTCTCTTTACATTTTTTAAGGTGCTGACAAGGAGAATTTGTATGAAAATCAAGAGCTTCTTTATTTAGTGATCATTTCCCGTATTCTCGTGAACTTAATGTGCGATTCAGGGGTGATATTGTAAGGAGAAATTAGATTGTGGTCACTCTTAAGGGTCAAAGGGTTAACTGAAACTTAAGCATACACCGAGGACCCTCTCAAATTTGCCTCGCTTCCAGCCCAGCGTGTGGCTTTGTGGCTCAGCTGGAAGCACCACTCCACTAGTATCTGAAAGGTGATTTAGTATTATCAACTGAGTTCATAAGGTGAATTGGCCGCCGTTAAGAGCGATTGACGAAGGACTAACGCTCGAAACATCAGCTTTTAAACTCTTTGCAGTGGCCAATTTACGTTATCAACTCAGTTGATAACACTAAATAACCCTGTTATACTCTCCTACCGACGCAGCACCACAGTTTCTTTAAAAACTTACCCCCTTTATTCATAGTATCTGAAAGCAGGAGTTCGCATTCGATCGATGCCTGAATTTTTTCAGGCTTCATTTCTGCAATTGCCAAGATCTCATCTCACTCACGAGTATCATTGCTTAACTTGGTAATAGTAAACAATGATTCCTATTTTCGGCTGTCGGTAACCTGTCGGTCAACTGTCGGCCGACAGGTTACCGACACATTACCGACTGTCGGCCGACAATATCTTTCGGGTACTGTTCTTCATTTTTACCTTTAACTTGATTAGGAACAATATATCACCCGGCAGGAAATGTCCCTGATTACGGAAATCATGTCTCTTTTGACTGCTTACTTATTGATGTTTTTCTTTTAGGTTTTCTTCTTTTGTTTCAATTTCTTGAAAAACATAGCGTCAGATGACTTTTCTGTAAATTCGTCTTTAACCCGGAGGTACATGTGCGTTTGTTTGTTTGTTTCTTTTTGATGAGACATCATAAGATTAAAACGACAAAGTATACTTACTAGCAGTCGTTCAGATTCATTCAGCTCAAAAAAACTTCCAAGGCACAATGTGTCTACGAACAAAGTGTTACACCATGTGTTAAGCGACTTAGGCAGTGTTGGATGTTGGTAATTTACTTATTTCTTCTCTGGAGCATTATTTTGCGTGCAAATTCTTCGCAAAATGAAGCGCAAATTTGGAAACTTCGGTAGGCATGAATCCTCCTAAAACAGAGTCGAGTACCCCTTCCTTCCACCTTTTATCCAATACATTTTCGGACGAAGACAAAGACCTCTTGCTAATCTAATCTAATGGTCTAACAAAGTTGTATGCTTTATTATCAGAGCTGGTGATAAGCGAAGTGACTCTATAGGTCAGTTTGATGTTGGTGCAGTGTTATTAGGTAGGTTTAGCGTCCTTGATTATCACTGCTTCGAAAGTGTTTTATAAAGTGCTTTTTAATTTGCACCTGCTTTTCAGAAAGAAACGGAAAGTGATGGCGTGTTGATGTGGTCATGGATAGAGTCTTGTCTCTTGCAAGTAAATTGAGCTTGGGAAGTTACAGTGGCGAGACACAACAGCTTTATAGTGTAACATGTGACATCCCATTTCTTCTGAATCGACATTTTCACCATCAATTTTCCGTTGACAGATGATACTCAGTTTATCGATTTTCACGCGGGAGTTACTGAAGTCTGAATATTTCCAATGGCATGATATAACAGATATAATGTGTGACGCTGAGCATCTTCTTTTTTCCTACACAGATGATCGACTGTCACGCGGGAGTAACTCAAGTTTGAGTAGCTGTAGTAGCATGACGTCAGAACAAAGAACAAGTTTTTTCATAGGTCAGGAGATAGCAGAAGACTCAGAATTAGCTTCTTCCTCATTTACTATGTAAGTTGATTAGTTCTCGATGATATTCGTTCCTTTGGTTCCAATTTGTTGTGTAATGAGAGTATTATACTGCTTCAAATGCTGATTTGATAATAGGAATCTGTTCTTTTTCCTCCTCAGTTGTAACGGCGCACGCGCAGCGTATCACTCTCCACCTCGTTCTCACGCAGATCATGAATTTCGTCACCAGTCCACCAGTCCTCTTCCGGTTCCACGTCGGTCAAGAAAGAACTCAACTCCATCTGATCAAGTATGCACAGGCGCTCTGATTATTGAACAATTTGCGAAATTTTTGTTTTAAGTTTTCTTTTTAGGATCTTACTGCTTATTCTATATTCCTACCCCTACATACCCTTGCCAGATTCAAGTGAGAATTTTTATGTTGTATTACGACGACATCCTGTCTAGAGGAAGTTTTCACTTGCTGGACTTGACCACAGTATTACAGTTTAATCTATTATTCAATTGTCCTTTTTTTCCGTGTCTTCTTTTTCAGAAACCGTCCTCTACATGTGGAAGGTAATTTAAACTCATTTAACTTTCTATCTTTCTTTCGAGTTTTAAAACTGGAGTAAATTTCCTCACCCACCCCAAATAAATTATTACTTTTCTTTTTCAAGCTGGCAGTTGATATCAGGAACAGGGAGTCCGAACGGAACTACCACTGTACGAGATTCTCCAATATCCGCACTAGGACATGGCAGCAGCTCAACAAGCTTGTGAGTTTTGTTTGCGTGTTTGTAGCCGCCCGAGCAACGGTTTTTTAGTTACAAGGTCATATTGTATTTGTCAAACCACTGTCAATAAGCCAGTGAACCAATCAGAACACAAAGAAATCATGCAGCTGGTGCTAAGGGTGGGAAGATGTGCAAACAGTCGTAATGGCGGAAAGTGCAAAGCCGGTATAAACGATTGCGGGAAAAATGGTGTAACTTGGGACAAGAGCGGGAAAGCGTTTAGCAGTTTTTGGGCTCAGGCGGAATAATTTAAGCAGTGCAATGGCAACCGCTGCCATGGTGATAAAAAACGCGGGAAAACACACTTAATCCTAAGCGTGGTTGGGTTTGAGTTTTTTTTTTCTGATTGGTCAAAAATACTCACAGAATCTATGCTGTGATTGTTTGGAGTAAGGTCACGTGTTAAATGAATTCTATGTGACTGAGAAATGTTTGTCATGCCAAACAGCCAGTCAGGGTGCTATGTAGCTCCTCTTTGCTAGTATTTCGTACACAATGCGTGACCCTTCCTCATTTTGTGTCTATTTACAGAGCTGAAAGCGTGGACGAGTGCTCTGAACGACAGGTGCGCTTAGGAGCCATCCGTAGCTTGTTTCATCAACTTTATTTCAAGGCTGTCGGCTACACGACGAAGTACGAAGCTGGCAATTCCTTCTCGAGTATTCTTGATCAAGTAACCGAGAAATTACGGGAAGGATGGGGTACTGTCGTTTAGCGTAGTCAATTCGAATTCAATTCACGATTCTTAAAAAAGAAAATGAAAATTGTTTGAACACCCTTTAACAAAAAATTGCACCTGTTGTAGTACTCAAACCGAGTTTGCGCACTTCATGGTCCTCTGTCACTGTCCTATGCGCCCCTATCTCTAAATGCCCTAAATACCAATTCGATGCAGAAACAATGGACAAGATGAGCCACCTAGTGGATTATCCATTGTTAAATTGCTATTTATTCATTCCCATTGATTGCCAAGTCCTTTCGTTGTGATGATTATCTTCAGAATGATATCCCTTTCGTCAAAGAAGAGAAAATTTGGAAATTACTTTCAATCTCGTTTTTATGGGTCAACTCTCTTCCTCCCTCGAAGGAAGGAAGAGAGAGGACCCTAGGAACGAGGTTAGTTTATTTTTAGTTCTTCGGTAATAATGCAATGTTCGCGTTGTATTTTAAATTACTTCTACGGTAAACCCAGTTTTAAGAGTTGCGTTAGTCAGACATTTAAGAAAATTAGCTCTCTTAAGGCGAGAGGAGGTGCTGTGCAAATCAAGTGTAGTTTTTGTTTGCTGAACTCAATTTTTTTAAACTAATTTGAGAGAAAACATTCGACGACATTCTTTAAAACGAGTGAAATCACAGAAATAAACTGAATTTTACGTAGCTTATAAATGCAGTGAAAACAAATCAATACAAATATTACAGACCAGAATAGACCTTCCAAAATTTCGACAACGATAAACTCTCTGCAATTCTTAACTTCAAGTGAATCAGTGCTTAGTCTCATATACCAACTGACCAGCCTCTTCTGGAAGGACTGTGTAAACAATCTTCAGACAACTAGTACCGAGCGCAAAGCGCAAGGGATCTTTGGAGGAATTAACAACTATATATGTTTTTCCTTCTTTCTCTGCCGGCCGATAATTTTTTCAGGAGAGAGGTCTGGGCAGGAATTGTTGCAAGACCACGTAAATCATCTAACATGGAAGGAAATTATAAAGACAAAATTAGTATCTAATTGTTGTTGATAACGAATATTTTGTTATTCAGAAGAAGCAGCATTACTAGTTTCCCACTGCGAACTAGAAGAGTTGATCTGTTGATGAAGAAATTAAATCTTTTTGAAAATAGTATTACTTGTAATGCTAAATTGTTAACAGTCCTCCTATACTAACAAATTGTGGTGAAATACATTGAAAATTTCCTCTTCTCTGATAATATTCGCATCCTAATATATTCATAGGTAATAATACTTGTTTGAAAGGTGAAATTCTTGATAATCTCTGAGAGTATTTTAAAGTCACTTCACACCTAATATCAAATTAAAGAGTGTTCTCAATATTTGTTTCAGAATGTGTCAAATATCGTTTGGTTGGTTGTTATTTGAATATGTTTTGAAATTAGGGATTTTAATTTCAATATCTCATTAGTAATTCTCTTTACGGTCTACCACACAATTATTTTGAAGTTTCAGACTTCCGCCTCATGACACCGGTAGAGAAAGTACCCTCTGGAATAGGCAATTTAGCGTTAACAACTGAGTTGAAAACGTAAATTGACCACCGTAAAGAGTTTAAAGGCTGACGTTTCGAGCGTTAGCCCCTCGTCAGTGCGATGGACAAAGGGCTAACGCTCGAAACGCCAGCCTTTAATCTCTTTACGGTGATCAATTTACGTCTTCAACTCAGTTGTTAACACTAAATTACTTGTTACACTCTCCTACCGACGCAGCACCACATTTTCTTTAGAAACTTACCCCCTTTATTCATTTATCGTAAGCTTGAACAAATGGCAACGCTTAATTTGCTTGAGAGCAAGCAATTAGGTGTGAAATAAGCTAAAGTAGTAAAGACAAGAAAGTGAAGCACCTGCCCGTCATCTTGAATAAGTTTGTAACATTGCGCGGAGTCGATCGGCACTAATAGTGTGACGTCACATTCTAGCAAAGTTCCGGTTTCGTCCGTCCATACGTACGCGCGAATACAGCGTTGTCAAAATGTTCCACTCTTGAGAGCTTTTTGAAAAGTTCCGTTTTCAGTGATCGTTTTCATCGGATGCGTGTGGACAGAAACCGTATCCGCGAAGAAAAAGTTGCGTTTTCAAATGAAAACGGATACGTGTTAGCCTACGTGAATTAGTACCCTCTCCCCCCTCCCCCCCTGAAGGTGAAACGGTGGCGAGGGAACATCGAGTGGTGACTACACAGAAAGCACGCATTCGTCACGTAAACAGAAAACTAGATGTTATGTCAAAAGGATTGAACTCTGAGAATAATGTTTGTATCTTGTCTACGCATGGGTGTCGTGGTTAAAGTTGTTGTTCCAACCTGACTTTGAGGAGAAGACTGCGTAAGGAACGTGGATAGGCAAGAAGTCCTTTCATCAACCACACCTTCACATGAACGTCTACGTAATCAACTTTGCTATGGCCTCTCTGAAGCGCAAAACCTTTCACCCAGCCTTTAATCAAGAAAAACAGAGACAAATATCAATAATAAAGTGGCAATAATTCTGCCAAACGGCGCGTGGCGAGTGTAATTGAAATAACATATCTGACATCTGGAACGAGGTTAGCCGAGGACAGCAAGTAAATCTGAACTGCGTTGTATCATTTTTTATGAATCTGAATTACTAATCACGGCCGGGCGGGCGTTTACCAAACTTTTTCGCCCGCGGCTGGGAGAGGGTAGGGGAATTTGTGGAGCTGGAGGTCGGGGGACCGGGATTTAAATTGACTCATGTGACAAGCATGTGACGGAAGGGCGCTCGACTTGAGAGTCAGTCGTGCTCTTGCTTATTAATTCCTGATGTGTATTATTTACTGCAGTTTGAGATAGTACCCTCAGAGTTCTTCGCCCTAATTAAAGCATTGCTGATTTTTGCTCAAGGTTTTCAGAATATTTTGAAAAGGTAAGCTTGATTTACTTGTGATCATTGACATGACGTTACATGCTGGCAATTTGCTCAAAGCGGAAAAAACCAAAACAACATTCCAGAACTCTAAGACCGAAGCAAGATTCTCAAATGAAAAAGCTGGTCATTGTTTCAAGATGTAACAGTGTAAGATCACAGACCCGCTAACAGGTGAGATTTTCACCGCGATGTCTTTTTGTGGTGAAGTTCTTCAGAACAAAGTGATTGCGATGGGAAAACGCTGAAGTGGCAATTTCAGTTCATTACCTACTCAGTTAATTGATACAAGAGAAAACAAAAGCGTAAAAATTAGATTACAATTTGGAGTGATATGCTCCAGTTTGGAATTTTATATTCGGGAAACTTACGAAAACGCTGCGGGGTTTAAGAATCTTCTGTCAATTTATAGCATCGAAATAAACTCTTCCGCTCGCTAATATTATCATCGTTTCATTTCCGTATTACCCCCTACTTCACACTTTAAAAATGCATGCGATTTGTTGAGATAGTAAAACAATGGCGGAAACAATAGATTACCTCTGAGATTAAGGCTTTCTTTTGTTTTAGCCTTCAGAACAGGTGTAGTTTTTTTGTTTTTTTAGGCGGACGAAAGCAAGCGCGAGGCTAGCACGAATACGTGTCACGCACGAGGAGAGGAGCGCAATAACAAAACTTTTTTTTTTTGGCAGGGGGTGGGGCGGGGGTTTGAGGATTTTTTTTTTTTCTCAGCGCGGGTTTGTCCCGCGCTTACCACTGCGAAAAAAAAAGAGAAAAAAAAGCGCCTGTTTTGCAGGTTGTCTGTGCTAAGACAATCAATATGACAACCCACGAATGTGAATTTTTCTCCTAAAAGTACTGCAGAAGTGTTTTAAATACTTGGAAAGAAATGGAAGAATGAGAATTTATCAGTTGACATGACTGATCCTCAATCACTTTGTATTTCTCTGGCTGATAATAATGAAAGATTTTAGTAGTGGAAAATTGAAAAAGCACTGTCACAAGTGCTGTTTGACACAAGTCCATAAAACTTGTGTCAAATGCCAAAGGTTTCTAAATGACCCTGACTGTTGTGCACAACCTACAATAAGTTTTCTCCACTTGCACAATCTTCCAGAAAACATTTTGTTTGAACTTTTTTTTGGAATAGGTATCCTATTTCACCAATGAAATTTTGAATATGGCCACTGCATGGCAATACACTGCAGAGCAACTGAACTACTACAGGATATCTTATGTTGTCACAGACATACTTACCAAGGGTTTGCGAACAATCTTCAAACAGGAATGGGACAAACGCTACAAGACAACTTTAGGAGAATGGAAAGATCAACCTAAAAATGGAATGGACTTTTGGAATAGGGAGTCCTCTCGAAACAGAAGTAAAAATGCCTATCTGTTGACAACCATGAAGAATGGCAATAGAGCTGAATGGGATTGTTCCATGCTATTTTATGCTATCCTGTATTCAGATTGCATTCAAAGTCTCAATCCAACTGTGCAAAAAAATGTGGATGACCTCAGGAAATTTCGAAATGAAGAATTTGCACATGTACCACAAGGCCATCTTTCTAGTGTAAAATTTAAGAATGATATTCTCTTAGTCCACAATGCATTTCACAATCTTGGTCTTGCCACTGCAAGAATCAAAGAAATACAAAATCAAAGAAGTTTTCCAACAGAGGAGTTAGGAGAGGTCTTACGGAAGGTGGATGACCTTAAACAAGAAGTTTATGAGAAGGAAAACAAACTTCAAGAAAAGGTAATGGAACTTCAAGAAAAGGAAGGACAACGACAGGTTTTGGAGGAACAGCTATACACTGAGGTCTCTCCATTCTGCATTCTTCCTTCCCCACCTTCTCATGATGTTGCACCTTGCACTCGTCAGGTTGCTGAAATAAGACGACAACTCAAAGCACTCAAAGGGGCTAATGAAAACTATTTAAGCATCCTGTATATATCTGGAAATCCAGGAAGTGGGAAATCTCAGTTGTCTCGTTTGGTAGCCAAGCGCTTCTTTGATGAAGACTCAAATTCTACCTCTTCATTTGTAATGACACTAAATGCCGAAAACACAGGAGCTCTTTTGGAATCATATGTCTCTTTTGCACGGTATTGTAAATGTCCTGAGTATGCTATTACAAACACTCTCAAATCCAGAGAGATGAACACAGATGAGAAAATTACCAATCTCAAGACCTTAATAAGCACCAAAATTGAGCTTTACACTTCCTGGTTGCTGGTAGTTGACAATGTCACTGATGCATCCGGTATCCATAGTTATTTACCAGCTGCTGGGAACAAGCAGTGGGCAAGGGGCCAGATGATAATAACAACACAAGACACCATGACCATCCCATTGACAAGCTCTCGCATACAACATATCTCAGCCAGCAAAGGTATGGATCTTGAGGATGCCAGATTTCTGTTGAAACACCTTTCTGGTGTCACAGATAGTGAGATGGAAGAAGAAGTTGCACAGGTATTAGACTACCAACCTCTTGCCATGGCAAGTGCTGCCACATATGTTAGAGAAGTTGGACAGCACAAGATGGCTTCCAAGTTTGGTTGGATTGACTATTTGAAGAAATTGGATGAAGGAAAACGAAGAAGTACAGAGAACATATTGGCAGAAACTAACTCAACTTACCCAAAATCCATGACAGCAGCGATAACACTTGCTGTAGAGAAGGCAATGACATCTAACAAGGTTATTCATCACACATTCTCTTTGCTCTCTCTATGTGCATCACAACCAATACTTCAAGACATTGTCACCTGCTACATTTTGGAAACAGATGAAGAGTTTGATGATAAAGAAATGGTTGGTGCAAAACTCCGCCGATGCCCATTGTTGTTATTTACAGAAGAGGAGGGCTGTATCTACATTCGCGTTCATAGAGTTGTCCAGGAAGTCATCAATACTGTCATAAAATGCTACACAAAGGATGAACACCTTAAAGTCATCCATGGGGCCATTGCATCATTTTCACATGCATCCAAGATTGAGAAGGACTTAGATCCTATGTTTCTCTGCAAGAACATGGTCCCCCATGTAACAAATCTGATTAACGAGACATGTCCATTGTTTTCTGAGCAAGGAATCTCAGAAGTCGCTAAAAGTGGCATAGTAACTGTTCAAGACTTCACTGAAAACTTTCTAACACTTGGAGAAATGTGTATTGAACACTGTGAATTAAACACAGCATTGAAGTGTTGTAATGTGGTCTTAGCCTTTGTCAACTTGGGTGTGGTAGCTTGCAACAAAGCAGAGGCAGCAGCCTACAGTGGCTTGGGTAGAGTGCATTGTGACTTAGGTAAATTGGAGCAGGCACAGGATTACTTTTCACATGCATTAGACATCTATTTGAAAACTTTCAGGCCAGACCATGTTTATGTTGCCTCTTCTTACAATAATCTTGGTATGGTGTGCAATAAGCTTGGTGACCTTCAGCAGGCAAAAGACTACTACCAACATGCAATGGACATTCAAATGAAAACCCTGGGCCCTGATCATGATGACATTGCAACTTCTTACCACAACCTAGGTATTCTGCATCGTGACCTTGGCGATCTGAAGCAGGCAAAAGTCTTTTTGAAGCATTCATGGTTGTTACGTATCAAAATGCTTGGAGATGAGCATGTAGAGGTTGCATCTACTTACAATGAACTGGGTCTTGTGTACAGGGATCTGGGTAAACTAAAGAAGGCAAGGTGCTATTATGAAAATGCACTCAATATATACTTGAAAAAGCTTAGGCCGGACCATGTCGATGTGGCATCCACTTACAATAACCTAGGTGATGTGGAGGGTGCAATGGGGAACTTTGAGCTAGCAAATGACTACTACGCCCATGCAAAGGACATATGTTTGAAGAAGTTCGGACCCGAGCATGATTATGTCAAAATGATTCAGAAAAACTTAGCTGAGTTACAACATAGAATGGAGAGAACTCAATGCTGCCTGCCTTGTCTTTGAAAGAGGACAAGAGATCCACAGCCTTCTTATCAGTTCAACAAACTTAATAGGAAAAGGAAAGAAGAAAAAGATGGAAACTGTACTTTTCTTTAAGACACAAGAGTATCCAAAAAAAGTACTGTTTGTAGAAACAAATGAGGTTTGATAAACAGACACTTTCAAAAGTTTTTGTAGAAAGGAAAAGATGTGCAAGAGAAAAATGTATGTGAGGAAAAAAACAAATTAACAAATACAGCAGCTGCCACAACAAGTAGCCACATAAATTTCTGCACTGACCCTTAACTCATTTGGAAATAGTCTTTGAGGTTAGAACCTCCAACCCCACTTCCCCTTCTGTCTTTCTGTCAAGACCTCCCCCCCACCACCCAATTTTTGGAATAAGTTTTTTGTAGGATGCATGCACATGGGTAATGTTGATTTTTCCATTGATCAACACAAGGATGCTTCTTTTGGCATTTAGTTACTGTAATTCTCCTTACTTTGTGCCATACAAGTCTCATGGTATTAGTTTGGAGAATTTGGTATTGGATCAGTTGATAATCCCTTTACTGATATTTTTTCTTTATTCTCATTAATTGACTGTTTGATATTGTATCAACATAGTAAGGAGAAATGCTGTCTTCATCAGTAGTTTTGTAGTTGTGAAACTTTGATCCACTGAGTCATCAAAGAGTTATTGTAAAAAAATAAAAAAAAAACACCAAATTAGACCTTACTAAATCACGTTTGGAATAACTGAATTCAACCTGTCTATGAAAAAGGCAACATTTACAAAAATCAGAGGATTGCAACATGGTACAATGACACCAAACAAACTGTTATCATTTAATATTTTTACGATCTTTGAAGAAAACACTTTCTAGACTAGTCAAGCAATGTTCCACAGCAACTTTCACTGGAGCACATTTTGAGAAAAACAAATATTAATTTGCCAAAAGTAATCAAGCTTCGTTCTGACTGGCAAGGTTGTGATTTAATTATCGACAACAACAACCAAAAAAAAAAAAAACAAAACAGAAAACAATCATACAGTGCATTCACAGTAAAGCACATAAATTAGTTGACTCTTTCCTAAGGTGTTAACACAATTTACACTTTCTTTCAACAGTTGCAAGGTAAACCCTTCAACATTTCTCTGCCTCATTGCTATGGATCACATTGTCTGTTCTTTTTAAAGACCCAGCCCACAACTCTTGACAGACAAATGCAACTCTTCACAAAAATGATTGGTTATGTGTATTTTTTTTTTTTTTTTTAAAAGTTCATACAGAAAATAGCGGTTGGACTCTCTAATGAACCCTTTCACTCCAAGATCTGACTGTTAATTCTCTCCTCTAGCTGCTACACTTTACCTTGTAAATTAGTCATGGGAATTTGGTGTTAGATCAAGATAACAACTTCTACTTAATAAGTTTGAGTCTTCTCATTACCTGTTTGCAGGATAAAGTATGTGTAAAAATAGGGAGAAGTTACATGTTAATCACTTCTGGGAGTTGAAAGGTAACTACGGGTACGTCATATTATAGGATTTAAAACAAGTTGATGGCTTTAAGCACTCACTATAGTTTATTAATAGAAAAAGGGCATCATGTAGTTTCTTTAAGTTCTATAAATTTGATTGCAAATGGCCACTCTGATCCCATTCATTCTGCCAAATGCACCAAGCCTTTGTCCTCTTTACAAGGAATCTGAATGAATCAACAATTACTTCAACCACGTGACTTTGAATGTTGGATTAACCACTGCAGAGTGATATCTGTGATTCAGAAACAGAAATATAAGTTAAATGTAAATCAAAACTATGACAAAATTTTCAAGCCTGATTGGTTGTCCCCAGCCCAATTTGAGCACTAATAGGGCAATGTGTGCATCATGCTTGTGACTGGACAGTGTGATAGGACAGCCGACATGTCATAGCTGTTTAATTGGACAGTATGGGTCATGAGTGCCTGTTGTTGTCGCACATTTTGCCAAGTGAACTGTTATTTTGTTGTGAAAACTTAATTATTGCTTAGTTTCTTTCTCAAATTTTTTCATAGTTTTGATTAATTGGTAACAGGGCTTTGGGTAGTCCAATTTTGTCTGTAATCATATGGGTGATTAACAAATGGAACTCCTGCTTTGAGGTAATCCAATTCTGTTAATCACTCATAATTACAGACCAAATTGAACTCCACTCAGTTCTACTACCATTGTTCATAGAGGATGCAAAAAGGAAAAGTTCATAAAGTTGAAACTACATTACTGATTACTTACCAATGTTCTCTTTCTCTTTACATGAAATGGAGTAGCAACAGATTTCTCGATCTTGAATTGATGCCAAGTTACTGTCAGAAAGTAAATTTAGAGACATAGGAATTAAATCATGTACAATACAAATGGCTCTTGGTAAAGGTGCACCACATTAATTTAAGTTACTTATTGATAGGCAACAATCAAAGCTACCTTCAACTTGAGGAATAAAAAATTGTTGTTGGGCAAGACAAGAAGTATGAAAGAGACAAGGATGGTTAATAACAATTAAAACTGACAAACTAGGAAAATGAATTTCTTTAAAAAAAAAAGACATTTTAAAGATGCAAACACACTACCATATATCTCTTTTGAAGGATGGGGGGAAGGGGCTACATTTTAACCCTTTAACTCCCATGAGTGACCAAAAGATAATAACTCCTTACAATATCAATATGATATAAAGCAGACAAATGATGAGAATCACAAAAAACATAAATTTTTGGGATAATTAGGTGAAAACCAAATTCTCCAAACTAACACAATAAGAATTTTTATGGCAGAACATAGAGAGAATTACTAAAGAGATCGTAGGAGTGAGAGGGTTAAGAGTCACTTTCTGACATTTTCTACTTACAGTCTCTCCACTAGTTCTTTTTCGTCTAGCGCATTGGGAAGATCCTTTTTATTTCCCAAAACTAAGACCTGAAAAAGTAGTAAGAAACAATATGATATAAATTTTACAAGCCAGTAACCATGTTACATTACATAAAATAGCTACTTCTCAGATGGTAGCAGTAGCAGTCGTTCTAAGGATTGAAAATCCTCACCAGCAGATAAATGGATATTCCACAGGCAAGTATCTTTGATAAAAACAAATCTGGACCATCCACCAGACACTCAGCTTTTCACTGAATACAGTCATCTACCTTTTAAACTACCGAAGCTTGGATGGGATGTTAGTGTGTTGCAGGTTTATTTAAAACTATTTTATCAGTTTCAATAGGTCTATATCATGACTATTATACTCCTTGACACAGAGTACCAACCTACTTGTCATCATGCTACCCTATCTCTCACAAAAGAGAGTCTAAGGTATTACTTACTGGAATGCCTGCTAATTGTGGTTTTTCTAAAAGCCCATGAAGTTCATTTCTTGAAGCTTCTAGCTTTTCATGATCTGCAGCATCAACCATATACCTGGAGAAAAACTCTGCATTAATTACTATAATTTCAATTGGTATTCATTTTGTTGCTGACACACATTATGTGGAAAATTTAACAATTTACATCATGTTGCTGTTTCTACCATTTTTAGGCCCTGCATAACCAAAATAACATTTCATTTCACAATGACATTTCAGTAGATAAATGTAATTAAGCCATCAAGGGTCACTTCCCCTCCTGTTACCACAGTTTCCACTTAACTACAAATTTTGGAGTCTCTTGCATTGTTCTTGACAATCCTTTGTGTAAAAAGGCAGACCACACACAGAAATCTAGTCTAATCTACACTAGCATCTTCCCCTCTGTTTGGCTGCAAACTTTTTCTTGAAAATTAGTTAGCATAGTTTTTTCCATAAATCAACCTTAACAGACCATTTGAATGCAGCTTTACATCCTTAAGCTTCATCAATACTCACACAATGCAGTTCACTCCTCTACAGTATCGTTCCCACATGCTCCTAAAGCGAGGTTGCCCTCCAATATCCCAGACCTGTGGAAAAAAAAAAGCTAAAATGATCAACAATAACTTGGTTACATAAGATCTAGTTGCCAGGTGGGATAAACACACCAGAAAACAAAAGTTTAACCCTTTAACCCATGAGAGTGACTAGCATCTAATTTCTTCCAAAAGTATAACCCATGCATCACACAGTAAGGTCATAAGAATAAAGGAAATGATCACTAACTAAATATTATCTAGATTGATAAACAAATTCTCCTTGTCAGCACCTTAGGAGAAGTATAGGAAACAGTATGGAGAATATGCATACTGATATGAGGTGTTAAGGGTTAAGAATTAGCACCAGTCTTAAGTTAGTGGTCTGTATTAAAGAAGGAATAAAAATGGATGGTAAAGACTCAAGAATTTGTTACTCAGTACTTGTACTTAGTGTTCACTAAGGAGAAAACCACAACCATCTAAAATTTTGTATGACTTGTAATGAATCTGTCAAAAATCATTTCACTTACACATAACAATTAAAGTAAGGCAACAATTAACCTTTTAACTTCCAAGATCTCATTGTCAATTCTCTCCTATAGCTGTTACACTTATTCTTGTAAATTAGTTTTGAGAATTTGATGTAAGTTCAAGATAACAACTTCTACCTGATAAGTTTGAATATTCTCATTACTGTACCTGTTTGCTGGATAATGTAAAGATATTATAGGGAGAAGTTTCATGTTGATCACTTCTGAGAGTTGAAGGGTTAAATGACAGATACCATATTAACAAATCTGTGCATTAAAACTAGTTTTTTCATTGAAATAGAATTTAAAGAAAGTGACAAAACTTTTGAGTCTGTAAAACATGTTTCGACAGAAACTTCTGTCATCCTCAGTTAATAACTGTACAAAGTGTTGAAAGTTAAAGTATATAGTAAACAGAGCAATGCTAATTATGATAAATAGTGACAACAAGAAAAGAGGTAAAGCATGAAAGTGTGAGAATTAAAAGGATAGTTTTAGATTTACATGGTGTAATTGCTGATTCAAGGATGATTATTCTCTTTGAATATAAATAGCCTCTTTTATCTTAAGTCGAAAGCCGGTAGAGGCATGATCTAAAATATGGAAGTTATCTGCTGAAAATGCAGAAATAGAATTAAATTACTTGCCATGTAAGAAAATATTATTACAAAATGACTTAACCCTCTAACGTCATACTCTCCATACTGTTGTGGTGGTGACAAGGAGAATTTGTTTAAAAAAAAAAAGAGCTTCCTTAGTTGGTGATCATTTCTATCATTCTTGTGACCTTAACCCTTGAACTCCTAAGATCTCATTGGCAATTCTCCTAACTGTCTGCCATACAGTTCTTGTGAAATGAGTTTGAAGAATTTGGCATTGGATCAGCATAAAATCCCCAAATTGATATTTTTCTTTATTCTCATCACTTGCCCGCTTGATATTGTGTTGATATTGTAAGGAGAAATTCTATCTTGGTCACTCATGGGAGTTAACGGGTTAATGTTTGATTCAGGGGTGGTATTGTCAGGAGAAATTATATGTTAATCACTCTTAGGGGTTAAAGGGTTTAAGTTGAAGTTGGACTTAACCCTTTCACTCCCAAGATCTAATTAGTAATTCTCCTTACTATCTGCCATACAATTCTTATGACGTTAGTTCAGAGAATTTGGTATTGGATCCACTAATAATCCCAAGATTGATATTCTTCTCTATTTTCATCACCTGCCTGCTTGATATTGTAGTGATATTGTAAGGAGAAATTCTGTCTTGGTCACTTGTGGGAGTGAAAGGGTTAAAAGATGTAAAAAAATGTCTATACACCTGGATGAAATTCACAATGCAAATAACAAAGAAGAAACACTGCAAGAATATGTCATCTTTCAACTTACCTTTATTGTTACGTTACCCTTGGTGACTTTTCTCATATTGAATCCAACTGTTGGAATCATGTCTTCACTAAACTGACCTGACTGTATTGCAAAAAGTTATTGTAGTGAGTACACAGAACAGGAAAAATGGTAAATTCTAAACTTGAATAAATAGGTAACTGTCTTTGAATAAAGAGGTAACTTGTTTGTCAAAAACTCCGAGAACCCAACATGAAATTAAAACCCAGGCCTTCAGATTTTAGGCAGCTATGTCCAAATCCTCTTCCACTTAGCTACAGGAAACTTGATGATGAGCTTTCCCATCAACCAAGTAATTATTTGACTTGTGACATGAACATTATCTGAGATCATAGGGATCACATGAGAGAAAAATAAAATAAAATCTTGAGTCAAAACACAGTATTATATCAGTAGTGTAGTCTCAATTTCCTTCACTCCAATGGAGTGATTAACACTCAAACTCCCCCAGCAATTTGAGTGTGATATCAGACAGGCAGGAAAGGGGAATTAAGAAAATCATCAGTTTGCACAATTATTACCACTAGAAATCATCTCAGTTTAGTAATCATGAGGCAGAGGAGAGGTCCTTGTCCACCTGGAATCAGGGTACTCCATGAATTCTGTTAACTAATGATTAATTGCTGCTAAATTTGTATTCTATAACCTTTACTCTTCTTTTCTTCTACATCTCTCACAGCTGCTAATCTCTAGATTCACTAAACACTCAGCATCCTTATGAGAACCCTGCTATAAACGATACCCACTGTAATAATTCAAAGAAGCTCCCTGAGTGCTTACTAATTTTTTTCCTACCTTGGGATAGGGTGTATATTCAAGAAGGGTGCTTATTTAAAACTGGGGTCCAATTTCTATCAAGCTTATCATGTGATTCATTTATTACTTTTTAAAGAAAATGATGAACTGGAATGTCTGACAAGTAAAAACTTACTTAAAAATAAACTTCAGTAAGGGTAGGTGACAAGCTTAATTTTGACAAGAGGAAGTTTGAAGTACTAGCATTTTGTTACAGAAAAGAGTTTATGTTGCAGATAAACGCAGAATCCGTTTTACGATGTACAAGAGGTATACTTTTCTGTCATGGTAAACAAGCACAGGCCTGAACTTATCCTAAATATTCACGACCAAGGTGTAAAAATGTAAATGTAAATTTCGGCCTATATTAACCATATAAAAAAGAATTTTTTAACGAATTCCAAGGTATTATGATGTGTCATTTATTTGATTAAGGCTAATTTCCCCCCTTGGACTCGGTATAGTACCAACGACAAATTGTAATATTACGCATAGGCACATTTCCAAATAGGGCGCGAAATGAAGACGAATTTAGGATAATGTTTACATACAGTGAGAAAGAACTAAATTAAGGAACGAAAGAGTAATTACAAGGATAACAACTCGAATAAAACGCAAGTCCCTTACAATAGCTTGCATTTAGTAACTGTATATTTCACTTACTGCGATAACATTGACAAAGGTTGTCTTTCCCGAGTACTGCAGGCCAACCAGCGTAAGCTCCATCTCTTCCTTCCAGAAAAGACTTTTTATCCAGTCAAGTATACTACGAAAAAAGGCCAACATCTTCGTAGATCTTGTTCGTTTAACGAAACTAAAACCGTAGATTGTCTCTTTTAGTTTTTACTGCTTCCAATCACATGACTCAAGATGGCCGCTCTATACCAGAAGGCATTGCGTTCTCGGTAGACCGCGAGGATCTGGTGACACATTGCAGTCATTCAAAACAATTCAAAAATTACCTCGACAATGGAGGTATGGCGGATTTCATTACGGCGTTCAAACTGAAGGTAAAATGGGCTCGATCGACCAGCTTAAAAGCGAAGTTGAACGCCTAAGTAGTGAACTACAGCAGGCCTGTTTAGAAAAGGTCCAAGCTGCTGAATACGGGCTAGCAGTTTTGGACGAAAAACAGAGATTACAGGAACAATATGATGAGCTGGAAACCCTCTTGGAATCCAACAAGCAGGAACTGGAATGCCTCAAAGAGGTATTTTGTAGGAAATAATCGTGGTTAACCATTCCGTTTGAAAGCAGAATATTCCTACCATTTGATCTAATCAGATCAAAGATTAGAATCGCGAAAAGAGTTCATAACAAAAGTTTGATTTTCTAATATCTTAAATTATTTACATGCGCTAAGCGAGGGAAATATTATTGTGAGGTAGTCAATCAGAACTTCTTCCTTCCTGATTAGATTAGCGTTAATTTTTCAGCTGTAATTTGTACGAATGTTTTCGATGAAAGGGTCATCACGCTTTCTATTTATACCCATCGTATTAAAATATACGATCTCTTCAAAACTTAAAAGTCATTTTGAAATTATAATTTCTCGTGACGTGTAAGACTGCAAATTTTTGTAGTCTAAATTTCTGAGATTAAAAGATTATGCAGATCGTATTGCTTGGCATTTCCTTGAGAGATCACTCGATACCTATATTGATTGAGTTCCTTTTCAAGGCTCAGGCCATGGGAGAACTCATCGGCACGCTAAGTTTGATCCATTTCTGTAATCGGAGATCGTTCAGGCCTACAAAATTTTGTAATAGATTATCGATAATTTTCAGTTAGACTTTGAATACTTGAGATTTTATCTGAATGCTGTTGATGTCGCAAATAGATTCTATATATAGCTTAACATGCAATGGGCCAATATCAGCCTCTAGATATTTATATATAAGACTGAACTTCTGTTTCTTTCATATTAGTCCTTCTATTTATTTGTTTCAAATTGGTGCCGAATTAAAAACGAAACGAAGTAAAAAAATATTTGTAGCATTTGGTCAATGTCCTGAGCCTAAGGTAGATTGTTTACTTATAAATAGTGATAAGGAGTTGTCTGACATTTGAGAACATTTGGCAGAATTGTGATCAGGTCATCAATATTATCACTGAAATTTGGGAATATTAACCCTGTAACTCCCAAAAGTGATTAACAGAAAACTTCTCTTTACAATATTCATACATTATTCAGCAAACAGGTAATGAGAATATTCAAACTTATCAGGAAGAAGCTGCTATCTTGATCTAGTACCAAATTCTCATAACTGATTTTCAAGGAAATGTGTAGCAGCTAGAGGGGAGAATTAATAATCAGATCTTCAGAGTTAAAGGGTTAATATTCATTTCACACAGAGTCTAATCTAAATATACATTTCAAGTGTTTTTTATTCAGTAAACTCTGAACTAGACTAGATGAAGAATGTTGAAGATCTGTTGTTCTCCTAACCCTTTGACCATAAAAGTGACAAGTATCTAATTTCTCCCCACAATATCCCCCCTGAATCAAACATTATGGTCATAAGAATTAAGGAAATGATCATTAACCAAAGAAGCTTTGGTTAGAATAAATTCTCCTTGTCAGCTTCTATGAAAATATACAGAGAACAGTATGGAGAACATGCATACTGATGTTAGGGTGTAAGGAGTTATTTCTAATATTTTTTCTATCCCTTTTCCTCTCTCAAAGGTCCATGAACAGTTGAAACTTGAACAAGAGAAGCGCAGTCGTTTTGGTGATGACAGAGAGGAGAGTCTTGTGAAGGAGAGCGAATCAAGAGAAGCCAATTATCTTCATAAAATTACAGATTTAGAGAGTGAAGTTCGCCAAGCAAGAAAAGCTGAAAGGGATGCACTCATTGAAAATGAACGACTCTGTAATCAAGCCTCCAATTATGTCAAAGAAATTGAGCAATTTGCACATAGTAAGAAACTCCTTAGAGATGAAATCCGAGAACTCAAGTACCGAGAATCAAAGTATAGTCAAGAATTTAGCGATCTTGAAGAGGAAAACATCAACCTTCAGAAGCAATATTCAGCTCTTAGATCATCGATGGTGGAGTTTGAATCCTTGAAGGTTGAAAACAAAAGTTTGACAGATGAAATGGAAGCATTACAACTCCAACTTCAGGTGGCCTGCGAGAAACGGGACCAATATCAGAAACAGCTCAATGAGGCACTGGAATCTTTAAAGGAGCAACGTGATAGAAACTCCTTGCTGCAGAAGGAATTGCAAGAAATTCGCCAGCGGCAGTCACCTACAGTTAGTAGCTGGCATGAGGAAAGCCGGTTTATTGGCATTGAAAGTCCCGAGAAGACTGAAAAACCTGAACAAGTTGTTGAACATCCCTTGATAAAAAGCATTATTGAGGAGTACAAACCAGTTCCTGGCTTGGTGGAAGATCTCATGAGGGAACTCCAGATGTCAGAAGTCAAAGAAATGACTCACAAGCTTGAACAGTTGAGCAGTGAGAAGACAGAGCTCACCAATGCCCTGGCTAAAAAAGAGAAGGATGTCCTGAAGTTGAAGGAAGAATTTGATGCCATCCAGACTCTGACTGAGGCAAAGGTTCTGTGTGAAACTCTAGATGACAGTGATGATGGAGTTGAAGAGAGAGAAGCTTTTAATTCAAAAATAAATAATCAGTTGAAAGAACTTGAAGAGGTAAGGAAACTCTTGAAGAACTATCAGACAAAAGATAACAAGTCTCAAGCTGTGATCAAGGAATTGAAGAATGAGATTGATAGCTTGAGAGCAAGGACTGCAAGCTTGCAAACAAAATCTGACGAGGCAACATTCCTGACAAAGAGAGTCAAAGAACTCGAAGAAGAACTGTTGAATTTAAAGAACAAAGGCATTGAATCTGAAGAATTGATCAAAAATCTTCAAGAAGATGTTAAGTCTATGAGTGATCTTGCTGGAAATGCTCAGGGAAGTCTGAACTGCACTCAAGATGAATTGAAGTATGTCAGTGAAGATCTGCAGCGGCTCTATAATCATGTTTGCTCAGCAAATGGTGATCACCCAGCCAATTCATTTACCAGGAAAGAAAAACAGGAAAAAGTGTCACATGCAGCATCAAAAATGGAAAGAAAGACAACAAATTCAACTGCAAAAGAAAGCACTGCAGAAGTGAGGCAGTCACCAATGGGAAGTGAGAATCCAAACGAGACCATGGAAAGAGGAGACCCTTATTCCTGTTACAGATTGATCAGTTCGGTGCGTGATCAAGTGAAGTTTTTGAAACAAGCTGTGGAAAAGACAGTGGAAATTTCCAAGCAGCGAGCACTGGAATATCGAGTGGTTGTCAGTGACGATGATGCTAGTAGTGGAGAGGACAGTGATGTTCAAAAGCAGCAAATTCAAAAGCTCCAAAGTTTATTGACAACTAAGCGGGAACAGATCACTACACTGCGGACAGTCCTGAAGGCTAACAAGTCTACCTATGAGGTTGCGTTGGCAAATCTAAAGAGTCGTTATGAGAATGATAAAGCAGTTCAGTCAGAGACAGTAGGCCAGTTGAAGAGAAACCTGAAGGCATTGAAAGCTGAAGTGTCAACTTTTGCCTCACTTCGCAGCATGTATGCCAATAGGTGTGAGGAATATCTGGTTCAAGTTGATGAGCTGCAGCGAAAGCATGCTGCATCAGAGGAAGAAAAGAAAACTCTTAATCACCTACTCAAACAAGCTATTCACCAGAAAATCGATCTGACACAGAGACTTGAAGAGTTTGAGATTGCCAGGGAAAGGCTGCGTGCATACACAAGAAAAGGCAGTAAGGCCAACCGCTCAAAACCAGTTACCCGAGTCTAGATTTTTATTTTCCTCCCAGAGGTTACTCATTTTTAGTCAGTATATTCTTATATAAGATAATGGAATTGTATGTATTTGTTTTACTTTCATTCAGTAACTACAATTACCTGTAGGGTGCAAAGGTTATTAATATTATTCAATCTTCAGTTCAGTGTTTTGTAGCCAAGGGTGAATTGTTGTTTGTTGTTCTTCAAATGTAAAAATGGTAAACCCTTTAACTCCCATGAGTGACCAAGACAGAATTTCTCCTTACAATATTAATACAATATCAACCAGATAAGTGATGAGAATAAAGAAAAATATCAATTTGGGGATAATCAGTTGATCCAATACTAAATTCTCTGAGCTAACATTGTAAGAATTGTATGATTGAAAGTAAGGAGAATTACAAATTTGGTCTGGGAGTATAAGGGTTAACCTTTTGATCCCTAAGGGCAACTAACATCTTATTTCCCCTTACAATATCACACCTGAATCAACAAAAAGGTGATGGGAATAAAGGAAATGATCACAAACTCAAGACGCTCTTGATTGTTAGACAAATTCTCCTGATAGGTACATTAGAAATTTATAGAGAACAGTGTGGAGAATTTGCATGCTGATGTTAGGGAGTGAAAGGTTAATCAAAGCATCATGCAACCACATTACAAGTCTCAAGAAAAATATATCTCATGCAGCAAAAGTCACTGGGTTGGAATGGTGCTGATATCCAGCCTGCATCTATTCCATGTGTGTCTTTTGTTGCATATCAGTTAAATTTTATTGGATTTGTGACACAGTTTCATGACTCTTTGATTATCTTTTCATGCAAGTAAATGAAATATTATATTATTAAGGTTTTAATCTTGCACAGTTAGGGTACCTTATTTTGGAGGTTTATGGCAATGGAATTTTTTTCTTGAAATATTCATCAAAAACAGACTTTTAAATGAGTATTTTACATTTTACAGTGTGAAAGCAATATTTTACAGCATCTCAATATTACCTTTTTAAAAAGTTTGATGGAATAATTATTATAAAAATTTGGTAATTTTATTGCAATGTTTGATATATTGTAATATGAATATTCTCTTAAAATGAGTGTCAGCAACTATCAAATATTTTTATCAGAGAAAAATATATATTTATATATATTTGAACAGTGAGGTGAGCACCCAGCCTAAAGTTTGTTGCACATGTAGTCTGCAGGTGTCAAAGAAGGTAAAAAGCACATTTGCTATTAATATCAAATTTTTCATGACAAGTATTTTAACCCTGGTTACTTGATTTTATCAGATGTGATACTGTTGAAAGAATTCCAAATGAAGTATTGAAAATATTCTTATTTTGGCTAGTGTTGATTATTGAAAACAATTGAAAGACTTTGGAGGTGGAGGTGTTGTATCGTTGTGATGTAAATTCATCCTTCAAAAAATCAGAATAATTTTATAAGAATTGAAATATATTCACTTTGGGGACTAAAAAACTATCGGGAAACCTTGATAGATTAGGAGTTCTTGTAATTTTCCAGTATTTTATTCAGGTGGAGTGGCAAATCTAGAACTTTGTTTCATGATATATATACTGGAAAAAAATCCTAAGCGAGATCAGTTGGGTCGTGTTCAAAACTCTATTTTAGGTGGATGTTGGTCTCTCATAAAAAGACATTAAATTAAATAATCATGGTTACATTCAAGTATTTTTATAAACCCTGCATTTTATTTTATTGTTAAGGGAACCCCTCATTTCCCCAGTCACTTGTTATAATCCCAGCATTCTCTCTTTGCATATTTGGTCCAGCAATCCTTTGTGTTTTTATAACTTAACCCTTTGACCCCCAAGATCTGATTGTTAATTCTCCCCTCTAGCTGCTGCACACTTCCTTGTAATCAAGTTAAGAGAATTTGGTGTTAGATCAAGATAACTACCCGATACATTTGAGTATTCTCATTACTTGTTTGCTGGATAGTGTGTGGATAATGTTGGGAGAAGTTACTGGTTAATCACTTCTGGGAGGTAAAAGGTTAACTTAACAGAGAAACAATTTTTTAATGGAATAGAGAAGGATCTGCCAAATAAATACTGGGTAATGATGAGGTTGAAAGCATCTCAACCAACATAAGTACTTCATAGTGTGGGTCTTTCATTCCTCAAGTGCTGAAACATTTTCATGACGCACACAAGGCTTTAATTTTCAAAACTTGAGTGAATGAACTTCTTTCTTTTGACTACACATTAGTAACATGAAGCTTTGCAAGAAAGCCAAACCTTTTGACTGCCAGAATGGGTGTGACCTCCCCTCATCACAAAAACCCTTATACACTGAGTGCCCCCCCTCCCACAAAAAAGAAAGACCATTGCTACATTCTTGGGCTGATGCATTGCTTGATGACAGAAAATTTTCAAGAGCTGATCACAAATACTGAGAGAAGCATGCAAAAAGTGTGGGGTGCCCTTGCTAGTGACAATAGTAAAGTAACTTACATGAATTGTATCAAAAATAGCATCCCATTTATTCAAAATTTATGCAGTACAACACCACTGTTAACTTCCTCATCCTTCCTCAGTCAGTATACATATTTCATTAAAAAAAGACAGATTAATATTCATATTTGTCAAACTGTCTCAAGACAATACAATAGTTTATTGACACACTGACTAAACAATGCTCAAGAATGAGTTAATTTTTAATAATTTTTTTTTCCCAGATATGGAAGTTTTGCTCCAGGTCTTTATGATAAATTTAAATTTTAAAGTGTGTTATAGCTGTAACAAATGAGATCTCAACATTTTTCAAGCTCAATTCTGGAATTTTGCACTTAAACACCCGTAATTTTTTTAAAAAAAATCTCAACAACTAGTAAGTTAATGATAAGTTTAAACATAAACTTGCAAAATTGACTGTTCAACATGCAGTCATTTATTACCTTATGTGACAAAAGTTATGGCTACCTTATTTAAAACTGTAATTAAGCTTCAGAATGTTTGATGTGTTTGATCAAGAGGAAATGCATTTTCCTTTAAACAAAACTTTCCTTCATGGTCTGTTATTATTTGTCTGTCAGATTTTGATTCACATCCATCAGTGCATAAAGTTGATAAAGACCTTCTGCTGAAGATACCCTCTTGATTTTTCTAAATCTGAGTGAAGGTGAATGCCTTGCCCACTCTACAAGAGAAATGATTACATTTAGATGGCAAAATTCTCAATGAATTGATTTGGATCCTGGTGGTGACTGTAACTACCTTTTCAAGATTTACAGCTGACACCTTTGGTCTGATGGGAGAGAGCTCTGGAAATATGTGCTGTGGCTGCTTCAATGAACTTTCTCTGAAGTATGGTGCTTGACTAGATTTCTTGAAGGTGGTATGACCAATGGTCTCTGAGGTGCGGCCTCTTTTATCTAAGAAATAAAAATAAAAACAACAACAATGACAACTTTTGATTAAGGATTTTTAGATTATAAGTTTAGCTCCTCTAGAAATTATGTGTGGAATTACCTTTTTTCTGCTTCTTCTTCTCCCTGTGAGCTGCCATGATCACTTCCAGACTAAGGAGATCTTGGCTTGCTCGAGCTGTTGCTTTACTAACCCTCTGGGATATTGCTATGTTGGTGTTGCTCTTGAGCTGTCGTTTCTTTTCAAAATATTCCTATTGATATAAACAAGGGTTTAAGCTTGTTCAGTAAGAATCCACAGGAAAAAAAAACAAAACAAAACAGAAAAGAAACTCTTAGAAGTATAAATATATTTTAATTTAATCCTGTTACCCCTACAAGTGATTAGCATCTAATTTCTCCAGACAATATCTCTCCTGAATCACACACCAGGGTCATGAGAATGAAGGAAATAATCACCAACTAAAGAAATTTCAATTGTCAAACATTTTCTCCTTGTAAGCACCTTAAGAAATATATGAAGAACAGTATGGAGAATATGCATACTGATGTTAGGGTGTGAAGGATTAAGCTTATCAGTAGGGTAAGAAGCCATAGAAGAACGCCAGTTAGAAGTATAAGCAGATCTTTAACAAATAAAACATTTTGATGCCCAAAAATCCGATTAAATTTTTTTTAATCACATTGCAAACTAAGGTGTTTGAATTTTACCTTTTGCAACTTTGTCTCATGTTTAAGCTTGAGGCGGCTCCTAGAAAAAATGAAAAAAAAATGAGTAACTTGCAGAAAGATAACATTCTTGGAGTTGAAGAAGTAAAGTACAAAATTAATTTCGGTTCGTTCGTTCGTTCGTTTGTTTTCTTAATCATACTACAAGCATCCTCTCTCTCACATGACTCTGACCCTCCAGAAAATTCCAATTGGTTCATTTAATTTAATTGCCTTTGAGTTAAAAGGCCCGTATTGCTGTAGCTATGTCCTAATTTCGTTTTTGACGGCGACAGCTTTCTGCCAGCTAGAAATTTACATTCCTTGGAGAAGAGAGGAGCTTTTGAGATCTTGCACCCTTCGGGTGGGTGTGGACATTTTGTGGACAACATAACTCACTTTGAGTAAACTTATGCTTCATCCACTCACCCAAATGATGTACTATGCGACAGGTTAAATGATCCGGAAAAACCACAAAATTCAGCCGAGATAAATTTTTCAATTCTCTTGTGCCATTGCCATCTAACAAAATTTTGATATCCTTTAATTTTGACGACGATCCAAACTTTTGGAGATATAAGATAAAAGTATCGCAAACTCATCCGCTTAGCAACCACAAATAAGCTTATCTCATACCGGATTATCAACTATGATAAGCTTCACTTTGTAATCCGCCCTCTCTGAATCGATTATATTTGCAAGTTGATAATAAATGAGACATTAAACGTAATTAACCGCACAGGCCCCCAACGGAACTAAATTAAAGAACAGAAGACCAATAGCTCCTCTAACACAAACCGCTAAACAATCAAATCATTCTCTAAAAAAGACGTATTGTTTCGACAAAATTGGCGTCCACACATTCCAGACTAAAAGGAGAACGTGCAAGCGTTTCGCGCCAGTGACGAAAAAAATTTGATTTTTTAACAAGGGTTTAGGACTAATTCTGCGAATATTTCAGTTTAACTGAGTAATTTTTTGTCTTTATGCCACAAATGGGCAATATTATGATCACATTTGAGTTGTTTTGTTGTTTTGCTCCTAGAGATAAACTCACCGCGCTCCGCCGACCCAATTCATGTTTTTGTTTAAGAGGTATGTTACAATGGGGAGTAAATGAAGTAGAAACTTTAGCTATTTTACTAGCAAAAAATTTTTTCATCGCTAGTTTGGTGGACAGAAAAAAAAAGCTCTTTTCGGGGTTGAGAACTATTTTTTTCTGTTACTTCCTAATGACATGCATGAGAAATATGCAACCCACCGTTACTAGAATGGGAAATATTTACTCGAAAATTTGCATACAGGGAGATCTGAGCATGCGTAATTGACCTGTGATACGTTTAGCGTCGGTGACTCACTGTTTATATATTCTTGCGAATTCAATGCTGGTCGACACTATTTGAAATGTTTTATCCAGCAGATCCACGATCATAATCGTCAAGGAATGTCGAGTCTTCCCAATTTACGCAATTCTTTACCTCGTAAAGGAAAACACTGGTCTTATAACGTCCACGAATGCATTCTTCTGAGGGGACCTAAGACTGGAAATTTCAATCTTCATATTGTAGGAGGTGCAGAGAATGGCGAATTTATCTGTATTGGGGACGTTAAACAAGATAGATTACGGTACAGACGAGGGAAAATTCAACCTGGAGATGTAGTTTTGGAAATCAATGGAACTCCTGTGGCTGGTTATACTCAATTCGATGTGCTACCTTTGATCAAGAGTTCGAAGGAAGCTGCAACTCTTCGCATTGTAAAGCCAGGTTAGATTAAGTGTTTGCGTTAACATTAATCACGATATACCACTTGTATATCTTTCAATGAGCTCACACAACCGATACAGAGCTAATCACGACATTATCAATCTTAACTTATGGATTTTTGCACTATAAGTTGTCGCGTGTGATGTCGATAATTACATATAATTCGAACAAGCTGTTTAAAATCCTGCAATCGAGTTTAATTGGAATGTTAGATGAAATACCTCCGTAATGGCATCAGAAACGCATGCCTGCGGAATCTCATGAATTTCCCTGTATCTGATCCGCACGAACCCAAAAAAATGCAATCCAAACTTTCAATGAACCATGCTGTTTTTTTATTGAGACGGGACCTGTGATCGGATTTGCCTCTGTTTGGAAACTAATACTTGTAGCTGTCAATGTTTCGTAAGGGAAGCTTTATTATTGATGATGATATTACAGATTGATGTGTCACCAATATTATGTGGGTCACTGAACGTAATTTTCAATTGAAGGATTAAACATGAATGTTGCGTTCCTGTGGCTTGGGGAATCGTGGCTTTTTCCTTGTGGTATTCCCTTAAAATTAGACTCTGACTTACGCTTTAAACTGAAATTAAGACTTTTGATGCTACGTTATTTTTTCATCAGTAATTGATTTATCGTGATATTATGATATTGCAACCTACACTTATTTAAAGGTTTTTCTAAGGACAACATTCCAAGCCTGCCCACAAATTAAAAAATAATGATGAGCTTATTAAGTCCTTAGTATACAAATAGTTTCATGTTTGAAAGTTCCAAAAGACTTTCTTAGTGTGTGAGTTGCATACTATTTTCATGAATCTATCAGAACACTTCATCCACTCAACAGTTGATACAATTTGAAGTTCTTAATTTGCCATAAAGAGGAAAATTAATTCTGTGTTAATGGCAAATTACAGCATTTATATTGAGTATTGTGTATTCCTTGTTCAACCGTTTTTAGTTTGACATAAAGTTTGAAAAGTTTATTTCACAAATATCCTCTCTTCTTAAGAATAAAAGGGGTAGGTTTCTAAGGAAACCTTAGTGTTGTATCAGTGAGGGATTATAACAGGACGTTTTGTTTTATCAACCAAGTTGGTGATGTAAATTAGCCATCATAAAGAGTTTCAAAGCTGACATTTTTTATCATTTGCTCTGATAAGGGCTAATGCTTTAAACATCAGCTTAAAAAGTCTTTGTGGTGGTGAAGTTACATTATCGACTCAGTTGATAAACCAAATTATATTCCTATTTAGTATATTCCGATATATTCAGTTGAGTCAATGCTGCAAGCTATCTGCGTAGTTTTGTAGAGGGTGAGAATAATTGGAATCTTGATAATCCCAGACTGTTTATGATTGTGTCACTAATTATTTTATAATTGCATTTACACTGATTCTGCTCTTTGTCAAGTTCCATGTGAGATGCAAACTTAGAGAGTATGTATAGGAAGTTGGGAAGAACAAAGAAGGCCAGTTTTTTTATCCTAACATCAGAATGCAAATTCTCTGTACAAATCTTCAAACAATCTGTATCAATGGTTCTTACAAGAAGTTGTTTAACAATAAAGAGCTTCTTGAGTTTGCGATCATTTCCTTTATTCTCCTGGGAGAAATTAGATGCTTATCACTCTAAGGGATTAATAGGTTAATAAGCTGCATGGGGTAGCACTGTTGGGAGAATACATCAAGTAATAAATTTGCAAGTAGGCTACTGGAACAATTATCTTCAACATGACAAAAAATGAAAATATCTTTTAAAAAAAAAAAACATTCAGCCCCCAGGAATGCCATAATCACAAGCCAAAGGGAAGTAATTTTCAAATTTTCTATGCAGAGTTTTATTAAACTTTCCATTATTCATTTATTTTGTTACAGGAGAACAAATTTCAAGAGACTTGCAGAAATATCTTTCAACCAGATTTGACAAAGTTTCAGTGGATAGTGACTTGCAGCAAACCATCAGAGAAAATCTTTACAACAGGACAGTACCATGTAAGTTTTACCTCAGTTCTCAAGTTTTCACGCAATTGTCAAGTCTTTGAACTCTAAAGTTATGGTGCTTCTTTTTTTGTTTGCAACTCTTGGAATATTTCTTTTGCATTGTGTAGGGAAGGATGTCCATTGCTTGTATAAAAAGTTTACTGTCAAAATACCAACTGTGTAAAATTTTCCGACTCCACCTAAATCAGTCAAAAAGCATTTTATCAAATGACTGTTGCTCTTCATTTTTCTGTCTTTGATCTTTAAGCTTAGAACTTGCAGGTCATACGCCTCTTTCTAGTCTTGCTTGTGTCACCATGTACAACTCTCATGCAGGAATTTTGTCTGATGTTTATTCAATAAAGGCTCTTGTGGGGCTATACTGGTCATATAATAATATTTGTTATGAAATTTGACCATAAATTCTTCTTACTGGACAGGTACAACACGATCCCCAAGAAATGGTGAAATACCAGGAGTTGATTATGTGTTTCTCTCCTTGGAGGAGTTTACAAGGTTAGAACGAAGTGGTAGTCTTCTTGAAAGTGGAATTTATGAAGGGAACCACTACGGCACTCCTAAACCACCAAGGGAACCTCTGCCAGCTGATAACATGATCTTTGTGCCGGCTAAGGGGAAGGCAACAGAAGACAAGGGGAGACCAAGAACAGCAGACAATCTCGGACCACTGCCACCAAACTGGGAAGTTGCATACACTGAGGATAACGTCAAGTATTTTATAGAGTAAGTATTGCTTAAGTGTTCAGCTATACCTGTATGGTTTACAGATCAGACTGATTGTTAAGCTTTAACTCCCATGAGTGACACTTTGACTTGGTGCGAAAAGGGTCTGGGACTGGAGACAGTGACAGGGGTCTGGGACTGGGACTGAAGGCATCAAAACTATCTGAATGATAAAAATTATCTGCAGATACAGCTGAATTAAGTTCAAAGCAGAAATTTCTATTTAAGCTGGTTACCAGCAGTCTTCCACTACCCATTAAACCTCTTATAGCTGTCTGTTTAGCTAAGGAGCAGGCTCACTTGTTTGGGTCTCACTAACATAAGTTGCAGCAATAGCATTCTGACTGCTCAGGGTTGACAGACAAACTACATACTTGTTAATAAAAGAATTATTATAAGCAGCTGTCTTTTTTATCCTTAGAACACTGGAAATTACATTTCAAGCTTCTAGATTTCAATTTTTTTTTGGAAGGAGCCTCTCCCTCCCCCTTTCTTTCTTTCTTTCCCCCCCCCCCCTCCCCCCTTAGACAAAGGTTACTTGTGGTCCCTTCTCTGGGCACAGCTGCTTATGCTAAAAAGTTATTGAAATCCCTGTTATAGTGAAGAGAAAGACTAAAGATCTTATTATTTACTATTTCAGTCATAGGACTGGCACCACTCAATGGGTTGACCCAAGAATGGCACAGGTGAAGAAAGCCACAGTTGATGATTGTGACGAGGATGGTACGTTATCAGTATTTTTGGGAATGTAGTTTGTTTCCTGTTTTTTGGGAGGTGGGTTTATCATGTTCCTGAGAGTACCACTGTTTTTCCATTAAGCTTCCTTTGAATATTAGGAAGAAAACTTCTGATCAATGGATAATAGCTTTAAGATGCATGATATTTGTACTGTTGACTGCAAACAGCTTTGCATGTAAATGGTTTGTTTTTCCTTTCAGAACTGCCCTATGGCTGGGAAAGAGTAGATGATCCCAAATATGGAACATATTACATAGAGTAAGTGTGTGATTCTTTCCGTAAAATATAAAATAACCCATTACTCCCAGGAAAGAGGTGGCTTATTGGTGAACATGCTGAATTCCAGGCCAGAAGTAGTTGTGTCTTTGTGTTGTGAGAGATCCTCTCTGCAACAAGGAGTATAGATTGGGAACAAATGAGCTGATGAAATGCTAGGGGGTACCTTGGGTAGGGGGTACCTTGGGACTGCCCCCCCCCCAATTCAGTGGGGAGTGGTAACACTTTATGTGAAGGAAACTGGGCAAGGATCTGGGTAGGGTTGCTGCTAGGCTTAAGGCAAACGTTACCTTTTCCTTCCCCTCCAGGAGTGATCAAAATGTCATTTCTGCACACAATATCAATTCATTGTCAGGAAAGGAACATTGACTAGACTATTTCATTTACACTACATTCTCAAAGGTAAAAATTGTTGGAAAGAAATGTAAAAAAAAAAATGGAAAAGAGAATTGCTCTTTAGATCTCAAGGGTGAACAGCTTAAATGGTTTCTTTATGTAAAGTATGGTTTGTACACACCTTCATTGAAGATTAATAAGAGGTTAGACTTTCTAGTGACACGTTTGTGACAAGACGAAAAAACGTCTTTCTCTTCCCCACAGATTCTTTTGTAATTTAGAAATACTGTATGTCAAAGGTGGCAAGCAAAGATATAATAATATAGTAGTTATTTTGTATCCTTTACAGTCATGTCAACAGAAAGACTCAGTTTGAGAACCCAGTGCATGCACGCAGACGACAGAGTCAGTCGAGCAGTGTGTCATACTCCACTGCACCTCCTCCACATGAGGGACCCCCATCCTTCCAGTCTGCGGCAGCTTTGGCCAAAGCGCAAGAAGCTGAGGCCCACTCAAGGTCTGTTCACCCTTCACACCTTAACATCAGTATGCATATTCTTCATACTGTTCTCTATACATTTCCCAAGATGTAGACAAAGAGAATTTGTTTACCAGTCAAGAGCGTTTTTAGTTGGTGATCATTTCTTTTATTCTTGTGACCTTAATGTGAGATTTTGCAGCAACACTGTAAAGAGAATTAAGATGCTAATCACTTGTAGGGGTAAAAGGGGTCAACGAATTAACAAGTTTCTTTGTTTTGTTTTTGGAATGTTAACCTTTTAATTCGTAGGAGTGAGTACTAAAACACCTTCAGGCACAGAGGTATTGCAAATGAAGACAAATTATAAGAAATAAATGGCAGAAATTGCAGAGAATTTATATTTGCAAATCAGGAAAGAGACGTTTTCAGGGACTTTATCATGGATGGTCCATCTTCAAAATTTGAATCCGAATTTTTCCATCTCTGCCATTCTTGGGTACTGGTCACTTTGTTGACAATGGACTCTCCAACACCACTGGTGAATTCGCCCACACAACTGGTTAACTTGCTAACAACTTCGGTGAACTTGCTGTGCCAACACCAAGTTTTGCTACACAAGTTGTGACCAAAGACCAAAGACAACTGTCACCGAGTTGACTTATAGTGTCACAGAGTTGACTTGTCGGTGAAGTGACTGGGTACCGCCATCATTAATGTTCCTTACCATCTTTTCTCACTGAACTTTCTTAATACTTTGATTTCCCATCAGATGGCCGGATGTTGAGTTTTCTCAGCCGCCTCCGCCAGCATACACAGACGATGGCACCAACCAGCAGTTGCGATCCCACCCCTCTTCTGTGGACGGAAGACAGCTACAAGGCCAGGTCATAGTAACAGAATTGATCAAAGGAATGCGTGGGTTCGGCTTCACCATCGTGGGTGGAGACCAAGTTGGGGAACTCCTACAGATCAAGAGCATCGTCCCAGACGGTGCCGCGGCAAAGGATGGTCTGCTAAGAATGGGTGATGCTCTGAAAAGGGTCAATGGTATGTCTGTGTTGACTCGAAGTCATCAAGATGTTGTCAGCATGTTTCAAGCCATGCCCATCGGGGAGAGTGTCGAGTTGGAGGTGGTGCGTGGGTATCCTTTACCCTTTGATCCGGATGACCCCAATGTGGAGACAATTGGATCCTACACGGTGGTACACGGGACCTCAAATGGGTCAGAGTCACCTCTGCCGCGGTCCTCTGAGGAGAACAGTCCAACGTATCCCCTGCATCCACAAGGACAGGCGTTCAATAAATGGAGTAACTCACAAGGTAAGAATGAACTTATGATGACACTTGAACTGAGTGAGGTGAAATTTGAGTCCAGTTCGGTCTGTAATCATACGAGTGGTTAGCGAAATCGGACAATCGTGAAGCGAAGTCCGATTTTTTAACAACGAGCATCATTGCAGATGGAATTGGGTGACACGATGTCCTGTTACCAGGTAATCGAAACTATGACAAAATTTGAGAAACAAAGAAGCCATCGCTTAAACGTTTTCATTAAAAAGAACACTCAACTCGGCGAAATGCGCAACAGCGGCACGTGCACATGACGCGTTCTGTCCACTTACACGGGATTGACGTGTCAATTGTCCTATGACACTATCCAGTTACAAGCATGCCGCTTACAGTGTCCTATAAGTGATCAAATCGGATTGGTGATAACCAATCACCTTCGAGAATTTTTTTATCCGATTCCCAACGTTCTTAGCGGCGAATCGCTGGCAATGAGCGTTTTTTTTTTACGAATTTCTCAAAATGGTGCACAAAAACGCAGCAAAATGACCTTTAATGAAACTGGAGAAGTAAATCGTTGCGTCGGCGTAAATATTCGCTTTAATTGTTCGTATCAATCACCGAAAAAATCAAATTCGATTGGCGTATAAATCACCTAGTGTGTCACTAGGTGAAAAAAATACATTTTTTTAGAAAACGCACTTTTTTTTCCAGAACCGTTGGAATCTCCATTTGCCCCAGGAGGGTACCCTGGATCGAGCTTCCCTCGGACATCCACGAACAATACCCTTCCACGAGGCACCCCTGAGCTTATCACAGTCCCGGTGGTGAAGGGCCCCATGGGATTTGGGTTCACTATCGCCGACAGCCCGTATGGTCAGAAGGTGAAGCAGATTTTGGATGCGCCCAGATGTGTTGGGCTTCAAGAAGGCGACATTTTGGTGGAGATTAACGGGCGATTGATCCGTAACTGTACTCACAATCAAGCGGTGAATATTCTGAAGGAGTGCCCCAAGGGACAGGAGGCATTTATCGTGGTTCAAAGAGGAGGTATGTTATTAAAGAAGCTGTTACTAAGTTCTTGTATGTTCAAAGGCTGGATATGATTATTCCAATCCACCCAATGGAACAATTTTCAGTGCAGGGAATCTGTGATTGGAAGTTTTGCTTTACGGCCTCTTGTGAAATATTCCCAAGCCCTGACAGTTAACCACTAATCACCAAAATGGAGGGAGGGGGCTGGTGAAGTGTACAGCGCGAAGCGGCGAGGTAAATATCCATCGCTAGTCACCGACACTGAGATGAATTGTTGTTTTAGTATATACTAATAAAAGTAATAAGATAAGACAACGCAAAAAGACGATTGTAACTCATCTATTCCTGCCACGATTACTAATAAAAGTTTCGGATGCAAATCCTGCGCGCAAATGCTGGGAGGTGAGTATGAAAGGATTTTGGGAGTTTGAGTAGCCAATCAGAGCGCGCCTTCAACGCAATCCTCTGTTATAATATGTACGAGATGTTGTTCTTAAGTTTTTTTTTCACGTATATTTTACTCGAGTTATCTTAAAGTATCGGTGTCTTGAAGCACTTTTGCTGGTCCTACAAGGTTAGAGATTTTGGAACTTACGGACTGGATTAAATATATTTTATTTTTCTCTTTGATTCACAGGGATTCCAACACCACTTCGAAACAGCCCTTCATTTGGAAGAAGAGAAAAGGTAATTGATATTTTATGCATGAGATTGCCACTGCAAATCTCCTAACGTCAGTGTTTGATACACTGATGTGGAGAAAACGATTAGGAAGGAGGAAAGTGTGCGGATGGAGCAGCAGATTCTCTATACTAGCCAGTAAGGAAGTGTTTGGTTATCAATTGAAGAATTAACTTTACGATTTTACGATCTTAGGAGTGAAAAGGTATTAGTGGGGTTTCTACAGAGCGAGCTTTGGCCGCACGTATCTGAGGAATTATCCTCTTTCTTTTTAAGGAGCAGGAAGTTATCGCACCAAGAGTTGCTCGTCCAAAATCCACTCCTGTTATGGGCTCAAATCATGTCGGTCAGTCTCTAGTGGAACATGGAAGTACTGGAAACCTAGCAACTGCCGGAGAGAGCACTAGGAATCAGGAGACTGGCTACGAGAAAAGAATGCTTGGACAGCCATCTTTGGACAAACGTTCTGAGGCTCTGTTTAATTCATATCCATCACTCAAGAAGGCTGTCGCTAATGCTGCGAGAAGGTAAACTCGTGAATCGTGTATCGCTGTGTTTAAAGCAATGGAATATCTAACGTGATCCAGCTTTTATTGGTTTTGCTTCACTTCGCTATTTGATTGGTCAAGAAAACTCGCGCCATAATTTCAACCAATCAGATGCAAAATCTAAAACCAATCGCGACGTGGTCACTCGCGTTTTCCCGCGCTTCAAGCAGGTTGCAGGTTTTGACTTTGAGTTCTCATTGGTTAATGATGATGTCAAACGTTATTCTGATTGGTAGCTGTGACTGTTTAGGTTTTGGATTTTCGACACTCAATTTAAAACTTCCGGTATGGAGAAATATTTGAGATTGTAATGGAAGAATCAAAATAATGATTTTAGATTGAAACTTATCGTGACTTAATGATTGATGTGAAATTACATTTCTCGAAACAGAGATATTCAATCTTGCAAGGTTTTGAACCAAGAAGTGCCTTTAATCTTGTCTCAACTAATTTTCAGGTCAATGGAAAACTTGACTGCTCCAGAAACACTGCCTCCCCCGGAAAGCCCTGACTCATTCAGTTTCACAGTGCACCTTCAAAGGGGGGAGATGGGGTTTGGTTTTCGTATCATTGGGGGTCAGGAGGAAGGCACACAGGTAATGAAAAGAAACAACGGTTTTGAGAACGTGTTTGGCACTCTTTCTCGATTTCTTTGTTCATAAGTAAATTTTAACATTTTCGTGGTAAATGGGATTGTCTTCGTCATTATTAGGTGGCAATAGGTACGATCGTCCGGGGGGGACCTGCCGACTTGGACGGTCACCTTCAGCGAGGAGACGAGATTCACAATGTTGACGGTATAAACGTGATTGGTGCCACGCATCGCCGTGTGATCACACTTATGGGTAACGCTGCGCTGGCTAAGGAGGTCAAGCTTGGTATCTATAGAAACCCGAACAAATCAGGACGTAAGTAAAAACATGATTTATTTTGGGTGCGATAGAGGGTGATTTCGTGTGGACGAAAGTCATCGAATGACTTTCTTCCTCGAAGAAAAATAGAAAAGTTAAGACATGCTACCTTGCGTTCTTCTGAACCTCCCTTGAAAAATGTTTTCTAAAATAAAAACGGATGCGAAAATTAAACCAAAAAAAAATAATAACAAGACAGAGCATTAAGTCTTGACGATCTCTTTAGTGAAAGGGAACATGGCCTCTTTTTTTTTTCTCTTGGAATGCTTCCTCGTGATGATCAAGCAATGGCTGGCATAGTCGCTCTAAAATTCTGCAACCTCAAAATTGCATTTTGCACCAGCCTGTTAGGTCCTTCGCTAAGGTTCCCCCTGATGGTCAAGAAACCACGAGCTTATTATAGAAGATCCCTCTACAGATAGGAAGTAATAGTAACCTTCAGTATGTAGCTGATCCGTGCGTAGTCTTTCTCGTCATAGCTTTTGTTCTCGTTAAAGTTTCTATCATAAATTCTATCCATTTTGTTATTTATGGCGGAGCGCATGCAATCTAGTTATGGATGACTAGTTAAAGCTTAAATTTCTTAAAAGCTGGTTTTCATTCTATCCGTGAAAATCTACACGCCGTATTACCCTCCTCCGACCCAACGTCGTTATTTTTTTTCATGTGATCATTTTTACCCAAGGGGCTACTCCCACGGGTGCCATGCGGCGTTCCCGTTCAGCATCAACGGAACTCTCAGAAGCTGCTCTTGGGGGAATCAAGGCAAGAGAGGGGTCAAAGTCAACCGGGAATCTCAACCACTACGGGAGGAACCACTACCACCACCCGGACGAGACTTCTTCCCTTCGGAGCTATCACTCAACCCCTGGGGAAAGTTTGACTTCTGGTGGGTTACCACCTCAAAGGAACAGACGCGTAAGTGAGAGTGACGCAAGAGCTGAGCCCCAGGGTCCCACGTCTTACCGCGATGTCATGCTGGAACGAGAGGATAACGAGAGCTTTGGGTTCGTGATATTTTCTTCTGTTCACAAAAGCGGATCAACAATAGGTGAGTGATAAATTTTAGTTGTTCATAAGTGAAATAGGGTACTTTAGTTTCATCAACTGAGCTGATAACGTGAATTAGTTGATATCTTGACAAACATCCTGCGCACTTCCAGGATCAGCGGTTTCAAAAGCGTGGAATAGGGAGATAGAGTAAGGAAGATAGAGTAAAATAGGTTGTATTTGTTATCGTGGAAAATAACCCTTTTAAAATGTGATCGTTTGTCTTACGATGTGGTCACTACTTATGAGGATCACGTCGAATAAGGAATATGTTAAATTTTAGGCTGATTCGTCAAATGATGAAGATTTAAAACAGTTATGACTAGTCACGAGTCCCCTTTTTTCCCTCGTGATTTCATTCCCAGACCCCTTGTTACATGCTCCCTCTCTGTTCTCAGGTCGTATCATTCAAGGCAGTCCTGCCGATCGTTGTCGTCAGCTTCACGTGGGTGATCGTCTGGTAGCAGTCAATGACGTCAGTATCGTCGGTCAGCATCACGGTGATATTGTAGAAACTATTAAACAATCTGGAAGAACTGTCACACTTAGGATAGCCCAGCAACGGCCTTTGGGTACGTTATAGTATATGCACTTAATCCTTTTCATCCTAACATCAACATGCATATTCTCCTTACTGTTCTCTATAAATTTCCTAAGGTGCTGACAAGGAGAATTCGTTTAACAATCGAGGTTTCTGTCATTGGTAATCATATCCTTTATTCTCATGACCTTAATGTGTGATTCAGGGGTGATATTGTAAGGAGAAGTTAGATGCCAGTCACTCTCAGAGATAGCCGCGACGGCAACGGGAACGTGACGAAACAGACGTTTTAATGAGCAGAACAACAATTTTACACGTGCATTTGAAAAACGTTTTAGTTACAAAGGCGTCCTATGCAAGAGAACTTCTTTAAATCGCTAAATGTTTCGTCGGAGCAGGAGCTAAGAAACCCCGACAGCAATTCATTCTCGTTGCTATTTAAAATTCCGTGCTGCAGCCACATTTTCCGCTGAAGAACAGATCTGATCTGGTTGGAGGAGACAAAATTATCGAGCTGCTTATACAATTTGTGATGGATGTTTTCTGAGGCGTTGCTGTCGTCACATTTGACATTTCTCTTACATATCTGTCAAAAAATATTTAGTAATTGTACTTTTGATTTCACGCAGATAACACGGACTCTAGAAGATTGTCGCGAATGGTAAGTAGTTCATTTGAGATAGTTTGAGGATACTTCATAAATCTCATTACACACTTTTCAAAATTGAGGAAATTTTTTGGTTTTAATAACGGAAAAGTCACGAAAAGATATGAAGGAATGTGTGATTGCAGCATAACCCCTGTGTGTCTGACAACAGACAGCGTTTACTGATGAGTCATTTAATGCCTTCTTACACAGAGTACCCCGAATATCACCAAAGCAAGCGATGCTTATGACGGCAACAATGACTATAGAAGGGACGCTGACCAGTGGAACAGAGATCACGCGTACTCAGACCAGGTAGGAAGTAAAGATACGGACCTCTTTTGGTGGTCTTGTTTTGATCGCTGGCCTAATCTTAGCTAAGACATCCAGTTACGATCTACTTTAGTAAAAATGTCACCTGAAAGTTGAATTATCAATTTTTTTTTGTCGTCAGGTTGTTCCCGATAATCGCTTCCAAAGCCTTCCCAGGACACAGAACCACAATTCACAACCGCCACCAAAAGTCCCTCCCCGGGTGGCTCCAAAACCTTCACGAGAGAAAGTGCTTCGGGTGAAAGAAGAGCAACGGCGTCAAGAAAACAGTGTCTATAATGTGCGAAACGATCCGAGGAGGAGATCGAATCCAGAGATTCAGTACAAACAACCACAGTTTTCGCAGGGTTACACCGGAGGGATAAACGATGAGCGGGGCTATGACCTACAGACCATGGAGGTGGATCTGATGCGGGATTCCCAGGGGTATGGGTTTAGTATCCGAGGAGGAAGAGAGCTGGATTTACCGATATTCGTGCTGCGCACGGCTGAGGGTGGAGCTGCTCAAAGAGATGGCAGGCTCAGGGTAAGTGAAAGCGCAAGAGCAGCATTTTTTAAAAATCATATTTTAGTGAATTTTCATAGCGGCTCAGCTCGTGATTGGAAACGTCATATTTGCTGTCACATGGATTGCAAATAAGTTGAAATGTGTAGGCTTAGTGAGTTGACCCTTTAACCCCTAAGAGTGACTAGCATCTAATTTCTCCTTTCAATCTCACACCTGAATCAAACATTAAGGTCGTGAGAATAAAGGAAATGATCACCAATGTTTGCGGAACGGACCGAACGGACCCAACGGACCCTTTTAAGAATGCTGACGTCATCAGACTTTGTGTTGGGCGGGGTGCCGTGTTGAAGGGGGAAGTAGAATAAGGCCAACATTATACACTTGCCTCAGGAAGTAGTAAAGCGTTTTTGCCGTCGATGAACAACCTCTTTTCCAGCGAGATCAGAAATTTTTTGTGTCATTTCATAGGGGACACAAGCTCCTTTCACGATGTTGCATCTGGATTCCTTTGTAGTCCCTTTGTGATTTGAATGTGTGAAGAAGCTCGTGATTGTTAAACAAATTCTCCTTGTCATCATCTTAGGAAATGTATAGTGAACAGTTTGGAGAATATGTATACTGATGTTAGGGTCACCCATTCTTTTAGGTTGGAGACGAGATACTGGAGATCAATGGAAGAAGTACAGAGAATATTCCACACGCTGATGCTATAAGTTTGATCAAAAGCGGCGGCAACAGAGTTCACTTGTTGATCACCAGAAATAACAAACCGGTTTATATGGGTAAGTAACAAATAATTTCAACGTGGTAAGCCAAGAAAGCTAACACGCTCCCCTTCACCCTCTCCTCAGTAGGTGCAACAAACTTATCCGCTAGAATAAGTCACAAACCAGTTTCACTTAACGATATCGCTTCGTGTAGATAATGCAAATGTAACCGGTTTAACTTGGCAAGCTATAGGATAGTGTTTCCTTAGTAAGTGTATAGACCAGTTTGCTGAGGTAAGTCACAAACTAGTTTTGCGGGGTGGTTAAACAACCAACCGGTTTTTACTCGGTAGGCATCATTGGAGCGCTTTTCGATTGAGTTTCGTAAAAGTGAAACCAAGTCAATCACAACGTCCAATTAGAAAAAATAACTAAACTGTCTAACGCGCGGGAAAACGCGGGCGACCAAGTCTTTAGTTTTGCACCTGATTGTTTGAGAAAGTGGCGCGAGTTTTTCTGGACCCATCACAGAACGAAGTGAAGAAAAAGCAAAGCAATCCCGAATTACTATCGACTATACTATTAATTTACTATTACTATTAAAAATTGCTCTATTAAGCTTTTTTCGCATTTGGGATATACAGGATGCGTGAGTTTTGAATATCACTGCATGTCTGGTTTTGTAACGTGTTTATTTAACAATTGGTTCATTGGTTCTTGAGTGCTCTCTAAACTTCCCAAGTGCTTCATATCTCGATGAACGCACACATTACGTATGAACCAATTGTTTTATAACATTTTCAACACGATGGAAAAATTTTTTCTCGAGGGATTTGTTTGCTGACGTCATGAGCGTGCACAATAGGAATATGAAGCACGCTCGCGCAATTGAATTTGATTAGACAAATTTACTAGCTATGTTATAAAGCATGTTTTATAACTACTTGACGCACGCAACATCTAATCATCCTCACTTTGTTTTTTTTCTGTAGATGGTATCCCAAACGGCGGACACACTATTCCTAAGAGTGGTAGCCTTCCTCGGTCTTCTTGGAAGAGTCAAACATACCATGGCATGTACCAGTCATAAAAAGTCGGAGGAAGTTTATTCCTATGGTAACTTTTTTACTAAAAACCTGCACGAAGTTGTCATAAAATCGAAACTATTTTCAGAAACCATAAAATTTCTAAATTTTTGTCAATTGAATCTTTTCAGATGTTTTAAAATATTAGGGAATTTATAAACTGAGAGGGAGTTTGAGCCTGTTTGTTAATGACCTCACTTTCCACATTTACCCTGAGTATTTATTCCAAAGTTTTGTGTACATACATGTAACATTTTGTCATCGAGTTTCGCACGCTAACTGGTCAAAAATGAATTTCACTTCAAGTTTCATGTCTCAGTTTTCGACTTGTCTACCTTTTCACTCCCGTTAATGACCAGGAAGTAATTTCTCCTTAAAATATCCATACGCTATCAAGTCGGAAGGTAATGAGAGTGAAGAAAAACATCAACTAGAAGATATTCGACTAAATTGCAAATTCTCAAAACTAACATTTTAATAATTGTATAGCTGACAGTGAGGAGAATTATTGTTCAGATCTAGGGAGTGCAACGGAAAGACGAATTTATTTTGCGGCGTCTGGTGTATTTGTAGCTAGCCCGAGAATCTTCCTAATGCATATGAAAGTTGCGCGTGATAATCTTTAGTTGTGCAAACTCCGTGTCCACGATCACATTATCTCAATAGTTGTATAAAATTAAGTGTGGTATAGGTATGATTTTACAGTTCACTTAGCCTTTACATGTGGCCATCATTGATTGAAACCAGCTCACAGCTCTTTTCTTATATCATCACCAATCTTCCTCCTCCAGTAAAATCTGCTTCTCCCCTCCACACATCCCCTGGAATAGACATTTTCCTGTCCAATTTTTTAACCAGAGTTCAATGTCCCCAACGCATTTCAGTACTATTTCATAAATTTAATAATAATATTATTTAGTGAATTCTTTAAGCAGACAGATGGAGTGTAATTTATAAACTTTGAAGTCCATACTCAAAAATGGAGAGAGCATAGCTTATGAGTTTTTCTTTTTAATTTTGTAAATTAGCTGTGCATGACACGAAGAACCAGTCGAGCCTGCGACATCGAGGTTCGTCGCTGACTTTGGTACATGCGTAGTCCAAAATTTACTCGTAAGACTTCTTAGTTCTGTGCCCTGCAACTGCCATTGCAATTTCTAGAATATAAGTTAGGCCTCTTTTAGAAGCGTAGTAAAATGTTTTCTCGAATTTCCCGTTTTAAGCAATTTTTTTCTAACGTCATAAACGATATAAGTTGATGTTATAGTTGTTACGTGTGAGGAATTACATTGAAAACAGCTTTAAGATTTTATTCAAGCTTGTATTAAGGTCAGGCCTGAGCTCAATTCAGAAGCTACATTGCAGTAGCCACGCTAATTTTTTTGACATGTATAAATAGTAACGTAGCGATTTTTAAAATAGTTTAACTACTGAGAGCACCTAGAGTGAACTAGGTGTAAATTATGACGTAATTGACAGTTTGGCCAATAAGAATTGGGCGTAAATTGTGACGTAATTAACAGATTGGCCAATCAGAACGCCCTTTTTATGTTCTATTTAATTGTGATTGTATTAATCGTGCTTGGGTTTGATTTGCTGTATAGTTTTAGTCCTTTACACGTTAACAACATTCTTTTATTCTCTTGACCTAAATGTTTAATTCAGGGGTGATACTGTGTCGAGAAATTAGATACTAGTTACTCTTAGGATTTAAAGGATGAAAGACAGTCTGTGAGGTGTTTCGGGGTAAATTTTATTAGTTATATTCAACAATTCATCATAGGTACTATGATTCGAGGGAATTTAATAAACACTCTTTGTTATTCAAAAGGTCTGTGGAGAAGGTTGGTAAATAGCCCGGAGTGGTTTACAGCCTGTTCATTAGTATCGCTTGCGTATTGTGAGTGTGCGAATAAATTCCTTACAACAGGAGTGTATTTTTAAGCAATTGAATAGAATATAAATTGATTGATGTATTTTAGACGATATTTTTAGTGGACCGATCGTAAGATTCTCTCATCAGTTGTGATGCTGTGCTCACGCGGTAACATAAAATGCTGAATTTTATGCTGTTAATGAGATGTTTTATACTTTTATCAAAGTTTGATGGTTGTGCTATAATTCAAGTGATTACACGTCTTGTGTAAATTGTAAAGTTTAATATCCTCGTCAGCGAAGGCTCTGCATCTCCTGATAAACATTTGTACATGTTGTAATTGATGAAAATAAAATAAAGTGATTGTCAACTCTCATTTGGCAACTAAACGTTTTAACATGTGAAATCCCGTGATCGAAAAGGGAATTTTACCAATAGATCACTATAAATGTCTTTGTTTGTCAGCACTGAAAATTTGGCGCTCTCAGGAAAGTATGAGATTTCAGCAACGCGACTGCAAGGGGTCTGGAACAATTAATTATTAGCCCCAGATCCCCGGTAAACCTCTCCCCGACACGGCTCAAATCTTTTCCCGGGTGGAGAAACGAGCGTCCTTCTGCGCTAGAGATGACGACCTGCTCACAGGCTCTACGGACCGCGAGTGATTATTTTCCTTAATTCTCTTTGTTTTCTTTTGTCTGAAATTTTTTTTAGTTATAAGGGAGGAGATTCTAAAAACTCGTATCACATGGGAGTCAAGGACTTCAGCGTGAGGTCTTGAACGAGTAGGGCAAGCTGAATAAACGAGAACGTCTGCACCACATTGGTATTAAATGCTACCTTTTTCCTATTCGAAAAGTTCACTTATTAAAGCATAGGCGCCCTGTTGGTCCTGAATCGCCCCGTCTTTATTACATTGGAGGAATATAAAAAAAAAGCAACCTTCTTTGTGCGCTTCTGCGTACCATCCTCACTTCTTCAATTACATTTTCCACAAGCTACGCTACCTAAATCACACGAATTTGAAAACGTAGAGTTCATTTTATTACCCGACCTGCTGTCTATAACCACACCAATATCCAGATTCGTTGTTTGCCCAGAACGGAGCCTTTTAAGAATGCTGACGTCACTAGACTTTGTGCCGACCGGGGTACCCTGTTTAAGGGGGAAGTAAAATAAGGCCAACATTATACGCTTGCCTCAGGAAGTAGTAAAGCGTTTTTGCCGTTGATGAACAACCTCTTTTCCAGCGAGATCAGAAATTTTTTGTGTCATTTCATAGAGGACACAAGCTCCTTTCACGATGTTGCATCTGGATCCCTTTGTAGTCCCTTTGTGATTTAAATGTGTGAACATTGGAGTGAAACGAACGGAGAAGTGCTTTCCTATAGCACTGTTTATATTAATTGCACCGTCCTGTTCAGTCGGTGAACGAAACCCTTATGGTCGACCATTCGAATAAAAACGTCTGAGCAGTTGACATCTCAAAGCGGCCTTTTGTTATTAGCTAAATTATCAAGGTAGTTGTCTGTAGTTGGTCTTATTGGGTCAAGAAAAAAAATTCATGTGGAGGATTTAACTAAGTTTTCAATTAGCGTCCTTTAAATTAAGCAAGATAAATATTTGTGACACAAAAGCAAAGAAGACAATAGATCGAGATCTAGAGATTTTAATTTATTATGTTCAAACCTTTTGCGATCATTTGTATCATTTTATAATTGATATGAGGTATAAGAAAATGCTCTTCTGGACGAACAAAGATCTAGCTTGGAACAAATTCCAAATCATTTATTTAGTTTTATCTCAACACATGCGATTCTGAAAAACACTGCCGATAGCTCCAAGGAACCACAATTTAATTAAAATCAACTTTAAACATTTTTTTTTCGCCCTTATGAAAAAATTCATTTAGGAATTTTTTCCCGTTTTTAGGAAAAAAAAACCGTTGAAAACAGATATCCGTTTGATTAACTCCACACGTCATTGGCAGGTGGAAAGAAATAAATCTTGTCACCGGTGCTTTTTGTGTTCCTGCTTCTGCGAGCCAGGGAAAACGAGCATTCCTGGGTACGAAGTTGTCAAGACTTTTATCTTTGACACCATTGGATTCTGCCCTAAAATTCTAGGTACTCCTTTGTATTTTTTTCTGCCCAAAAATGGAAAACATGTGTTTTTTCTAAACTTCTTGGAGCCTTTGCTGAGAGAATGTTTACTCATATCCAATATGACAGTTGTGTTAACAAATTCATAATGTATTTGATTTTCTTATTAAATCGTGACGAATGAATCAGATTCCGTGCAAACATTTACCCAACGCTGATTATTTATCAAAGACTACTCAAATTTTCATTGCATTTGCTGAGAGGAAATCACAAAGCTTCCATTGAGCAAAGATGAGTTCGTTTTCTTTCAAACAGGTTCTTCTCGTTTTCTTCTGCTACAAGATATTATCAGGTACGATTTTTGAAGTTCATTTTATTTTTAAGTGCATCTCCTTTCATTCTTTCTACAAAACGACGTAGTCACTTTCCTGACCCGCGGTAAAATGCTACAAACAGGGCTTCAGACAGAGTCAATTCTCTTGAGAGACAAGATAGTTTTTTTCCTCCTTTGCAAAACGGTTAGTTGCTTACTTCAAAAATTCTACTCTAATTCATGCCAAACTATTTCGCTTAATTTAATTTGAAATTCAAGAAAATATTTGTAAGAAACTTTTAATGGATTGAATTTTCGAAACAAAAAACACAATACTCGCTGACATGCCTTTTTAGTAAGCTCCACGCGTATATCAGCCAGAATGGTACCCAGCTTACATGGCAAGTTGGCATTGACACACTGGTACAACTCCACATGCAGAAAATCAACCCTAGGTTTGATATATCTAGGGCAAATGAAACTGATACATTGACCGACGTTTGAGATACTGGATTTTAAAGTCAGAGTTATGAGTCAAAAATATATCAGCTGCTGTTAAAGTAGTTCTCCCTGAATTTCTCAGATTTAGCACGCCTTCCTGGATGTGGATTTGGGTCATGGTATCACTGTAATGTTACCCCAGCTCTCTCCAGTCTGAAGTCTATGAAATTATTTTTTCTGGTCCCAGAAAAATGCAAAACTCGAAAGAATCTTCGATTTTCCAACCAAATCTGCTCTGCGACTTGTTTACTTTTTGCCTTGGCGGAAAAAATCTTTCCCATGTAGTTTATTAAAACATTCATTGAAACTAACATTTTCCCTTCTTTTCTTTAGGAGAGGCCACATGGCACAAATTAAATTTTGGTCCTCCTGCTTGCTTTGAGGCCAGAAATAATCGTCCAGGTTACGTCACCTACCGAGGCTTGCAAGGCATTCTGGTTGGTGCCTTGAAGCTTGTGCACAGGTCAGGCCACGTGCGATGCGTCTCGGATGTCGCTTTCAACAGTCGCTGGGGTTGCCATGATTACAGTTCTCTCAAGGCGAGCCCACTGAATGTGGTTATCACTGATAAGCAGAACAACCTGATCTTTCCGCTGCCGCAGTTTATCAAATATGCAGCAAGTTTATGGTACGACATGCCAGTGGTAGATGACTTGCACTCTGACGAGCTCGTGTTCTCCAACTTCGATTTCCCGTTGTATCTCCAGCCACATATGGAGCTCCGCGTTTGGTACGGCGAAGATCTGAAGAATAGGTATGACGGAGATAACCAGGGAAGGGTGTGTGTGGACGTGTTTGGTTACGTCATTGGAGACATTGGAGGCGGTCAAGGAGGGTCTTCGGGAGGAGGAGGAAACTCACGAGCGCAGGTCCTGTTGAAAGATCTGAGACAGAGCCTGGGGCACGTTATGCAGAACAACTGGAAGTAAACAGAATGAGCTCGACAAAGATACGCAAAGTGATATCATAAGTCGTGCGAACCTTTGCTTTAGATGCTGATTTGAAATAAACAGCAACTTTAACTTTACTTATGTTTGACTGAAATTTTCTATCTTCACTGAAACAATACTCTTTCCATCACAGAAATCGTTACTCGATATTTTGAACCTACCTACGTGTGTAGTACTTACCTTTAGAGCAAACTCTATTACTTTTTCTTAATGACCGGAAAGTCACCCATTCTTAATTTTAGTCGCTTTTCTTAATCACAGTGTTACCTCAGGAAAACCAAAATTACCACAGGAACACCAGAACCACCACAGGAACACCAGAACCACCACAGGTATACCAAGAGCCAGCCATGTTTTGACAATAGCCACATAAACTGAAACGAACACACAAAAGTCAATGTTCACCGGAAATGAAAAAAACAAACAAAAACAAAAACACTTCATTTTGTTGTTTGACTTCATTCGCATTTCTTTAAATTTCTTTTTGTCTTTCTTAGAAATTGTTTTCTTATTGATTTTTTTTGTGGGCGTGTCTATACCTCCTCGCCTCGATGTGGCTAAATTGTTAAAAACGAGAGTGAAACGATGGAGTGTTTATTTTTTATAATTACGGCGTTTACCTCAATACTTCAACTTCATGCACTCGACCCATTTCTCCACGCTCTTGTTCAAACCTGTCGATCCCCAAGAGACTCCTTACCAGTTCCCTTACCTGTCCTTATATCCGTCAGTTCCACCTCCGGTGATAGTACAGCGAGTTCCTCACTTTAATTTACTTGTCTGAATGAAGGGCCTGGAGGTTGTAGCTGAGATAAATGACTATAGCATTGTAGTCACGGCTTAAATCTTTACAAGAAACTGGCTTACCTCAAAATTGAAATTCGTAAATGATTTCACTGAATATGTCGGACCTGTATGAGTCGCCGTATATTCAGAAACGGTATTGTAACCGCTTCCGATGAAGCTGAATGCTTCCGCCTCTGAGAAAAGCTGCGAAACATTTTCTGGTTGGATCGACGCCTCTGCGATAAGTGCTTTTGAGTTAAAAAAAAAAATTACAATCAGCGTTTCAGTTCAAGATGAAACCCGTATAGTAATCAAGATCGTTTTTGTATCAAAAGTTTAGTTTATACGAAATTCTCAATATAGTTATCAAGACCCGTGAACGTTGGTAAGCAACAACTAATTTGTTGTGATTATGTCACGTAGTTGTGATTCAAAGCGAAACCTATCGCTTATTTGCTTACTTTTCTGTTTGGTTCTTCAACTGCTACGTGCGTGCTCCAAATTGAGATAATCATCTGAGCTCTGATCGCACAATACTTAGGCAATTTCTTCATGAAATGATTTCAGTCGAGCGCTTCTAGCTAAGAACGCTCCAAGGAAGCATCCTACACTGGTTTTGTGTCTATCGCATGCGCGTGTATCAATCCGGGAGTCGAGATTCAATTTTAGCTTGAAAAGAAACATTTATATGAATGCCGGACTGAAAAGACACTCCGTAAAAGAAAATAGGAAGCACCGGGAAACACCAGTCCAAATTGGATCAAGATCAGAATTCTATTTTTACTTGCCATCGCTCGCTCGCTCACTAACTAACTCATTCCTGTAACATAGCGGCTTCAGCGACCACAAAAACCGACAAATGGCAGGTAGAAGTTTTTAGCATCAGTTTCATAAAACGGCAGAGAGGCCTGTGATTGCCAAGGATTATGTTTTATTTCGTTCATTTATACACGAATCATTTCTTTCATTTTTTATTCAGACTGTTTAATTCATTGAGTGTTATCCAATTTTCATTGTAGTTGTGTCACTCGACGAGTTATTTCTTACAACAGTCATAGTCAGACCATAATCCTTGGACTTACTTGCTCATTGCCACTCACGTTGAGATTAAAATTTTCATATACAATATTTCCGTAAGATTATATCCAAATTGATTAACCTTTTTCACACGAACATTTTGTTTTGTATATTTACCGACTAATTCATTCCTTTTCTGACTCAGCTCTCATACTGAAAGATTTCGAAAGTGACAAACTTTTGGAATGAAGCGATTAAATCATCCGCTAATCAACAAATAGGTATTATTCCTTCGAAAGAAACAGATTTTCCACATTAGAGCACAAACACGGAGCTGAGCTAAAGCTGTCACGCCATCTGCCAGTCATTTGTACAGTGTTAGAGCACTTTCCGGACCTCCCTCTGGCTGTTTTTTTTCTTTAATTGAAAGTGAAACTTCGGAACAAGCGAGCTAGCAAGTAGCAAAGGTAAAACCAAACAAAGGTTTGTAAACATGCCAAGCGCCGTAATTGACTTGAGCAGAGACGAAAATCACAAAAGAAAAAAACGAAATGGACTCTCTGAGTTTTGAAGGTTTTCGCGCTCAGTTAGATTGTAAGCTTACTACCGTAACTAAGTAAAACTCAAAGATATCGTCCGCCCTTCGAGTGAACAACTAAAGCTTGCCCTGATATCCTTTCCAGTGCGTTGAGTGAAAGGCCACATTTGAACAAGGAATCTGACTGACTTATTTCAGCGCGTTTTAAGAGAGTTAAAAACGTGCTGAAGACGCTTTTCTTCGCTTCGAAAATTATTTGAAAACAGAAAGTTATACTAAGGGAGCTTGACGGATTCTTTATTATAAAGCAAATAAAGAAGCCTTAACTGTGCTCTGTTCTGTTGTAAATCAATTAGGAAGTCGCGAGAAACACGAGACATAGTCGAACGTTTCTCCTTACACTTCTTTCGTGCTCTAGCTGCTTGCTGTGTGCTTTACAACAGAACAGAGCACAGTCAAGGCTTCTTCATTTGTTAATTAAACAACATTTCAAGGTAGGTTTTCGGGCTATTACCACAACAATATTTAGCTCCATTAATTTTAAAGATTTAAAGACCTTGGTAAACCCTTTAACTCCCCTGATCGACTAAGACTGAATTTCTCCCTCCAATTTCGAAACAACATCAAGCAGACAAGTGATGAGAATAGAAAAAAATATCAATTTAGGGATCATCAGTTGATCCAACACTAAATTCTCCAAAATAACATCACAAGATTTGTATGGCAGACAGTAAGGAGAATCCAGTACTAACGAGATCTTGGGAGTGAATTGGTTAATGGATACCACAGGAAATCTTCGAGAGGTGCTTCATGTTCAAAGTTACGACGCTGAAAGTTCATAACTGGATCATATTTTTTGGTGATGAGATCAAATATTGAACAAATAATAACAATGCTCACCCGAAGAGGCTGACAACTCATTAAAACAGGCAAGGCTAACAATCATCACTGCACTCAGAAGCATAGAACCCATCCGGTTCCCTCTCATGGTTTCGTCCATTATGGCACACCCAGCGAGGTAAAAATTGATTATGGAGGTTCTGTTAATCGTTTGACAGCTTTATTCTACGATCTTGCATGTCCCGGATATTGGGTCACGCAAAGGGTGGCGGGTAAAATTTTTTAAACCTCATAGGGGCCTGAATGAATCAGTCGCCAAACCCTTACCCTGCTATAGGAAGAAAAGATACTTTGCCTTATAAACGAAAAGCTCGTTGAGAAAATTGAGCACTACATTTTAAGACAATTTGTAAAGACCAACAATCAAATTATTATCCTTTTTTTATTTGCTTCTTGATGGAATTAGCACACTTTGCTGACACGAATACATATTACAACAATAAAGAAAGCTGATAAAGCGTATGCAGTTTTGAATTTATTTTTTCTGCCCCCAAAGAGGTCAAGATATTGGAACTTCACAGTTATGTCAATAATAAAAGTCGAAAGAATCTTTGAATTTTCTACCAAATCTATGGCTTGGCGGAAAAAAGTATTTGTCTTATATATCTCTTGACTGAGTTTGGCCAGGCCGTACGGGAAAATTTGGCTCAAGGCAAGAGATTAATTATTATATTCCGTTATTCCGTTATTCTAGACCACGTTATTTATCTATCTAATACCTCTTGATGTACTTTATCGCTTTTGTGATAGCACCAGGGATGTGAGACTAATAATGCCCATTTGCAAAAATTTAATTGTCCAACTCCCCCGCCAACGTCCCGTCAATGGACTTATGTGATTCAGGGACGTAAATACAAAGGGCATACGAGGCCATGTACGCCCTTTTTGAAGAGAGATCTATTACATGGGAGTAGTAAAGTTTCGTCGGGGCCTTAACTTTGTCAAATCCTATCTATGAGAGAGGATATGTACTTATTTCCCACAGAGCATCATCGCCCGGTTCACCTCCGGTTTGAATTCTACCCAGCCCCTTTTCTCACATGGTATGATATCCGAGATTTCAAATAAAAATGAAATGAATGAGTGCCAGTAATCGGATCCTTGCGCTCTTTCGTCTTTCCGAACCAAGAAAAGAGCCAGAAGTAGACTTTATAAACGTAAATAAAACTAGAAATGTTATTTCGATGTAAATTTCACAAGAAACCTAACGCAAGGTGAGAAGTTTATATGTAGATTTTATAACATATCTCATGGTTATTTTCACAGAAACGTACGCTTCCCCTGTATCAACATTACCTAGATCCATTTTTGAGAAAAAAAAAGCGTCAGAAAACCGATGATCTCTCACCAAAATCGTGTGTGTTTGAACTTCGAAATTACCCCTCGCCGAGTATTTCCTGTTGGCAACTTGCCGTGCTTGTCCCTTGGCGATCCTTGCGCAAACGCAAGGATCTGGTTACTGACAACTCAATCATTGAAACCGTCTTACGAGTGAGACTACGTCATTATCAGACTCAACCCTGCTGATACACCACAACTAACGTCGATATGGAAGGTACCAAGAAGGGTGTCATGCTTTTGAGTACAATCTTCATTTCAAGTCTCGCTTGTTTTGATGCGGTGTCCGCTTCTTCTGGTAAGTGTTATTACCCTGTTGAATATTTGATTGTATTATCAGGACAAAATGATATGACACACATTTGTTTACACAACTGTAAAGATTTGGTACATTTTTTACAATTGAAGGATTGAAAAATGTCCATGTAATTCCCTGCCGAACAAATTGCAAATGCTCTTTGAAATACTTCCGGCCACAATTTTAGGGCAATTTGGTCATCAATCCCTGATCAAAACGAACCAAAATTGTTTAATATAAGCAATAGCACTCTCGCCTAGAAGTAAGAGATTGAGGCAGACAAGCCAACAGGTTCATAGCTTA